AAGACAGTGGAGGGCGCGTGTGGTCAGGGCTGAGGCTCGGGCAGCGGGCAGCGGGCGGGCTGAGTGCAGTAGGTGGGACAGGTACCTACAAGCGAACAAGACGGCGGGGGAGGGCAACGGCAAGCGAGACGGGCGCGAGGCTTGCAATCAATGCATCTACTCGGAGACGCTGCGTCGTGGCCGGGTGGTTACAGATACATACAAGCGGGGAAAGCCGGCGATTGAAATGCGATTTGGCGTGGGTGTACCCAGGCGAAGGCAAGGTACGGGGGTGAATGGATTTGTTGGGTTTTTTTGGTGGTGACAGAAGGCTAGGGAGAAGCTGCGTACTGGTAGGTAGCGTGCTTGCAGATCCCAACTTGCGACCTCCTTGATAACAAACAGACAGAGCCACGGCATGCATGCATCCATCTACCAAGTACACATAGACCAAGTACATACGCAGCATGCATGTGGATTACTTGCAGCCCACACGAGGCCCTGGTCATGACGCAACTGCAGATTTGTCCATTACCATCCGTTACGCTAGTAGCCTCCATGCTCAAAGCCTTTGCTCTAGTACGCCATGTAGCCCACAAGAGAAACAACCACTTTGCCTGCGTACGATGTGAACGCGCCCTTCTCTACCACCTTGAGAAGTTGCCTAGTAGAACACGCGCCGGTCCTCCCTTGGGCTGAGAAGTAAAACACTTAGGCATCAAAATCTGCGCCATCACCTGCCAACCCAAATCCCGTCGCCATGACCGGCACTCGTGATGCCGCTCTCGGTAGCAGTCCACGTGACCTGCGATGACGTTTGCGGGAACGGCCGGCGCTTAGAGACGACTTTGGACTCGACTCCCAAGAGCGCCTCATGCCCATGTCGCCGTGTCCTAATTCACTTACTGATTGATGGAAATAACCTAGCGCCTGTGTGCAAAGCCTCTCCCTGGATACATATGCATCTCAATCGCATCGGACGAAGCAGTCATATGTATGCACAGGGTCCAGTCACGTGATACAGCATCACTCTGATCCAGAACTACGAGAAACAAACTCCGCCCCTGAGCCCTGAAAATAGTCATATTCTAACCATATAACAGTACTGTGATAGAGTTAAGGCATCTATAACATCACGTAAGCCCGCTCAAACAATAAAGCCTAGCGCGCACCACACGCATTTCTCATCATGCACAGAGACGAGTACAAAGACATTAACATTCCATGTTTCTCAAATCTTCGAATCATCGTCCTTGTGAAATTCAACCCTCACTGGAAAAACAAGGACTTTACTGTTGAGTACTTACAAGACCCACAGCTATTCTCAAGTATCGTGACAAGCCAAGAACACTCAATGAGATTCCTGCCTTGAGGTGATCCAGATAGCGTTTGAGGCACCGGCTTACTGGGCCAACACACCCAAGTATACATCTTCCGAAGAACTCTAGCGCTTACCTCATATGGGATATCGAGTCGCTGTGTGCGTGGATTCGCGGCCTTGCACCCGATAGCATGCCGAACAACAAGGGCCGTGTGCCTCCGTAAAAGCTAAGTGAAGAGAAGGTCAAATCCGATGCATGAAGAGTAAGCGTATCGCTACACAAGGAAGCCACCATCATGGGAGGACTATATATAACAAGAATCAATCCTATTCGGGTTAGGGTAGTAAATAAGACATTGCAGTGGAATGATTTCAGATCATTGAGGAGAAAATGATATCTTTGTTAATTATGTTTTCAGATCAATTCATAAGGTGGTTGAATGGATAGCCTGTCCTATTTTGGCTAGGCCTATATAGTTCTTGGCGCTCTGTTGGTTGGCTGGCGTGCCCGGATCCCTACAACCATCATTCGCCGTCTGCCTGCGCTCCTCCCCACTTGCCAGTGCCTCTCATATGCATGTGCCTTTGTCTTCGCAATTACATGCACAATAACCCAAGACTCTAGCTTCTCTGCCCCAATCACCTCAGGGATCACATCACCATGAACCGGTTGTTCGGAGCAAAGAGCAACGCGCCCAAACCAACGCTTAGCAGCGCCATATCCAATGTACGACAGGCGCATTTCCATGCATTCGCCACGTACTAACAATGTCAGGTCGACACACGGATAGAAAGCATCGATGTCAAGCTCGCCAAACTGAATGCCGAACTAAGCACCTATCAGCAGAAGCTCGCCAAAATGCGAGACGGACCCGGCAAGACGGCCATCAAGCAGAAAGCCCTCAAAGTCCTGCAGCAGCGGAAACAGTATGAAGCGCAACGCGACCAACTGCAAGCGCAGTCATGGAACATGGAACAAGCCGGCATGATGCAAGATAATCTAAAGAATAACATGACCACCATCGACGCCATGAAGACGACGACCAAGGAACTGAGGAAGCAGTACGGCAAGATCAACATTGATCAGATTGACAAACTTCAAGACGAAATGGCAGACCTCATGGACATGGGAAACGATATACAAGACGCTATAAGCCGCAGCTACGATGTACCAGAGGATGTGGACGAGTCGGAACTGGATGCCGAGTTGGAAGCCTTGGGCGACGAAGTCGACTTTGAGGGTATTGGAGAATCCTCCGGTGTACCCAACTTTATGCTGGACGAGACCGCACCACCACAATTTATCGATGAAGCGCCTACAACTGGTGGAAAAGTCAAGGAAGCTGCGGGCTGATGAGACGGCCATGTCGAGACGCCTGTCTTGCTGCCACCGGTTCAGGGCCGTCGCAGAGACTTTTTTGGTTTCATACTATGCATACAACTCCCCTGGCCTTTCTTCTTCGCGTCGCCAGTACGATCAGTCACACTTGAGATCCAATCGGCGGTTACAGCCTGTCGCTGCTGTGTTTTGTTTTACCCGGAAGATACCCCCACAACGTCGATTCGGAGAGTAGATTACCTCATACCCTTTTGAGCTTTTGTCATGTTGGCGAGCAACCAAGCATACTTACATCTTGCCATGTCATGGACAGACTGCCAAACATTTCAAGTCGAATACGAGAGCGAAACAGAGTGCTGTGGTTACTTATCGATATTCTCACATTTGGCAGTTGTATGCATTGCATCAATGAGACTGTTGAATTCTAGTCTATCCTACGCGCCATGTATGCTGTGAATAGATGATCTAGTATATGTATGAACTGCTATCAGCAGTGGGGTATTGCGTCATTTACTTTACGAAGGAACTCCCAGAGAACCCCAAACATATGGCTTAACAGCCAACTACCAGCTAGCCAGCTGTTTGCATCTGTCGAAGCCACCCCGTAGCTGCCTCTCCGGCTTCACAACCTTACCCTGCAACACCGTATACTTGATGATATTCTCACAATCCTCTGGCTTCACACGCGCAAGCCATATACACTGCGCAGCCTCCCCCCTCCCCTCTGCCTCCTGCTCCTTATTCGCATCCAACACAACCTCCCTGCCCTCTTCATCCTCCAGTTTCAAATCCGCAAGTTGCTTCTCCGTGCCATTCGCATGACTTGCCCGCGACACAACCGACGAATGCCGATAAATCATCACATTCGCCGAGAACTTGTGGCCACCAACGTGACTGATAAAATATATCCCTACACCCCCCGGTCGCTCATCGTGTAAATCACGGTACAACCCCATGGGCCTAAGTAACCGCTCAAACTCCTTACGCAGCAATGGCGCAGACTGTCCGCAGCGCGCATCTCTTGTTTTCTGGCTGCACATCAGAATAAGGTATTTGTGCGGACATGGCCGCGCTTTGAGTTGTGGCGTTGTGTCTGGGAGCGACGGTGGTATCGCGGCGGGTTCGGGTGTGGATGGGGATCCGGAAGAAGACTCATCCGGGGATGTGGAGGAAGGTAGCGCAGCGGTGTGCGGGCGCAACGGCGTGCTGTTTGTTGGGCCTGGGTTGACGAAGCGCGTGATGAGGTCGGGGACGTTTGCGGGTGTTACGTTGTCTATGAATTGCCAGGAGGGGAGGAGTAGGACCATGGAGCTGTGGTCTGAGTGGTCTGGGATGGGGATGTTGGAGGCGGATAGCATGAGTTTCTGAGGGGGGAAGTTAGGGGACTTGCATGCGCGGGTTTTCTTTTCATGGTTTCTGGGATATCTCTCTTTGGGCATTGGGAAAACTTACGCCGTTGCTGGGCTTTACGGTTCCTCTGTCGACGGCCTCCATGATACTGCCTTTTTCGTCGGCGACATCGCGCACCCAGTCTGTCTTCCCCGTTGCAACAAGCAAATGCGTGTTGAACCCCTTCACATGACCGAACAACTCCTCAGTCTCATCGATTTCGAATTTGCGAGGATACTTGACGCTGCAACTGGCACAGTCATGCAAACAGTCGTCGCCATCAATCGCCGGGTTGGTAGTCGGGAACAAATCCTCCGTCTTCTTGACTTTGGTAAACTCGTCGCTGTCCTTGCTGACGGAGACTTCGGACGACGACGACAGCGCTGAGCCCAGCTTGTAGGAGAGATTTCGTAGCATGGCAGGGACCCTGTATGCGTTGATCGGGCGGTGGGGGGGTTTTGAGGGTGCCATTTGAGACATTTATATCAGATTTGTAGATTAGATCGCCAAGAACCCCGGGATGTGGGCACACTCACCCCGGCTTCGAGTAAACCCCGGCGTTATGAGTGACGAGTGGGGGTGGATGAAGGCCGGAGTAAGTCTTATGCCTTGTTTTACAAACCACGGAATCAAGGCAATTGCTTACGGATCCTCTTGTTTTCTATTCCGTTCTTATGGCGGCCAGCCTTTTTATGTTTCGCTGCCTGGCTCGGTCAATCGGACTTTGGGCACGGTACTAGGTTGTTGGGCGAGTCAGCAGACGAAGCAGAGACCACCACACCTCGGAGCAAGACAGCTCGCTCACTCGGACATCGCCTCTTCTCCGAGTCTTTTGAGCCACCCCTTCTCTCTCGGCTCCACATTACCCCAACAATTTGAGAAAAGCCTATGTCTAGTTGCCGGTGTCACACCAATGATACAAGTCCCGCCTTACCGCTTTATTGCTTTATCGCGTGTGTCGGGGTGTAGAAGCTCCCGATTCGCGAGATGAAACTGAAGATGCTCAACGGCGCGCCTAGGCGTGAACATCTGGATTTCAGCGACGGCTGTCTGTTACCTGCTGATAAGTGCAATGGTTTCAGTGTTCCTGCAAGATGCGAGACGCCGCCTGTAGATTCTACGCCTGCGATGAAGTGGCGCTGCCTTGCGAAGAAGGATGCGCGACTCCAATCAGAATGGCAGCACCCTTACCTCCCTGGGTCTATGTTGGGAAGCCATATGGCAGATGTATCGCTTCCTGAAGTAGTTCGGTTTCAATCATTTGCACAAGAAGACACAACGGCGCTTGATGCCACTGTCAGTTTTAACGACCCAACATTCCATACTGATGGCTTGATTGAGCATTCGCTCGTCTTCCACGACACACTATTGTCATCTCAGGTGGCTCCGGGGGAGGGGCCTGACTCTACTATCAACTCCTCCTCATTCCTTTCCACATCTTTCGAAACCACCACGTCGGATTATAGTAGTCCCAACAAGGCTGATCAATACACCACAATTCATGTCCCACTCAAGCTGAGTATAACGCCACTTGCCTCGCTCCCTAGCGCACAGCAACTACGAGCAATATACCCTCAGACACCAACCCCAAACTTCATCTGCGTCGTAACTTCAAACCCAGAGAAGCGCGAAGTCTTTGTCCGCAAAGGCGGTTACAAGATGGATCTCTGGGAAATCATAGTAGCAGACGACTCTTTCTCCGGTTTCAAAATCGCCTTCTGGATGCGTCCGAACCTAGACTCAAAAAACGAGCGTACACGTTTTCAGAAGTTGCTTCTTGACGCCCTACAAGCTACCAAGGTTGGCGATATCATTCTGTTGACAAACGTTGCTCTCACATCATTCCGCGACACAGTCTTTGGCCAGTCTTTGAACCCGGCAATTGCACGCGCTCGGACAGATATTCATGTCTTGATGAAAAGTAATGGTATTTCAGCGACACAGCCTGGTAAACTCCCAGCGCCAATTCAGGAAGCGTTTACAAGAGTCAGGAAATGGGCAAGAATGCATATCGCTTCTGATAGCGGAGGCTCGCGGAAGAGGAAGGGTAGTGCACCGAAACAGGACGATTTCGCTAAACGAGCTTTTGGGACGAGAGACCTGGATGACTCGATGCCTCCAGATACCATGGACAGTTTCTAGGAAGATATTTCTTTTTTGATCTTTTGCGAGTCGAGTGCTGTACTTGAGAGCCCTACTATATATACATAATTTTGAAAGTTACGGCACCTGATTACATAGAGCGGTTTGTTTTGAATTAATGGCTATCCTCCTGCACTTATTCGTTCTTGAAAGACCTGTTTATTTACTGCTTTATTCTATGTATACTCAAATGTGATTATAACTACTGAACATTTTTCACCTCAGATAATACTCAGGTCTGCAACTAGCGTGCCATCAAATACCTCTTTTTTCAACCAGCGCACTAAACCAACACGTCGGTATATCTCACCTGACGCTGCTCGCAGCAAAGCGAGCCCCATTCTTAGGTTGAGATCTTTCCAGCTTTCCTGGCTATATGGAGAAACATGTTTTTCATATGGATGGTAAGGCATTGGAACAGAAGAATAATATGGCTCAGAGCGAATGCTCAAGACATATACAGATCGCACAAATCGAAAGTCATCAACTATATCTGGATAAAATGCTCCAATTGTGATGCCATCTGCCGAAATAAGTCGTCGAATTTCTCCAGAGATATCCTCGATCAGCTGCGTGCCAACTTGGAGTTCAGTAATGTTGCCGCGCATTCGTAGTGCGGCATCCGAAGGGGTACCAAAACTATTAAGCGCTGTTGCTAATTGGTCGTAAGAATCCGTAATCTCGAAGTTCCCGTAACCGCTGTCGAAGGAACCGCGTACGTCATAGCAGGGGTCGATTCTTTGACACTCATAGCTGATCTCTCCATCGATGGAAGCCCATGACCAACCTGGTGCTCTGTACATCTGTGGACGATGAGGCAAAAAAGCGGTGAATTGGCTAACACGCTGGTTTCGGTCACGGCTGTAGGCTGGCACGGTTCTCCAAAGAAGTGCTGATGGTAGGTGATTTGACCAGATGCCGGTGAGATACTTTCCAGGATTTTGTTCCTCGGAGAATCTTGAGGCCAGGCCTGCTAAAGCAGGTAGTTTATCGGTTTCCTTCGTTAGATTCCTTAAAGAGTAATCTTCAACTAATTTGAACCAGTGATGACGTTGAAAGGCTGGACCATCAGAGGTGAAGTCTTCTTCTTGATGGAGCATTAGCGGTAAGCGGACGAAATCATCGTGTTGCCGTGTCATCTCGTGCCACGGAAGCTCCGATGAACCCTTCATAGTACGGCATTGCCAAAGCAGTTGGCCCTGACCAAAGTTGATACACCTCAATGAGAGGTCTCTTTCTTGTAGTGTCCACGCTCTAGTGCGTAACGGATTGGATCCACAACCCTCGTGTTCCTCATCCCAGTAAACTGGCGAGTCTTCTAGAATTCTGATGCGTTGAGAACCGAAATTAAAGTCTTGGTATCGCGATAGCTTTGGCATTTCTGGACCCCTTGTTCTGGTCCTGCAGCCCTGAGTACTGTCTGCAGAGCTGAGTGCAGCCAGAGTGACATATGATCCACCATAAATAGAAGCCATAGCGGCTGCTTCCTGTGACCAATCATCTTTATCGTCTTGAATAATGCATAAAGAATCTATCCAAAGGTATCTCTGGTCCAGATCCCGACAGATCTTAACAGCATCCTGAAACGTCACCGAGAGATCTTTGAACTGGATACGCAGCATTCTGTCACTTAAGGTGGCTTTGCTTGTGCAGATTGGGCGGTGGTTGACTGGGCCCCAACAATGGCTAAGGGTGACGTATCTCGCTGTGGTCGGAACACTTTGCCAGTCTACTAGTCTAATGTCGTTCGAATTCGAAAAGGCTCTAACATCGAGGAGACGTTTCGGAGATCCTTTACTAGCAATCTGCTTGCACTTGGGGTGTTTGGTCACGCAATTAGACAGCCAAGTTCGCATGAGCGTCAATTCATCCCAAGGCCTATCCAACTCAGCAAGTGGAAGTTCTATCTCTATTAGCGGGTCGTAACTAGTTGTGCTCTCGTAAATCTGAGACTCACTCCATTCAGGCGGTACGCGATAGAAGAATGTATGTGAAACATCGTCGTTGCCGATAAAGAGCTTAAAAGCCTGTTCGGGGTCAACCATTGCTCTTCTCAAGTTCATGTCTTGGGTGTACAAGAACTCTTCTGGATAGTACGACAGGTCAGCGTTGGCCATAAGAATGGTGCAGAAGGGACATCCCCACGATGCACAATGTCTTGCTTGAGCGACGGAAGTCAGAGTGATAAGATGGCTATAATCATTGTCGTATCTGGTTGAGAAAAAGTCCCCTGAAATCTTTTGGAATGTCTTGCACGATGGCTGCGGCATATTGAAGGAATGCGCAATAAGAGCTGTACTTGGTATCTTCGAGACACTCTCTCCGCGATACACAGTTCGTCCGCTACTAGTAAGCGCCCGTCTCTTAGAACCACGGCGACGTATGTGCAGAATATATGAACACCAGAGCGCTTTAAAAAGCGTCGCATAGGCTATGGTCGACGATATCGAGGTCACAACGAAAGGGTATAACGGCCGCGAGGTATAGTGGAGCTTCTTGTCGTTCGTGAGTAGGACTACTACTATAGTTAGCGTCTGCCTAGGCCTTGATTGTGCTGCTTAGAAACTTACTAGTAGTAGGCGAATAGTAGAATGTAGTGCTCACAGAGCCAATAACATTGCCCGCTTATAAGTCCGTGTTCGTGGTGCAGAAGGATATTATGGAGGTCATAATGGTGGCAGCATCCAAGGCTGTAACAGTAGTGGTTCTTGCTAAAGTTGCAGGCCTATCTAGTATACCAACAACATCCTAGCAGCGCCAAGTCCATAGACGTGGCGCTAGACATGTTAGCATGCAACTTTAAAATCATCAGTCTAGTTCCTGCATTCATGGTATAACCAAGCGTAGCTAGAAACCGCTATACCCGTCCGGCGAATGGTTATTGTATTTGAGGATCATTTGGAGTTCTCACCCAGTCGCCCACGACATGATTCCAAGTATTGCTCGCATCTACTCATCGATTTCGAGAGGAAGCCCAGTCAACTACACAACATGGACACTAGCGAATCTTACCTGCATATCGCGGCAATTCACTTTAACATAAACCTTATGGCTTAAGTTAACTATCTGTTTGGCGTAAAGCTTATCAAAATATTTTTCTCGGAAAAGAATGGCAGGCCACACTCTAACCTGCCGTGATCGGGTATCAAGAATAAAGACTTTAACAGAAACCTTATATTTAAGAGAGGTTTACTATCTATATCTATAAGTGGCTTCACCGGTCGCTAAATTGTTCGATCAAGGTGCCCCTTGCATGTACAGCTTTCACATGCCTTCTCTCTTAGTCTCCAGAACAGTCTCGTACTCGCTAGGTACTGACTGACTGAATTCTTGCAGAATGGCAGCGAATTGCGGATTCATCTTCCAACCAGCTCCACCCATATCCACATAAGAGTTCAAGACATCTTCGTACCTCTTGGCTGTCAGAATAGCCCAAGCACGGATATTCTGTCCATGGGAAAGGATAAAGCCAATTCGATGATTGGTGAGTGTACTGAATTCGCCCTTTGGACAGTTGATGTATTTGCTCTCATCCGGCCCCTTCACCTCAATAACATCAATGTCGTTAATACCATCAACGTCGTCAACATCGTCAAGCGGGTTATCTTCCAAGCCAAAGAGCTTCGCAATACCATAAACGTAGTCGACATAGTCGACCTCTTTAACACGGCCAAGCGGGTCTTTTCCCAACATAGGTCCAAAGTACTGCGATGTCTCCAACCAGTCAACAGCTTTCGCAATATTGTTTGTGCCACAGCGTGCGATAAGTGTGGTAAGCCAATGCGTTGGGTGTTCGAAATAACCTCGCAGAGAACCTTTAGGAATGCGTTCGCTCCTGCCCCTAGGACCGTTAATCAAGTCCTGCATGTACTCGAAACGTTGGATTACGCTATTAAGAGCGCGGAGTATATCTGAGCTCATGGCGCTGCGAAGATTGATCCTCATGATGCACTCCATCGATAAAAACCTATGTTTAACCATCTCATGCCACACCAGTATAAAGCGCTCCTGCATCTGAAACCGCCATCTTATACCATCTAAAATAAGCTTAACGGATTCCAATTGCTCCTGTTTAGTAGAATCTCTAGACAAAGTATTACCTGGGACTGAAAGGAATCCGTTGTCTCTCGGGCTAGAATAAGACAGCACAGTGCAAGCTCTGTGGAAGTAGAAGATAACACTGTGCACCGGCACACTACAAGCATCATTTCGATTCATATATTCAACATTACAATGGTATTCCTACTACTCATATCAAATATTTGTCCACTTCCATGGACAACGCCAACCAAACATCAGAGTCTTTTTTTATCCCAATTCTCTTCGATACACTTGTCAAATCACTGAACTTTTCTCAAATCCTGGTCGTCACTTTTTTCTTCTTTAAGTATTTGTCATCACTGTTCTAACTGCCGCTCAGATGATTCATACTCCAACTCCCCACCTGCCTTCAACCCCGCGGTGAACACGCCCCTCTGGATGTGAAACACCGCATCGCTAACTTCCCTCTCTTCCTCCCTGCTAAAGACAAGCTGCGGGGTGCTAAAGATGTAGTCTTTGAGGCTCTTGAGCTGGTTGATGATGCTGCGTGGGGTGAGGATGACACGTTCGGCAAAAGAGCGCGAAGGGGTCTTAAGTTGGGCAGCTTGCTGCGAAGAGGAGCGTGTGAGATGGCGTGATGTTTCGGGTTCAAGTGGGAATGAGGGCTGTGGCTGGATTGTAGCTACGGTAGTGTCGGCGGCGGAGTGGTCCATGGATGCCTCGATAGAGTGATCGGCCGTCGGTGAGGTCTGATTGGAAGAGCGTGACTGCGGGCGTGGCGAGACTTGGATGTGGCTCAAACGTTTCGTCTGGCTGGATGGTATCTCCTCCTTGGCTTCACTGACATCTTGATGGTCATTCCGCCTTGCTCGCTTGGGTGCTGGTGTCTCGACTACCGCCATGTCCTGTGAGTTTTCGACCTGGTTCAGAGTCGAGTGCGATCGGCGCAGGTTCATTTTGCGATTGCTTTGAGGAGATGCTAAGTCGGCATCAGACATGGCGTTGCTGCTCATCGACTTGCGTTTCCTTCCGCGCGTCTTCTTGGGTGTTGGAGAAGCGGCCACAACAATGTTGTCGAGCATACTTGTACCGTTGGGCTCCACTGAATCCTGCTTTTGCAACTTTTCGTCTTGAGCTTCTGCTGGGGCCTTCTGTGCTTTGCTCTCTTTCCTTCCAGGGGGATGTCGGGGTTTCTTTGTGCTTGGAGGGAGAGGAGGAATACCAGAAGAGTGCCTGGTAGAGCGGCGGAGCGAGTTGGGTGTGTCTTGTGAAGAAGGTGCAGCAAAAGAGTCGTCCACTTTATTTGTGCTGGTTGTTTCGGCTTGGGAACTTTTACGTGAAGTACGCCGGGTGGAAGCGCGAGTAGGCGTTTGTGTGTTTTCCACCTCAGCATAACTGCCGACTCGGTCACCATCTCTGATAGACAGCTGCTGATGGGAGGCAGCGTCTACAAAGTCATTCTGGGACTCGGACGCTGGTACCTCTGTTCCATCTGTCGCAGGCTCATCGTGTGCTTGCATGTCAGCGTCGATTTGAGCAGTCAGTTCAAGGTCTATGGTTGAGCTAGGATACTCAGACATTATACTGTCCGAAGCGAGACCTGCGTTTGCTTGCGGATTTTCGTGATGGGCCACGGCTTCAAGTAAAGCTTCCTCGTCAATGGTGGTTCCTTCGTCGAAAGAGGTAGAAAAGGTACTCTCTGGCTGTCGGTATTCGAAACTGGATCCAACGAGAACAGCACTATTGTTTGTGTCGACCTCCAACTGTGTTGTTTTACGGAAGTCAGGCGGTGAAGACCTTGGTTCGTCATCCGCAGCGTACCGAATGCTCCTTACGGCAGTGGGTGTCGCTACATCTGTATCCTCACTGACGACATTTTGAATGCTCTTGCGGGTATGTGGGGTAGGCGAGTATCCGAGATAGGCGTCCATCGGTCCCATCGCTGCAAGAGTCTTCAGTGGAGTGGCTTGAACACTGTGGTCTGGCAAATCATCTGCAGTCAAGGCATCTGAGTCAATCTCCATAGGCAAGGGCACTTCGTCCGGTCGAGGTGAGAGAGCACTGATGTTCGCGAATAAGCCAGTCGAGTGTCTCTGACGATCAATCATCTCCTTTTGGTGCTCGGTCAATAGTTGAGACTCTTGGTCAAATGGATTTGACGGCGATGAAACGATGGGTTCGAACTGGATCTGCGAGTTATCATGTCGCAGACGAGCTTTGGGTGTGCCCCTTGCAGGCGTCCTTCTCGACGCTGACTTTGGAACTGCTGGAGATCTTGACGCTGACCTTCGTGTTGATTTTGAGATTTTGAAAGGTGAGTCCTTCACCCGGGGACTCTTGAACAGTCGTTTGATATCGTCAGTGCTGGTGTCAGACTCATAGAATGAAGGCTGATGTGTCTGTTCCGAGGTTAGCTGGAGTACGTTGAACATCAGATGGGCACCTACGGCATCCTCCTTTCGAACTTCCAATGAGGGCAACGAAAGATCCACACTGCCACGCAGACGACGCAAAGCTTGTTCAAGATTAGCAGGATATTGTAGACTATCCTCTTTTCCAAAAGTGCTGTTCCAGGTCTCGATGGAGATGTTGACGATACTTCGTCGCCTACTAACAAAGCCTGCAGTGATCAAGGTTTCCAGGTGGAGCAAAGTCTGGCTATCCTTCCTTGGTAACCTCTCAATAGCCTTGCTCACTTCTTGCCACATTCTGACAACCTCACGGTGAAGATTCTTCAGCGGTTCGTCTCTGCTCTGCATCTTTTCTTCAGGGTCTTCAATCCAAACTGTAATCCAGACTTGCGTCTTGCGGAGATACACGGCAAGTTGAGAGGTTGGGCAGTGCTGGATTGACATGGCTAGAGCAGATAGGAAGTCCTTCCTTGACTCAACATCGTCTCTGTCGAGATCCCGGTATGCAGCCGTGCTGACGGCGGCAACGGCTCCATATAGATGAACGTAGGGATCGAAATCTGCATTACGTCCAGTGAATTGATTTGAAGGCCACAGGTTTTGTCGGCCCTGATCTAGTAGTTTGCGACTCATCTGCTTAGGAAGATTGCGGAGCAATATGCTCGCATATGGGAGGCAAGAAGACTGTTCTTCTTCGGGTACGCGCTTCACCACAAATTCGGATACTTTTTCGATGACGCCTAGGATGAGTGCGCCCTCTCCAGCTTCTCGTCGGGCCGTGTCGATAAGGGTTGACAACACCTCATACCCACAAGGTTTGTTCATCAATGAGTCGGCTCCCAAGCCCAGGACTTCAACAACAGTGTCGTACTCCTTCCCAAGCGGACCAAGGACACGTTCGTTGGATGCGACTACGGACTCTTTCAGTGTTGCATTCAACAAGCTGGTGATTTGAGCCCAAAAACTTGACGACACGGCACCCTTGAGTGAACCACCAACAGTTGCAGCGCAGTCCCGCAAAAGCTCCAACTTCCCTAGTCGAGTATTCTGAGCTGCAAAACAAGGCTTAATGATGACTTCCATGACACGGAGTCGAACAGGATCAGCAAGTTTGCCTTCTGATTGAGTAACCAACAGGTCAATCAGATAGAGAAGTGGCGATGTACGCGTACTGTGACTTCGTGACCTGTGGGATGGTGTTGATGCGACCTCGAATTCGTTCTTGTCGTTGCGACTAAGGCTCTTGTCCGCAAACTGGAAAGGTCCCATCTTCTGGATAACAGTCTCTATCAGGAAGCAGAACTTATCTGCCCATATATCCTCCTTTTTCTGCGGTACCGCCAACTTTGCAGTGTGTCGATCCCAGATTCGGCGCAACAAATTGATAATCTGCGCCATAGCATCTTTCGTCTCCGTAGAAGCCATAATCTCCTTGCTACTTGCTTCGACCAGTGAGCTGATGAGTGAGAGCCACATTGCCTTGACGGGCTCGTCCTCGGGGTCTTTGGTTTCGGTCAAGAGAGTGGCATCCAACAAAGTTTCAACAAATCGAAGTACCCGGGCGATTGATTTCCGAACCCATCTTGGATCAACTAGAGGCAGCTCACCACGTTGGATCATATACTGTGGCCTGAGATCCAGTGCTCGACATTCATTCCATGGTTTCCGGGAGCCACCTAACAGAGCAGACACTAACCGACATGCAGGGAGGGCATGTTGGCCTGGGGCTGAATGAATCAATGGATTCCACACAGAAGCCACGAATTCATTCCAATATCGGTCAAGCTGTGCAAAAGAAACTGTGGGGCGAAGCCCGTAGTATAACAGTGTGAAGTAGCCAGACGAGATTGGAGCTCGTTCAGGCTTCTTGGCGGATGTGCTCCGTTGCAGCGCATGTAGTGCAATGCTCAGGAACATCTTTGACCACGCCTCGGTTGTATTTGGTCCTAGATTGACAGAATAGAGGAGGAAGCAGAAAGCCACGTTTGAGTGAATCCTGACCTGTTCCTTTTCAGAAGAGACGCAAGATTGAAAAACTTCGAGCCATTCCTTCATTGCGGTAAACATGTCGCCGTTCAATGAGTCCTTCAGTAGACCTGTGACTGCAGCCCAGATTTGAGGCACCGATACAGCGTGATCTCCATCCAGCATCCGACCCAACTCTTTTGTAAAGACGCCCGCGATAGTCCCGCCATCGCTTTTGGTACGGTTAAGCACAGCCAGTACGGATCTGGCGACGTTCCGGTCGTGGCCAATGGATTTTGCGGCCGTCACAGTAGTATCGAGAGCACTCTGGCTGATATCTTTTGAAGTTGACACCAGAGCTTTGAGTGTGAATGTAAACCATCTCTCAGTATATTTGATCATAACATCTGGTCGTTGCTGGATAAACTTTCGATATATGCGTATTCTGTAGGCTTGTACAGCATTTCCGGAAACACGTTCATGGATGGTGTCGAGCGCGTCCAAAGCTTTCTCAACACGGGTTACAGTCACAATCTTGGGCCGGAAGTTTTGCTGCATGAGAACAGCAAGGTGGACGTTGACGACAGTCTTGGGTATACTGTTATCACTAGCCATGCGAATGATGCGCTCAATGATAAAGGTGCAAAAGTCGTCGTCCATGGTGGATAGGAGGTCCGGGATGCGGAACAGAGCCATGAGCAGCTTCATTGCTTGTCCAACTAGTTGCGAGTCCAGTCCTGTGCCAGTCATACTAGGAGCCTGAGAGTCGCGGCGAATGAATTGGGTCAGCAGGGACATCTTTTGCTTGAGAGCCTGTTCATCTGGAATCTTGTCGTAAGCCTGCATAGTCCTCTCCAGCGACTTGTATGCATCCAGGCGCGACGACCGCTCTGATGAAGCAAGCAGCTTCACAATAGACTCGAGCATCTCGGCGAAGGACTTGAACTTGTGTGCGGCAACCGCGTCGTCTGCGGGTGGAGGCGTAGGGGTGCCGTCGGAGGGCTTGAGGATTGACTTGAGCGGCTTGGTGAGGCGGGTTTGGGGCAGTGGGCGGAGCGGCGAGCTACGTGTGGGGGTCCAGGAGTGTGCGAGGGCTTTGTTGGTGATGTTGCCGCATGTCTGCAATTCAAAGTTGACTCTCTTCCTCGCGCTGGCCGCGCTCGAGGGGACGTCGATGTCGGATGAAGGCGACTTTTCTGGCGTGTTTGGCGCCTTTACGACTTTGACCCTGGGCGCGACAGGCTGCTCTCCAAAGGGATCCTCGAGAAACTGCAGCGTCTCGTCGACGCCAGTGTCTTCCTGGTCTTTGGGTGGTGTTGGCGGGCGAACAGAAAGGGCATCGAATTTGGACAAGACCATGGCTATGCTGGAAACAACTGGCAACGAGAGAGACAGAGAGAGAGAAAGCAAAAAAGAAACCGAGACCGCATTCACATGGCCGTCCCCGTGCGCGCGATGAAAAGTATAGAGCAAGTGGTCGTGTCGGGAGGGATCGACTGGCCCCGGTTCGAGATGCAAAGGCTGGTGTTGGCGACGCGTCTAGGCGGGACGCGCCCGCGTAAAGTGGCAGAAGTGCCCCATTCACCGGGAGACGGACCCTCGAGCCAACGACCGCCCCCTGCTAAACACCAGACGCACGTGAGGACGCTGGTTGTGCCTCGCGTGCACTTGTCTGTCCCTGGTTTGGATCGTCTAATTAGTTATTCTTAGTTAGTTGGTTACGGTCCCTCAGTAGCCATGATTATTAGTCGGTCGCATTGATGTCCCTGGCGGGGCTTCCCGCCCTGGACCTTTTATGCTACCCGCCGGTTCATCTTCGAGCATTCACCCCGCGCCTCAATCGCCATGTTGTCGCAAAGGACAGGAAAAGGTGTGTAGCGCTCCAACAGGAAGCCGAGTGCTGTTGCGCCTGGCCCTTGCTAATCAATTGTTTTGCTAGCGAAACTTGACGACGTCACTCGCATTCTCGCCGAGCTCAAGACCGACCTCGATGCAAACAAACTCTCCATCGAGCGTACGATTCTCCACAGCGAATGGGAAACAACACCACTTACCGAGTAGACAGAAAGAAGAAATCTGCTCGAGCAGCTCAAGGTGCATGGACGCTCAGTCGACAATTCTGACCCCATATTTACCCAAGATGTACACTGTCCAACCCCGTCCGTTATCAACAGTATAATGACCGCGACAGGGCCTCCGAACATTAGGACAATATGCATTCCAAGGAAGCACTACTCCGGCATCGCAAGAGGCCCTTCGATGCATAGCCAACGCATTGCTACTCCAGCCCAAAACGCGCCAGGTCCTAGTCGACCTGGGCCATGGCCCGCACGCAGCAGAAAAGCTAAAGGCAAGATATAGGCCGCGTATTCACTGTACAACACCTTACTGACTCCCGTGAAGAGCGACAGTGTTGACGATGAATTCCTTGCCGCGCGCGTGCTTTTCCTCATGACCTACGATGCGCAACTCGACTACACACAGCTTGTGCGCGAGAACCAACTTGCAGAGAGTATCAATGCCGCCATAGAACGGCACGCAAAACGATACTCGGCTACATCACGCCAGCCCATGGAGCTCATGGCACTATCCGAGACACTCAAACTCGTCTTCAACATCATCCACTTCCACAAAGACCTGAGCCCCGAGTTCTCGAAGTCGATACCCAATGTTTTTAAAATCCTCGTCTTGAGTGGCACCGTCCAGCCACCCCTCGCAGCTCCTGCAAGAGAACTCGTCAATGCGCTCTTACACTTGGACTTGGAAGACGAAGAGGGTAAAAAAGCAGTCTTTCCAGCAGACGACCCCAAACGCAATGCCGAGCACCTAATCAAAACCCTTGACAAGGCCATCATCGCCTACCCGCCCAAAGACCTAGACGACACCATAACCCCTCTCCTGACCCTCATCCGCCGCGTCTACGAACTCGCCCCAGAAGAAGTTGAGAAGACAATGGAAAAATTGATCCTACCTACAACCGAAGAACGCGACCGCCCCCTCGGAAAATCAGACACTCTCCCCTCGCGCCTCCTCAATCTATCTACTTCCGCCCACACCTCTACCCTTCGCGGCTCCATCTCCTCCATGCTCTTCGAACTTTCGCACAAGGACCCCGCTACTTTCGTTCACAACGTCGGATACGGCTTCGCATCCGGATACCTCATGTCAAACAACATCCAGATGCCCGAGGAAGTCATCAAATCCAATGCACCCCAGGATATTGCGAACGCGATCCCGATCAATCCTATTACGGGTCAGAGATTGGACAAGGAAGAGCAGGTGCCGCAGGAGCCGATGACGCAAGAGGAGAAAGAGAGAGAGGCAGAGCGGCTGTTTGTGCTGTTTGAAAGGTATGTTGATATTTTCTCTTGTTCTTGCTTGTATAGAACATTTGCTAATGATGAGTTACAGACTCAAGGCTACGGGCGTTATGAATGTACAGAATCCAGTTGAGGAGGCGTATCGCTCAGGGCGTATAGAGGAGTTACCCGATGATGAGGATTAAGTCAACCATGCACTCGTGAATTGAGGGTGTGAAGAAATATATTATGATTATCATGAGACGATATATCCCTATTTGGCCTGTGCTTCCTGCTCATGAGAGGCTACACTGAGAATGAGAATGTGACGGTTTCCGCATAACGATGTAGTCTTTGAAAATACTTTTTGGAAAAAAAAGATGCCTCCTGCCTAACCTAGGCTTTTTGTTCCCCGTCATAAATTGGTAGTGAATATGTGTCCTCCCTTCGTCTTTGATTGCCCTAGATATGTCCGTCAAAATGGCAGAAAGCTGCTGATGTGCTGTGTCCCTCGTATAAATTCTGAACAGCAAAAATAAGTCAATCGAACCCCTTGCAATTCTAATCCTGCCAGTTCAGCTGCCGTATGCCTGGAAAGTCGTCCTTGCGCCGAACATCTGCTACTGGCGCAGGGATCTCGATACTGGGCAGATACCCAGTTCCGCCATCATTGCTATACTCGTCCAACCAGATTAGTCCTGCAAGCCGTCGGAGCGCCATGGTAACAAAGCCGCCAAGGTAAATATTGAGCCGGCAAATGGGATATGCGCTGAGCCACAATAGAAGTAGCATACCCGTAACCTTTTGCCACGGTGACATGTTGTTGAGGATAGCGAGCGGATTGAAGGCTTCGGTATCGTGCGTATGTGACGATGGTGATGCAAGCCAATGCAAGGTGCCGCTTGTGTAGAAGAGGAAAGCCCAACTGCATGCGCCGACAGTGTATATAGCGAGTCTTACATTAAGCTTGAAGAGGACAAAGAAAGTGAAGATGATGCCAGTTGTAGCTACTAATCTGTGTATAAGCGATTTGACAAGCGTTGGCATGGCGCTGAGGAATGCAAAGCCCTCAGCAATGTGTTTAGTTTGCGACTCAAAGATATCAAGTCGCTGGGCAATGTTGTCGACTTTGGAGAGAGAGCGGTCGGCGGCTTGATTTGTCTTGTTGATGGTGTCTTGGGTGACACCCATGTGGTTTGATAGGACCTCGTAGCTGCGCACCTGTGCCTCATGATTGAATTGTAGACTAGACAGAGCACCTTCGTGGTATTGCTGCAGTTGATCGGTGAAATGCTTAGCAAGCTGTGAGCTCTCCAATATCAAGTTTTGCGAAAACTCTTGCATTCTCTCATGTATCTGATCAATCTCTTTGCTCTGACTGGTGGCCAGCGCTGTTATGAGGGTTGAGATCGAAGACTCCATGAAGGCATTGAATTTCTCGTCTATCGCCTCTACTGTTGCAACTGCTGTCGTCCGAACCGCTTGGATGTCTTCTCTGAGCTCTTGATGCGAGTTTCGTGCTTCCTCGGCGTACTGTGTCTGTTCGCGGATCAGAGACTCGTATTTTGCTGTTGTTTTGTGCATATGTTCAGTCACACCACCGACAACCTTGGTCAGGTTTTTGAAAACTTCCAAGTGGTTTTCTCGCTCAATGGCGTCTCTGCTTGCCTGACACATGACAATTGCATTCTGACGGGCATTGCTAAAAGACGTCCAGTACTGAGGCATCGATTGAAGGCTCTTGAGGCATTGCATATACTGGTATTCCTTGAAATCAGGGTAGCACAGTTTGCCTTCAGATACCACTGCTGGTTGAGCATGCCACCAGCTGCCGCCTTTATCACAATACTTAGCAGCTGGAACAAGTATGTCGCAATGTGGCGGCGCAACTGGATTGATTGGTTGAGCACTTTGTAGTTCGCAAACAGCTAGCTTGGCTGCGTATTCTATTTTGACTTTATCAAGATATGCCTCCGGTCGACTTTTCGTAAACTCTGGCGCATGCTCCAGTAGTTTGCATTCGTTCATCAGGTGCGAAGCGGCCATCTGGGTGCATGTGGGTGCATTCTGCATGGACGATACGATTCCAAGAGCTTGCGTGATTACCTTTTGGTTCCTGGATGTTGTGTGTCGGAACAGTGAATCGACATCGATAGTAGGTACTGCGTCTGCTAGCGGAGAGTGATAGTGGGCAAGTGACCATGGAAGAAAGAAAATGCCCAAGATCAACAACTTTGCGATAGTGACCCTGATCCAAAGATTAAGAAACTGCTTTTGTTGTCGGGTAGTCATAGTAGTGGAAATGATGGCAAAACCGTGAGCGAAACAATGCACGACCGAAGTAGAAGGAACGGGAGAAAGGAAGAGGGCGAAGCACAGATTATACCACGAACGACTCTAGTGGCGTACTCAGTTGCCCTCTATATAGTGATAGAAGATCAGCGGTCGGTGTACCAAAGTATCGAGATTTTCTGTGATGTCTGGGTGAGAGCAAATCTGTAGCGGGAGGCCTTTGGTCAGTGAGAGAGCGAGCAGCTTTGGTCAGTATATGGAACCACGTGGTTCAAGCAACTGTCAGCATCGACTGTTGTAATGCGCAGCATTTTTTGCAGAAGACAAATGCGAGTTTTCTGGTGTTCCCAGATGGGATGAGAAGAGGAAGGTGCTGGCGAGCGAGCCAATCAGACCCGCCGATGACGCGCTATCACGAGACATGAGGATTAGATGAGTCAGCAATAAGTTGCGGTTTCCCGAAATTCTCGCGGGAGTTATTACCAGCAGTAATACAAGATGTTCGCCCCAGTCCGACAACGGTGTGCCCGAAGCCTTGCAAAGGCACCAATTCAACCCGCCGACGCGATCCCGACTTTTCTATTACCCACATTCTCGAGACCATCACGGCAAAGGACCTTTACCAGCACCGCACCATGTCAGTCCAAGATCGGCTCTGCGCCGCTCTCGATACCCCAGGGCGTCACCTTCAAGGTGAACGCACCTTCAGCAAAAGATAAGGGATCACGTATACAGGCTATGTCTACAGTACATATCAAAGGACCGCTTGGTGAACTTTCTATGGACATCCCTCCATACATCAATATCAACCAGGATGCGAGCCCGAATGGCCCTACACTCTCCATTGAGGATGCGACAGATGCGAAACAAAGAGCCATGTGGGGTACGAGTGCGGAATGTTTCCAAACTCCCTCAATTGCTAATGTGTGAACAGGTACCACTCGCGCATACCTCCAAAATCACATTCTTGGTGTGAGTGAAGGCCATAGCGCTATTCTCCGCTTCGTCGGTGTTGGATTCCGTGCCTCGGTCGAAGATAGCGCAACAACTGTCAATTCAGAATACCCCGGTCAAAAGTTTATCAATCTGAAGGTCGGATACTCTCACCCAGTCGAGCTGGGCATACCCAAGGGCGTTACCGCAAGCACACCGCAGCCGACTCGCTTACTACTAGAGGGTCCTGAGAAAGAGGTGGTTATGCAGTTTGCAGCAGAGATAAGGAATTGGAGAAAACCTGAACCTTACAAGGGCAAGGGCATCTTTGTCAACGGAGAGACGATTAAGCTCAAGAACAAAAGAGTTGGAGGCAAATAAGTGGGACCTTCGACTGTATATGTATATTATATGTACTGTGGCTGCACTGGATTATGGCTGTCCGGCACTAATGGAGCCTCGCCGCTGCTTATACAATATGTGGGAGAATACATGCAACCTCTTCGCCAGTCGCGAATCGACTTCGCCAAATCTTCTAGCCATTTTTTGTCATGGGCTCTGCTATCATCTGCTTTGGGCGAGGCAACCTAGGACGATCCAGAAATTTCGTTGTATGGCCTCAAGATCAAGTTCAGGTGATACCGAGAAATCCAGAAGCATTGCTAACACGCTGTTCATCTTGACGTTGAGGTAAACATACAAAGAGTTAATATCACAGATTGAAGGATCATTCCTGAAGCTAAATGCGATTCATGTTACCCCAGTCGTGTTGAGGGTAATCTCCGAGAATGAACAAGCATCTTTCGGCCGAATTTCACGAGATCGATTTGTTTCAGCTATTGTGGGATTGGTGGGCCAGGGGATGGTGTGGAATGCCTGATCAATAAGGAGACACTAGTACTAGATTGGTGTTCGCCAACAGTAACCTTGGCGACTTATTTTGTGAGTAACCGTCTCTTTCACAACTGGCAGAATTGTACAGTGGTTGCCCATCATCGTGATGGACAATATCCTTCAAGGTCAGCAGGGTCACCGCCCGCGAGGATAGCTGAAAGTTCTGAACCAATCCGGTATATCCAGCTTCGAAATTGGTATGTTTACCAGTATTTCTGTTCATCAAGAATAACTCGTTGTGTCATACCCGAATTCTGAATGACTATAGCTAGTTGCTCTAGGGTTACAAGTCCTATCAGCTGTGGAGATGCACGCGCTTATTGCTTTCATTCAATCAACTGTTACCGATTTTCTTACCGTGATCTTGCCGGCCCCATTATTCTCTATCAGATCCTCCTTACTTCCTTCACTAGAACGGCCAGAGATTTCCGTCTTTGTTGGTAATCCGTACAGCTCCTCTGAGTGTTTCTCAGCGTTTGCCCTTCTGCTGTCCGATGTTTTGATATAACCGCGACTGTTGTATGCGTATGATGGAGTGTTGCTGGAGACGGACTTCGCTTTTCGATATAGCCCTGGACCACAGCCGACGATAATAGCAACAGACGATTCGACTATGCTCCACAACGCGAGCCATGTCCCGACCGGCGTTGTTCTTTTTGGGCCGATAGTTGTGCCGACCTGAATCACACGCACGATACTGGCAATGACGACCAGGAGACCCAGCCCAAACAGCATGCATATTTGCAACTTGCGCATCATGGGTATACTGAGATTTTTTATAACACCAATTGGAAGGATCATGACTAAAAAAGACGATTAGCACTACCTAAGACTATTGAGAGCAGAGTGAGCTTACTCATGAGATCTGTTGTGAGGTCGGCTGTGAAGCCTGCCCAAAAACTGATCAAGGGCCGGCGAGCATCATCAGCGCCACACCCATCTTGATCAAACCAGGATGAAGGGCTTGGTCCGCAAGCTGTGATATGCAAGACAATCACTACAACCAGAGACTAGTTTCCCGTGTCAATTTATGACCGACAAGGTGCACATCAAGGAGGATTGAAACTTACAATCATACAGTAACTTAGGACTGCCCACCAACAGTTTTCATACGACTTGATACCAGCCATGATTCTCTTGTAGAAGGCCAATAGAGAGAATTTGATGCTCCATAGCGTGAACCATAGTCCGGGGTTGGTGAAGAAGAATGTCTTTTGCGCGTGGAGCTCGTCTTCGGCGAGGCTGGGATAAGGGGCAAGTCTTCCTTCTTGCACGTCCAGGATCCTAAATAGAACACCCACTTTGCTGATGTATACGGACGTTACTGTCATGAACAATAGGTAGCCGAAGAATAACCATACTTCGTCCCACTGCACGATGGTATTCCTGTCGACGCGCAGCACAACTCGTGAGCAGATCGTAATGGTCGTGACGACCATGAGGCCAATGGCGGCGCCTCGAAGGGTATCTTCTGTGCATCCAGATCCAGGCATTATCGAGACTTGTCATGTACCATGGAACAGAAAAAATAAATCAACGAGAAACCCGCTGATGAGAAAGAGGCCGAAAAGCTTGCACACGAGGCGCGATCAAGAGGGGGAGCACCATCATGTAGCACCTGGGTTAGACCTTGGGAACTTCCAGGGGCATGTAAGTAAAGGCCGCTGGAATCCAAGCTTTTCAGCCTCTTGCTGGGGGGCATTGCGTTATCCCCCGCACGTATATGGCCAAGCACTATTGTCATTGGAATAGGCGGTACAAGCGTTGCTCATAAGGCAAGGTGCGCGACCACTATTCGTGCGGAAGACAACTAGTCCGAATGCCCAGGTTACATGCCAAGAAATCAGATAATGTAACGCCATTCTATCGCGGTATCCCAGTTACCAAGTACTAAACAAGCCCAAGATCTTACATATTTTACATGTAGCGAGATTAAGTGGCGGATTAGTCCGGGAAGATACGAAGACGTATATAAGACACGGATCTCACGAGGGAACATTGTCGCGCGACCGTTGAACACAGAGCTGGGAGACTGGGCACTCTCGAGAGAGGCCTTGTTCATGGTCCAAGGATCATGATAGGCGATACAGCCCCGAAGCATGGAGTTAGATACCTGTATATATCCGACACGGTCTAACATCCTAGCCAAGATATCCCATTTCCCCCGAGCTGAATCCTTCTTGCTGCACAGCCATGAGTCGATGCACCTTTGTCAGTAAGTAAGTGTGTAGCAGTCTGGGCCCCCTTCTCCACCCCTTCATGCTAGAGAGTTTGTAATACAAATACAGTTATCGCACTAGCGGATGCGGGCCAATGGCGGGGCGAGAAACCCCCACATGCGGCTAGTAGCCCCCTTGTGCCTGTCTCATCATCAACCCAGAACAGAGTCCTTTGAACCACAGCGCCGCGTATCACCTTCGTATCGAAAGCACCTACAAATTTCGTGCGTATGCAAGAAAGGATTCTTCTCTCGTCCCATTGTGGGGGGGAGGCAAGTGGACTTTCTGATATGCCCCCCTAATATATGCGAGTGTGCATGGCACTGCTTGCTCGATTTTCTATCGTCAAACGGACTACTTACAAGCTCCACTCGCAACGAGAACGCTTCGTTGAGGATGCTTACCCCATAATTAAGGCAGCCTTTCTTTCTACTAACAAAGGTACGATTATGCAATGTTAAAACGGATAACAGACCACGATCTAGCCGTGCCGTGCCGCGTTCATGGTCATCGCGTTACTCCATTAAGCTTCCGAACCTAATCGGCTCTACATAAGCACCCGGCTCGAGGCGAGTAAGATCTTTGAGTCTTCATACTCCGTCAATCTTCGGCGTTCCTAGCCGACGCAGTAGGATACCTCGGCATCACCTGCTTATCTCCAGTCGGCCGCGCGGTCTTTCGTCTTGGCAGTCTTCACATCTCTTGTGGCATCGCAGACGTTTGACCCTCCCAAGTTCGATGTCACGCATTCAATTCGGATCGCAGACATCAGTTCCACCCGCTCGACCCGCTCGAACGCATGCACGAGGATCAAACCACTGGATTTCCATATAAGGCAGGTTACCTTGCGTTCGCGTCTCGGTTCTGATCCCGGATTTCTGCCGAAGTGGTGCCATATCGCATCTACCGATACAAGCCTTTCGGTTCTTCTGCAGTTCTAGTACTGGCGCCTTGATCATGACTCTCGCATTATCCATTTATTATCAAGCGTGGTAGACACGGTGCTCTATTAGGCGCCGCCAAGATCAAAGGGGCATCACTATGTCATTCGAGAATCGGAAGGGTATCAAGGGGGTGGATGAAAAGAATACGACCACTGTATAGCCGGACGACAACCGGGCAGCGGTCTTATAGCGTGATCTAGAACTGTAGAAATTATGACGACTAGACCAATTCAATGTTGCTACTTTCGAAGTGGGGCATCTAGTTTGTCCGCAAAGAGGATTCTACGCAGTAAGCTGACCTCTTCGCAGATCGTTATAACAAGCGGTACCAGCGTCACAGCAAGCCCCACGTAACCCCCACATTCACATTGGCCACTACGCAGCGGCTACAGCAACAACTTTGGTATCGTGACTAGTTTCACCCTCGAGACGAATCGTCTTCCCTTAAACTGGACATAGTATGAGATATACATGCACACAACGAAGATGTCTTACCCAGCATAATCAAATCCTGACCCGATCTCACATCGAACTCATCACAAGATTGCAAGACAGGGACCCAAATCATCTTTCTAACCGCTAATACAATCTCACATTTAGACAGCTTTGATACGGCGCCTCATCTGGAATGAATCCCCTACCATTCTCGACAATCTCTGCTATCCCGAAAATCCTCACAGCTGCGCCGTAACAAACGTCTTTAGCTTCCGCAAAATCTTCTTTATTATCATCGTTAAATCCTCGTACAAGATTTTCCAACGCAAAATTACCATCTATTTCAACGTAATCTGACACTACCTTTCCATAGGCTTAAGGTATTTACAATGGGGCATCAGACTTTGTCTTTAGAATTTCTCGCCATGCACTAGATGTCACGGCCGTGACGGCCACCAAAAGGGGACAGGGTATCAAAAAAGTATAGTACGAGTGTTGCTATCTCGGAACTGTGGGAGGTGAGGCTAAGTACAGAATCCCTGTCACGGTGCAGGTTCACGGGCAGAGAAGGCGGGCACGTGTACAGGTTCTATTGCTACAGCTAATCAACAGGCTCTCACTACAGGTAGTATAGAGTAGAAGATAGAACGTAGCTTAAAGAGCTCTCTAGACTATAGTACTATAGTTTTATAGAATCTAAGTACTTAGGCCTATACCTAGATTCTTCTAGTAGCCAATTAGGAGGCTGCGTGCTAGCTGCCTCGCTAGCGCTGTAGCCCTAATAGCTACCCGGGGGATTCCAGCCTCGCTGGCACCTGGAAGCTGTCGGTCCGCTATTATGTCAGCTAGCGCCGTGACGTTCAGACGATAGCTGCACAACCTAGAAGCTATCGTTTAAACGTCGTTTGGGCGTGCGCGGAGGATTTGGGTGCTTAAGGTAGCACTCGGATTTTCGCGAGTAGACTGAGATTCTATTAAGGAGCTAACTATCTAAAGGGCGTTTAGCCTATTACACTGCGCTCTAGAGAGCAATCGCGAGGTAAATAAGAGGTTGTATTTAATAGAGAGCTAAGCTCCTTACTACGCGGTTATCTATATATAAGCTATTACGGCGATAGCTAATATAATAGTAGACTAGTGTTATGGCGCTAGCTGACATAATAGCGGACCGGCAGCTTCCAGGTGCCAGCGAGGCTGGAATCCCCCGGGTAGCCGTTAGGGCTATAGCACCAGCGAGGTAGCTAGCGTGCGGCCTCCTAATTAGGCCGGCAGAATCTAGGCGTAGGCTTAAGCGTCTAGATTCTATAAAACTATAGCACCGTAGTCTAGAGAGCTCTTCGAGCTATATCCTATCTTCTACTCTATACTACCTATAGTGTCACATGTATATGCTATTCAGCTCCAGATACTGCCAATGCAGTATACTGTACCTTTTTGGGCACGTGATGGCCTAGGTGGAGCTGAGCCAGGTATCGTCACATATAGTGAGAGCCTATTAATTAGCTGTAGCAATAGAACCTGTGCCCGTGCCCGCCTTCTCTGCCCGTAACCCGCACCGTGACAACTAGCAGCTTCTAGGTATAAGAGGCTGGAATTCCCCGGGTGGCTGTTAGGGCTATAGCGGTGAGGGCTAGGTGCACGAGGCAGTTTGGATGTGTCCTAGATTTGGAAGAATTTAAATTCTTTGAACTATTGCAACTCAACCACCGCGTTGACGCCGCATTCGGATGAGAATGTTTCCACACTTGCAGCTCATGACTGTTGAAGTGATGTGGCGCAGTGGGTTTGCTGGCTTGTGCATCGTGAATGGCTACTGTTATCTTGCACTCACCCATGGTTCTAGTCCCTCGCCCACAGTTCTTGTCACCCTCACCCACCCAAAAAAGCGTTTGCTGCCTTGTGTATCACAAATGAGCACCGTTATCTTGCACTCACCCATGGTTCTAGTCCCTCGCCCACAGTTCTTGTCATCCTCACCGATAGTTCTCACTGCAGTTGCAAAAACCTTTTGCCGCCTCAGACCCAAAAAGCGTTTGCTGGCTAGTATATCACTAAGTGCCACCGTTACCTTGCATTCAGTCCTTACTTCTCATACCTTCCATCCCCGTACACCTTCCATCCCCGTACACCTTCCATCCCCGTACACCTTCCATCCCCTCGCACTCTCTTCTCCCACCTTTTCTACCCGCACCCTCTCTTCTCACACTTCTCCGAGCTCCAACACGCACAATGGCCCACCTATTTGGCGAGCCAGTCCCATACGACGCTGAGCAGAGTCAGCGCATAAAGAAAAGAAGGTATCTCTCACGCTCAGATGAAGAAATTCAAGACGAGATGGACAAGGGAGGGTTAAGCTACCGTGCTGGATGGCCAAATCTACCGCCTTTACCCGTCGATACTATCTTCACAGATGCATTCAAGTTAGTTCCAGATGCCAGCAAGAGAATCCAAGACGCGGTTGATATCCTAGAGACTCAAGGTGTCTCCAATGGAGTACGGGGCTTCGCCTTTAGGGTTCCTCGCGATGCACCAGACGATGACGATCTTTCTCCGTACCTGACCCTCCTCTGTCCCATCGACATGCGCAAAAGCTCGAATATCGTTGTGCACGCTATCACCAGAATCCGATCGGAATTCAAGAAGCACGAAGCTGCGCAGGTTATTCAGATCGAGTTTATTGATTATCGTGCCCTCGACTCTCTCCGCAACTTCCCTATCCATCACAATGACTCAGACATTGCCAAGAAATGGGAAGGAGTGGTATTGCCGGTCATCCTTGAGCTGTTGAAAGAACATGAGTGGCTCTCCCTAGAAATGTTACGCCGCGGTCTAGACGATACTCCCAAAGAATGCCCTCCAACCGTCGTGATCACAACTCCAACTGCGCGCGACTCAAAATGGGCTACGACCATCAAGCCAGCAATCACAAAAGCCATTAAAAAGATCGACCGTGACTTCGAAGTCGAAATCCTCTGTGGCGTGTCACTTCTGGCTGGCAAAAGGAAATACGAGCCCTCAGACTTGGTTGATGGGAGGGCATACGAAAAGGTCGTTCGTATGGGCTCTTCTATTGGCATTTCCGGCGACCCAGATGGCTGCAGCACTCTGGGAGGAGCTGTGACCCTTGAGGGTGGCATCAAGTGCGGTATTACCAACTGGCACTGTGTCAGGGACGACAGGCTTGACCAAGGTATGACTTCATCCAGCCTCATCGATATTCAAACTAACTTCAATGCAGTTGTTTCACGGACAAAAGACAAAACTCTGAGTTGCGGCAACAAGACATTGAGCAACGTCCCTCAACGCATCCTGTCTCCTTCGACGTTTGACCATCACAGTCGCCAAGCTCAGCTGAACGCAGCGATCAAGATCTTTGCAACCAGTGTTGCTCCGGGACATGCCGTTTACGAAGATTTGAAGAAAAAGGATGAATGGAGACTAAATGAGGAGGCACAAGCGGATCGCTACCTTGGTCAAGTCTATGCAGGTTCAGGCCGCAGGACCATTGCAGCCCCCAAGTATGCGACAGACTTCAAGACAGGTAAATCCAAGGGCAAGCAATGCCAAGAGCCTCAATACAACTGGATTTCAGACTGGGCTTTGATACACATCGACAACATCAAGCAACGCGATGTCGTCAACCAGTTACCTGAAACCGTGACCGGAAAAGTATTGCCGCTGGTGCATGATATGATCTGCAATCAATGGTCGACTTTCAATGTCAACCGAGAGCGAATTACCGTTGCCAAGTTTGGACGCAGTACACATCAGACCCGGGCAGTTATCAACTCTACTATTGTCCTCATCGACCCTAGCGTAGATGCGCAGATCTCTAAAGTCTATGGTTTCACTGACAAGTATCGTGGAGCATGCTATGAGGTAGTCAAAGCCAAGGTGAAAGATCCAGAATTCCTCGACTTGGGCGACTCTGGCAGCATATTGTTGCATTCAGAGTCTGGCACACAGCTTGGGTTGCTGTTTGGCATGGGCAGCACTGGAAACGCCTACTTCATTCCCATGGGTCTTGTGATTCAGGACATTGAAAATGTCACGGGAAAAAAGGTCGTGGAACCTGCTTTTGTTAGTAAGTGGTACTCTATATAGATGACACAGTATAGAGCTAACGCGTTATATAGGGCCGGAAATAGTAGGGTTAGCTCCGTACCAACAGGCAGAATAGTTTGGCCAGCATTCTTGTCTCTGCCAATCATCACTATGTGAGGTTGTACTGAAGGGTGAGAAGGAGGTCGAGCAGGACAAGGAGCAGAACAAAGAAACTAGGGATGCATTCATGCCAGCATCACATTGATGGCTTTTGATTTCTATTTTGTGATTGCATTGATTCAACCTGCATCAAATAGGTGTACAGTAATGAATGATTAACTGCTTGCTACTCAAACAAATGTTTCGCGCAGAGTAAGGAGAGTGCAGACAAAGGTGGAGGTTGCCTGTATTTTCTATAGTGAAACTCATTGCTCGATACAAGCTAGACCGGTTTAATTGTCAAAAGATATGTGAACCGCAGTTCAGTTTCCTTATTCTTTTTCGTCTTCTATTGCAAGATAGTCACTGTTGGGGCAGATGACAGTAAGATGGCAGCATCCAATGTCACATGCATATATAGAAGATGATGAAGTTCCCAAAAGAAAATAATTCTCACGATTCTAATGCCGGAACCTCATAAATGGGGGAGCAAAAATGCTTTGATAGCACTAGCAACAGAAGCTAACATACCCCACCCAGTTCCTTCTGCCCAACCGGCCAGCTAGCTAGTCCGTACTTCTCCATCCTCTCTCACCTCTCTGCCCCCACTTTTACACTGGAAAAAATAAAACAAGAAACCGTCACAAACGCCAATCATGCTCATAACTCGTGACCAAATCGCATAAGAAAAGAACGCAGACCCCACAAAGGAAACCAACGCAAACTACTGCAGCAGCGGATCGCGGAAATGCTTCTGGTGGTTATTCCTCCGCTCGTTGCCAGCTTGATATCTGTTCCTCGCACGCTGCTCCTTCTGGCGGTCTCGCTTCTCTACAGATTCGACTTCCTTCTTCTTCGCGTCCGTCACGCCCGTCATGCCGTGCAGCCCGTTGTTGCGGGATGAGATAAGTTGGCGCTTGACGTCATGGCCACGACCGCGGAGTTGGACTTGCTGGTCGGCACCGTCCATGTTGGTGTCGCCGTCTTGGTCTTCGGGTGCGGGGAGGGCGCCGGGAATAGCGCGGCGCTGGGCTTCCTCCATACGCTCGGCTACGCCAGGGTAGTTGCGGAGATTCTGGCGGTAGTACTTGTTGAGAGATCGGTGGCCGGCGGTGCGGCCGGAAGGCAGATGCAGCTCGTAGTCGTCGTAGTAGACGGCCTGGGGTGTGTGGTGAGCATGCGAATGGAAGCCATCTGCTGCGCGATGCGGACGCGGGTCGGTATGGCTATGGTGCTTGGACTTGCTGAGGGACTTGTGGCGGTGGCTGCGGTCGATGGGGACAGCTGTGATCTCATCGGTGGGCACGCTCGAAACGGTGCTGTCGGTTTCCCAGCCCTCGTCTTCTTCAGCATTGCTAGACATGGCAGCATCGTCTTCGGTGGTCGTCTTGGTCTCACGTCTCGCTCCAAGCTTGATTCCACCTCCTGTGGTTGACGAAGAATCGTCTGAATCCTCAGCCTCCTGTTCCCTCTCGTTGAAGTCGGCGGCGTCTGGGTATGAACTTCGGAAGTCGTAGAACTCGCCGATCTCAACAAGCTCTAGCTCAGTTTCGAAGGCAATCATGCAGTGACCGCGGTCGCGCATGTGTGTTTGGATGCCAGAGGCAGTGTGGAGGACCTTGTGGCACTTCAAGCATTCGTGGTAGACATGCACCTTCTCATGCAGGTACTTAATCAGCTCTTCCGGTTGGACAAGGAATTCCTTCTCAGGTATGAACATGCCGTGGAATCGACTCATGTGCGTGACGTTAAGTTGAAAACTGGGAGACTTGTAGTTGCAGAACAGGCAGTCAAGTAGAGGATCAGCAGCAGGCTTGGTAGAGGCGGCGACTGAGCTCTTGTCGTCTTGGGCTCCAGCGGACTCTTCTGACGCGGGAGCTTCACCGTTGAGAGTAGTCTTCTTTACAACATGAGCGAGATCAGATATTTCAGTATCCGCATCGCCATTGATAGTAGCCTCGGACTCGGCCATGGACTCTCCGAGAGAAAAGGCAGAGCTAACCATAGAACCGGTCACGGAGGCGGCATCATCCAAGTGCGCACCCTTTGCCGATTTTGCCACATTCATACGGTGCTTTTGGCTGTTGAGATGATTGTTATAGGCATTCTCGCTAAAGTATGTTTTCTGGCATGCGGAGCACGACTTTTCAAATGAAGCCTTGGCGGCAGTGGCGGCAGCGCTGGCTTTGTTGGCAAGGACCTTCTCGGTGAAGATTTCGGAGGACAGAGGCGGGAGGGAGGCAACGCGGCGCTTCAGGTTGTAGCGATGCCAGTCGGTTTGCATATGCGCCCGCTGCAACTCGCTGGACCGGAAGGCGACCTGACATGTGTTGCAGGTAAAAGGGTGCGTGGACTGGATATTCGCCTGGGTAGGCACTTGCGACGCCATATCTGCTGCTGTTTTCGAGGATTTGGGCGTGGTTGCAGTCAGAGGGGTGGAGGGAGGCGAGATGAGAGGGGAGAAATAAAAGGCGATTAATAGGTGGGGGTAAGTGTGGGAAACGGTAGCGCGGTTGGGTCAGGCCTTTATGACTGGCCGGGGGGCAAAATTCTCTAACCGGATGATACGGCGCTGATTAATGGGTACCAGAGGCAGTGTTTGAGATGCAGACACTGCAGGCAATGCTGGTCACGGCGGAGCTGGTGGAAAGGGCGCAGCGACGGGGGATGCGGCGAATATTGAAGTGGACGGCCATGACATCAGCTGTGGCGCCAAGCCGCGGGCACATGGCATCCCTGCAGCGGGTGAGAGCCGCATGGCAAGAGCGACCAACCCACTGGCCGCTACTCAGCCCTATGGCCTGTCGAGAACTGCTTGTCTGAGATGAGACGCTCAGTACGTGACCGCTCCAGCGCGCCATGACATTCACCAAAGCACTGCTGGCCACCGTCTTCACTCCCCTTTCGCGCTTAGATGGTTGCAGCTGCCGATGACATGGCCATGTCACAAGCAACCGAGCACCCACGCGTCTCTCCGCGCACCCTCTCCCCTCCAACCTTATCCTCCACGGCGATGCTGGGAGAACCGCCAAGGCGTCCGTCACGTGCCCTAGACAGCACCCGATTGATCAATGTTGTAGAGGTGCAAGACCCTCGTCGGGTGTTGGAATGCTCCCAGACGGAGCGCCAGCGCCAGTTCCAGCACCTTGTGCGGCAGTAAGTCCCCCTCGGCTCGTGCACCTTGGGACAATGCGCTGACCACGACAGCTACCTATCCCAGATCCTCTACGGCTGTAAGAGCCCCTACTGCACTACCCCCACTTGCCTCTCGTCCCACAAGCGCAATGCCTCCAAGCCCCACCGTCCTCCTACACACCTTACTGCCACCGCCCTTGCCCACTATCTTGCCAGTCAAGACGACCCCCAGAGAGGGCTGTGTCCTCATGACCTCAACATAGCGCCGTCTTCATTTGAACTGGGCGATAGCTCAGTACAGTTGACACATGGTTTGGACAAGGAATCTATCGCGCATGCTTCATCAGAGCAGCAAGTACGTCAGTATGGAGATAAACGTATTGGGACTGGCCAAGGGGACACGCATGTCCGTCACCAACCTCAACAAGAGCAGGTTAGCACTGTGAGCGAGCTCATGCGCAGGCAACAGGTTAGGAAGGACCCAAAGGCGCTTGGTCAGAATTTGTACGACAGTCTCGCCATGATATATTCCTATACCAAACAAATACCCACTTCCGCCTCCATACTTGCTTCTCTACATCCCTCCCATGACGCCTCTCCCCAAAATGAACACAGCTCCAGGACAAACGGGCATGATAGGAACACCAGTCTGGAGTTGACGCCTTCCATCGAACATATCAGTTTAGCACATGTGAATGCCAAGCCCCACACGCAATGTGAACATTCACAAATGGCTTCTGACAAGGCAGGAACGGGCGCGCCAGCTGCTCAAGTTGTTCACAATGGCCGGTATATTCACAGGATACCTTACCACCCTCTTAATAACAAAGCACGAAGCCAATCCCACACAAATACAGAAAGCACTCCATCCGACGCAGCGACAACTGCAACCATGCTATCCATCTCAAAGTCCGGTAGAAAAAGTTTCACGATTGGAGGAGCGAACCCATTCATTACGAATGATATAAGAAAAACTCCAAAGGCACTAGAGAATCCTAAAGGAGATTCTGCAAGCTCGGACCGAACGGATAACAGTATACCTGTCTTGTCTAGCCTGAGCTGCAGCATTCTAGATGAACTCAAAGAAGACATACGCCCTCGTGGAGACAAAAGATCTGCGGACTTCAATCATCTCGTAGACTTCGATGGCCATCGTCCGAACCGACGAACAAAGCCCATTATTAATCGATCATTGTTTTACACACTAAGCGACCCTGAAACGTTGCTCTCATCTTTCCGTGAGAGCAGCGCAGCCTTCAAGGACTCGCCGCTTCCACATCTTGACTCGCATCGATTGGTCATCTCTTTCCGAGACTGGAGCCGCCGAAATGGTGCCCTCATTTTCGATAGCTTGTACTTGTCACTAGAAGCCCTGTTTGCGCCGCCTCCCGAACTCACCCTTCACAAAAGCCCTCGTCTGAGACCATCAATCAAGAGTGCCCCTGCGAACAGTCTGTCGGGGCAAGCAAAAAGCAACGGTAAATCAGACACTCCGCCACGCTACCTCAGTACTGAAGAAGCTGCTCATGTTGTCATGATATGCATACATGCTTTGACCTCATCGGTGCGGAGAGGTCGGCCGCAGACGTGGGCACAAATCCGAAAGTTGCGATCATGGGGTATCATTGTACCCCATGCGTTCCCTGATACCGGTACTTTCACAGACCCGCACATGGACATTATTGATGAGCTCGAATATGAGCCCGCATTACGCCTTGCAAGTCGCTTGTGTCGCGCAATTGGAACGCGGTGTTGCTTTGAACACATCCTCCACAGTCTGAGCGATGACGATGGAGAATCTCAAACTACTGATCAGTCACTTCTGGATGTTGTCATAGATCACCTGGAAATAGTCGAGCGTGTTGCATTGGTAAACAAGCGCAGACTCAATCGTGATCAGGACAGTGAGAGTGATCCGGGTTGGACTGTGACAGCCACATTTGTAGAGTGGCTGCGAACCGTCATAATCAAAGAATGGGATAGCAAGGCTGAGATCAACAAATGGACCAGTGTTGGCACTGCCGTGATCATGCTGGATAAACTTCGTAAGCCACCGATATCCAGTCCATAGGACAAGCTAACATTCCCAGATTCGAAACACCCGTCTCTTAACTTGCGCCCCAAAATGTTCGAAATGCCTATCCTGAACGAGCGCCTTAATGCGGTGAGTGAGCCTGCTGCATTCGTGGCATGGAAGGAAAAGCCAAACACCCTTCACGTTTTACAGTATACTTGTCTATTCTCCGCTCAACATCTGGTCGCATACTTTCGCACAATCAACTTCTCAGAGATGATGAAGCACTATGACCACACCATGCGCACTCAACAGATGCAAGCATCACTCAAGATGTTTCTTCGAGAACCTTATTGGTGGGTCATTAAGAGTCGCCTGAAAGTTACCCTTAGTGAATACCTCGTCTTGGATGTCAGTCGAGAAGATCCACTAAAAGACACGCTTGATCAATTGTGGGGCCAGGACAAAAGAATGCTTCTCAAGCCGCTCAAAGTAAAGATGGGCCACGGTGAAGGAGAAATTGGTGTCGATCATGGCGGAGTAACATATGAGTTCTTCCGCGTAATCCTGAGTGAGGCATTTAAGCCTCAGCATGGTAAGTAGCTGCGGGCCTTTGTGCATTGAGGCATAACCTAACTTTACAAGGCATGTTCACAATCGACCCGCAAACGAGAATGACCTGGTTTCAGCCCAAGAGTCTCGAACCGCTGTGGAAATTTGAGATGTTGGGTATCTTGTTTAGCCTTGCTGTATACAACGGCATTACGCTTCCAGTTACATTCCCGTTGGCCTTTTACGAATATCTCCAAACTAACGGCAGTCCACCTTATATCCATGCTGTCGAGCAAGACGCCTTGGAATACATCAGAGACGGCTGGCCAGGCTTAGCAGACAGCTTCGAAGAACTACTATCTTGGAGCGACGGCGATGTCGAAGACATCTTCACGCGCGAATACGTCTTCAGCTACGAAGTCTACGGCCAGCGCATCGACCACAACCTTCATCACCCATTCAACAACTCAAGTCCCACTGAAGAACCGGACATGGTAACCAATGAAAACCGCACCCAATACGTCCGCGACTATATCCGCGCCCTAACCCACGATTCAGTCGCCTCTCAACTTCATTCCTTCCTCAAAGGCTTCCTCTCCTGCATCAAACCCAAAAGCCTCCACCTCTTCACCCCCACAACCCTCCGCGCCCTCGTCGAAGGAACCCAGCACATCTCCATCGCCGACCTCAAACGCTGCGCAAAATACGAAGAAGGATACAGCGCTACAAGCCCCACCATCCAAACTTTCTGGGACATTGTCGAGAAATACAGCCAAGAGGATTGTAGACACCTACTCGAGTTCGTCACTGCGTCGGACCGTGTGCCGGTCACTGGGTACGAGAGTATTACGTTCCATATTGCAAGGATAGGCGGGGCGCCGCATGCGCTGCCCAGTAGCTCGACGTGCTTTGGCAAGTTGTATTTGCCTGAGTATAGGGATAGGGGGGTTATGGAGGGGAAGATGTTGTTGGCTATTCGGAGTTCGAAGGGGTTTGGGCTTGTGTAAGGTGTGCATGGAAGTTTATGCGGTATTGGGTTTTGTTGTTTGGGGATTGGGGATAGAATGGATGGGGGTGGTATCAATATTTCATGCGTATGTATAGATTGTTTTGAAAATAAAAAGAGGGGGGTTAGGGCGGGTAGGGAGTTTCAATGGTATTTTTTTGTACATGCTGGTAGTTGGAATGGGTTTTGTAATGGAGAAGTTGGTGGTACTTGCGGCTTCTCGTTATAATCATGATGATGCATTGTGGTCTACATTTGTAGGCAGAGTCCGAAGTTCGATTATGTTACTGTCCACTTCTATAGTTGCATGAATACCCGCACTGCTGAGGTAGCATAGCGACATTGATCACGTCATGTGTCACGGGCGGCTCCGGCGTGCATTATATGGGGGAAAGTTATATTTCAGCTATTAAATACGACCAGATCTAAAAGTCCCAGCAGAAACGTCTATGTGAAAGCCATGTAACATCACGTGTCATGTCGAAAGGGCCCACTGTGTGCATCTGGTTTTGACCAGTGCCATATCAAAGGATCTCCAGATTGTTCTAGATCATATAATACATATCTTCTATACACAATCTAACTGTTGAATATTCTCACTTTGCTCTTGCAATCCGAACCCTTCGCGTCGATGGAATGACTCCTACCGCAGAATTCACTAGAGAACGAGCCCTGGACCGCCGCGCAGCTTGTGCAAGACGATATCGCGCTCAGCGCCTATAAATTGTGTTTATGGCCAGTCTCAATGCCAAATCAATAATTGCCTTCACTTATGTACCACTATTGACCGCTGATATGATAAATATCACATTATCATGTTCATTGAATAGCAGATGTTGGGTAGGGGCTTGGAAACTACACCCTTGCAGCTTACGCTAGCTATCAAAGAGGCCAAGTTTGCGTGTAGCGAATCGAAGTGCCGCCTAGATTTCCTCAGCAGAGATGTAGCTATACTGCTAATTGTGACGCACTCAGATATAGTTGGAATGTATGAAGAGGTGAACTTTGATCTCACTGCTATGAGAAACAATCACAAGAGTAAGCTGGAAGAGCTGAAATTGACGGGGCCAGCTGAGATATCAGAATTGGATACATTTTTAGCCTCAGATCACTTACTCCATCTCCGTGTTCTTCGAATGAACAGTTGCTGGGGCACACGCCGTGCTAACTCTTCAAACAAGGTACAGTAGTTAACCAAGAAAGCTTCAGGGAAGCCTCTTGACATGAATCTGTACCAACTGTCATAGGCAATATTAGGGGGACGCACGGGAGCGATTTTGGTGTTATGGATATCATGAGCTAGCTAACCTGTGATTTGAAAAGTCCCCGGGTATGTCTATCTAGCTTATGTCACGTGATGACTATCCATCCCTTCGGTCACTGAGAACTTCGCAAAGGAATCAATTTCAACACTGAGCTTTTCTTTATCCATCCTTAATACATTTGAGATCTAGAGGTAGAGACTTTGATTTAAACGATGCAATATGTTGTGCAAGGCAGTGGCTGAGAAGGCTGAGCTGAGCTGCTGCCGTGGGGCAGTGCTATGTCGGTGCCTAGACCACCCTTCAACCACCGAATTCAGCCTGCTCATAGAAACACCATCGCCCTTATACCAAAGTCCATACACCCTAAAGCGTCTTTTATCGTTTATTGGTATTTTCTAGAAGGCCTCGCCCAGGGAATGTTCGATGGCTCAAAATCAGTCCCAATTCGACGACCTTGAAGAATTGGAAAGGCATATAGCTGAGATTGTTCGCACCGGACGCACAAAATACCAGGAAAGACTATTCAAAGGTATCTCTGGTTCTTCTAATATGAGAAGTTTCTAATGTCACCACCCGACAGATGTAATAGAGCGAACAGTCATTTGGTGTCGCCGTGCACTCATCCTCACTGATCCCCTTATCACCCGTCGGGACATAATCGCTACAAAAGGTCGAATATCGCCTAGCCCATTCGAATGGGTAATAAAAGACGATCGCTACCGTAAATGGCTGGATAGTGGTAAGAAACGCGATAGGGACAGAGGCTCACAGCTGCTATGGATCTCAGGCACTCTGAGCACGGACACGACAACGCTATCTGTCTTTCTAACAGAGGAGCTAGAGAAACATACTGCGGTAGCAGAAAACGCGGAATTGGTATTCTTCTTCTGCAACAGAAGCAACACATATACGCTTATGCTCTACGGACTTATAAGCCAAATTGTCACTAAACGCCCAGAGCTATGTCAGCACCTATATGGCGACTTGGAACGATTGAATAAAATTCAGGAAAACCTCGAAGCAGCCCAAAGATCTGAAGGAACTTTTGAAGAAACCCCGGAAATGTCTGCATTTATGTTGGAAATATTTTGTACGCTTATCAGAGCACCAGGACTAGGTACAATGTTCTGCGTGATTGAAGGATTTGGCGATTATGACAGGTCTGGCAGCGTGTACAGGGCGATTATGGACTATTTCAACGACAGATATCTTCCGCGGCGGCTTGCGGGTAATTTCATGCTGCTAATTGTCAGCCGCACTCTTTCCCATCTGCCGCACCACTGTACAGAAATACGATTGTACTCTAAGCAAGCAGTCGAGGACACCGAAAAGCTGCTTCCAGAGCATGAGACGGAATACACCAGCAGTTGTGATGGCAGCGACGAAGAAGTAGAACATCCTTATTCGCTATCTCAAAGGATAGATTCTCATCACAAACAGCGCGGTGCCAGATTTGCTCAAAAAAGCTTTTTTCAGAGCCATATGCGGAGTCGCCATGCAGAGAGTAGTAGCAGGCTAGCACCCTATATTTGTTCAATTTGCAGCAATAGCTTTGCGAGGAGAACAGATCATCTTAGACACATGCTAAATGCACACAACCACACAAAGTCGATTATATATGGAACCAAGCGGCAGGAGCTATCTTCCCAACCCCGAGATGATACGAACAACAATCTGAAGGTGTCAGACGATGATTTCGATCTAGCATCTCCTACATCTCGAATAGAATCGATTTTGTCATTAGCGTCCATGAGCTCCACAGCGACCGGCAAGCAACAAGAGGACGAGGGCAGGGACGAGGAAGAGAACGAAGCGGAGGAGAGCAAGGATGATGAAAGGCAAAAGGTACACTCATTGAATCGGATGCCTGATCTTGTGCCTGAAGTGTATTTACCCATGGAATCCGGAGAAGCATTCATCGAGAAGCGATATCATCGGACGCTTTTTAGTCGAATTCAAGTGGCACTCGACAACTTGTTCATTGCAGCAGGTTTTTTGGAGCCGCCTCTAGAGCCTGGGATGGTTCGTGTGAGATGGAGATGCGTAAGTTCATACCGCAGGTGGGTGCAGATTTACAAGCGATTACTGATCAAATATCAGAGGTGCGGAGAAAGCTTCTTCGGTGACGTAATCGAGTACCGTCACAATGGTATACATGAACTCACAGACAGGATGAGCCGTTCCACAGGTGCTAGTATCACTGTAGCTTCGTATAGCAAGACATCTAAAAACCAAAATTGGAACTTCAAATTCCCTGCTTGGGCAAGGCGGGGTACTGGTACTTCTTCGGCTAAAGCAACGACCCCTAACTCTGGAGGGGGCTTACCGCAGTACAACGCTCCCCATCGTTCTGCTCCTTTAACCTCCTCAGCGCCGGCTACAAATACATCAACAAATTCAACCCCTAGGCTACATCTTCTAGCCTGCGCGCACCGGACTGAACGGCGAAAGTGCCTTTTACAAGATCCCATCGATTCTGTATCCACAGATCGAGCACTGTTCTGCTTCATGAAGCAGCAAATACGGTGCAATAATAGTCGTTTCCGAAGTATCCTAGCAATGAGAAGTATACAAGGAATGTTCTTTGTCAAGGTAAGTCTTGAATGAGCAGCTTGACGAGAAAGACAAATTTTGAGAAATACAAGTTTCGCCTTCGTATGGGCAACAACGTCGAGGTACGAGACCATAATCCTTGCTGCACCTCAATGAATCCAGCCATTTGTGAGTGCATACCTCCAGCACCAAAGGTCGAACCATCTCAGGACGCTGAATATCGCTGTTCACCACCGGGACCTCTCGCAATATGGCCCCCAGTTTTGTCACAAGACTTAATGCATATGCTTTCCTCGCCACAATGCATCCATGAAGATGAGACATGGGTTCTTGACCAGCTACCGAAAAGAACGGCTGGGGAACTCCAAGCATGCGTAGGAAAACCCGCAGAAGGCTGGGGCATATACTATAAAGAAGGGATTGACTTCGACATGATTATTGGCGTAGTGTTCGCTGTTTTTCTATTGGGCAGCCTTCTTTTCGGTATTCTATGGACTGTGCTAAAGAGGGATATTCAGGGTGCCTTTGGGGTTAGCGCCTATGTGGTAACTGCGATCAGCGTCTTTGTAACATGGGTTGCGACTCGTGCGAAGAATCTTGGGTAGCTTTTACACGCAACGTTGCATCTTTTTGAGTGTGAAAATTGAGGATGTATCGGGCAAGCATAGGGAACAGGTATGGAAAGATTATGCAACTTCGCTTTTTCCGAAGGTAGAGAATCAATCCTTGGGCTGTGTTATATCCAATCATATTTGATACGCATTCTGAACTTCAATCCCCTAGCCAGCCCTTCACTATATTTGATGATACATGCTCAAATTTTATTGAGAAATGTGACTATGCTACTAATCTATGATCTTTGGTATCACAATACACGAGATCCACCGCTTGCTATTATGTCTAGTTTCTTTTCCTTCTTTTTTCTTAACTCCTAGAATATCTTCGTATAGATAGCTCTAATAGATTGGAATTAATTTAAAATGAGTAGATTTGATTTTTTGTCTGGTCTTCGAGCTCGTTCTTCGGTTAGTTTTCGGCTGGTTTTAGACCTCGTTTTTCGGCTGGTTAGGCTGGCGGAGATCTTGGTATTTGTCACCTAACCAAATGCTTTCTGAAAATAGAGATCTTTAAATGCTTTGTACAATGCATTTCGCGTTGCTTATGCCGCATTGTTGCTCGTACAAAACACAAAACTGGAACTCTACCGAGCCATCACCAGAAATCTAATTTCACTCACTCAGTATCATGGCCACTCTTAACTATACCGAATATGTCACCTTCTCGGCCTCTCGAGCCGATTGCAATCGTCGGAATGGGTACGTCCTCGTAACGACGTTTTTTCTTATCAGTGACTAATTTTCTATGTAGCATGCAGGTTACCAGGAGATGTTAACAGCCCCGAAGATTTCTGGGGTCTCTTGATTGACGGTCGAGATGGCTATTCTGACTTTCCTTACACGAGACTAAACATTTATGCATGGTTTGATCAAGACGCCGCCCGTTCAGGATCTTTTGTCAGCAAAGGAGGATTTTTCCTAGAGGATGATCTCGACAGCTTCGACAATGATTTCTTCAAGATCTCAGCTGTTGAGGCTTCTACCATGGATCCTGCTCAAAAGCAAATGCTCGAGGTCGCCTATGAAGCTTGTGAAAGAGCTGGAGTGTCATTGGCCCATTGACGACAATCGCTATCGAATTCATTCACTGAACGATCCGGAAAGGAGTACGCCGGCTGGTATTTCTAAGATCCAGGCGGCCATTGAGCACTGACGATGTGTTCATTGATGGCCTTACGGCTGCGGGTATTTCTGTAACTTGCGTTCATGGATCTGCAGCAAACATCAATGACGTTCATCACGCCATGTCTTCTCGTATTTGTGGAATTATCGAGCTCACTGGGCTCCACAGTCCAGAAGGTCCTGACGAGAAAACAGCCTACAGCGAGGATGATAGAAAAGTGACAGAAAGGGCCAATGTTCTCGCTAATCTCCATTTTGTCAGTCTAGAGAAAGGCTACGAGCTCGATTTCTTTTCCATTATAACTTCAACGCCACCAACCTCTCAAATCATAGATATGTCTTACAGCCTTGCTGAAAATAAGTTCTATTGGTCGAGGGTCCAACAAGGCATGCCCTGCACGCGGATTCACATTGGCACCCATTTTACTGCCGAACAAACACTCGAACTTCTTTGTACCGCATTCATAACCCCCTCACCACCAGGCAAATATTTCCAGGGGCCAATTTATGCTCTATCAGAGGGAGAGGAGTCACAAGAGAGTGAAGAAAGCTCATGCGATGGCTTAGGAGATGCTCGTCAGTACGTCTTCCTCAACCATCACAAAGCCACAAAGCGAAGGTTAGCCTCGGCAAAAGAGAACCAGACAACCGTACGTGCCCGGGTAGAGGGCCAAAACGTCGAGGAAATTGTTGCCGCGCGCTTAAGCAAGTTGTTGTGGATTCCCTTGGAGAAAGTACGAACGGACGTGAGCCTGAGCTCCATGGGAATTGATAGCATGATAGCAAGCGAATTCCGCATGTGGCTACAGCAGGCTCTCAATATCTCAGTCATTATGTTGGAGCTATTGTCCCAGTAGATGACAGTTCAAAAGCTGGTAACTCAATGAAGCTCTTGAGGACTGGAGAGGGCGCGATTGTCGACTACATGCTAGACATTAGCTCGTGAAATCTTTTGCTGCGCCTTTCGACTCTTGAAGATATTGTTAATTCTTTGTTGGCTGCTGGTAGTCACGAACCTTTTGGTCAAAATTAGGCCGAATTTTAATAAATATAATATGATTTCCATCCCTGTGTCACACCAAGCCCTCTTCGAAGTTCCTGAGTTGGTGCGAGGCTGCTTCCACGTTTTGTACAATGCCAAAGCCAATAATAGTCTTTCAGAGGACAATACCTTAAACTTTGATGATACTAGCTCTATGGTGGGTATCCATACCTCATCAATAGCAGTCATAGCTTCTGATAGCCAATCAAAGCTGAAATCCGGGCCGCCCTGCTGTCCGGAGTGGGCCATCAGCATGCCTTGTGTCAGGGCAGTTGGCTAGACCCTCCTGTCCTTTAAGATCTTTGGTGAAAATCATAACCTTCTTGCCTGGTATAAGAAGGGCAACTTACCTCCGGATCATGTTATTGAAGTCTTTGAGAATAGCTGGACAGCAGATGAGCTTAACCCAAAAGTGGTTAGGGGCGCTTTAACAAGAATACAAGAGTACGCAATGTTAAAGTCCATCGGTTGCTTATTCTTGACGGTTATGAGAGCTACAATTCGCTTAAATTTCACTGATACTGAGAAGACTTAAAGATTGTCGTTCCCTGCAAGCCTTTACCATTCTACTATCTAAACAAGTCTACTAAAGCCATATATAAGCGCGATATACTGCTTGCCATTAACTGTTTTGAGTTTTCTTTCTGTCTTTTTTTTTCCATAATTTCCTCACTGTTTCCGTAAAAGATGGCTCCAAAATATAGAGATAGAGTAAAGTTGAGCGGACTTCACTCCTTCCCAACCTATGCATCCAAAATCCAGATCCCATAAATTCTCAACCACCTGTGGCAATTCAACAATCGCTAGAGTCTCGCTATAATCAGATCCGATGTATACCAAGCGTTCTATCATCCCCAAACCTTGTTAGTATCCAGAATTTGCCAGCAGTCTCCATATGTGGTCAACATCCCGCAGATTCTCAGCCCAAAAAACCAAACTCATTAGTCAAATCACAACGCCTTGAAGTCAAACTCTTGCCTCTCTCTATCCCCCACCTCCTCAAACCGTCGGACAAGGCACCTCAATAAAATCCCACACAATCCCTTCGGAATTCCAATCCCTAATCTTAACCCTCTGCCTCACCACACCCCCCGTCTCCTGCGAACAAACTCCCATCGGCAAAAGCTTGTTCTCGACAAGCACCAACAACACATAGCCGCCCTCGGGCCGCTTCCTCACACATATATACTCCCAGTCATTATGCTTGTCGACAGCGCACCGGATCCAGCCGCGACTATCATACCCCATGTACCGCGCGGAAACCGGGTCGCGGAAGCCCAGCCATCCCCTTCTTTCGACGCAGCGCCAGCGGAAGGTGCCGAAGCCGCCGGGTTTGTCGAGGATAATTTCGCCGTCGAGGAAGGTGATTACTTGGCCTGTGTCGTGGGAGCGGATGATGAATGTGCGGCCGGGCCAGGGGATTGAGGATTGGAAACTTTCCCATTTTTGCTGATCCTTGGAGGTGATGGGGTTTGAGTTTGTTGTTGGAGGGGTGCAGATGGGGGATGTTGTGCAGATGGTGGGGGAGGTGCAAACTGTTGATGTTTCCGAGTCGACGTTGTCGAAGATGATAGGGTAGGCTTGGGCCATTTTGTAGTCTACTACGTACTATCCGGTGGTTCTGGGTTGATGTTGTGTTGACTTGATGAAAGGACTGTGGTACTACTGGTAACTTTTCACGCGCAAAGGTTTACCTTTTCGCGTGCGTAGTCACACGACAGCGTGAGAAGTTACTGCTTTTGTTGAATCTGTTTACCTGAACATGCGACACGCATTTATTGGCTATTGCAAGAAGAACGATCAAAGTGTTCGTCCTAAGCGCCAAGCCTACCCATGTTAACGTGGCGCACCCACATTGGTTCGTAGGCTGCAGACTACCGTCCACGTTGTGTTTGTGGCGAAGAAAAGAGGGGCCTCTAGCAGAAACGAATTCAAAGGTGGAATGATGAGAACTCCTCAAGTGGTTAATCCTGGGGTCATAAGCTGAAGGGATACCCTATCAGAAGCGCGAAATCGGGTTCGGTTTCCAAAGGGCGGGACCACTACTGTACGGGGACGCACATCAAGTACACGTACAGCTCTCATTAGTGTCATTACTTTCTATTTTAGGATTCAAAAGGCTTCCTCGCATTCAAAGACAGCGCCTTACATTTGCTCATAAACCATCGTACATAACTAACTCTAAATACTCGAAACAACAACGACTATCCGGAACACACAATCATTCAATTGCCCTTGCCTTCATCGTACAAATTTCGCATTACAAACAACCAAATTAAACATGTCTTGAACTCAGATTACTACACTCACGTCCCCCCAATCTCTGGATCCGGTGTCAACCACGCACGTTCGATATTAACCCTATACGTTGGATGTCTCCGTGCTGCCGTCGGCCCCTTTGTCCTCTTAAACCCGCTATTCCTAAGACTCTGCCGTCTCTGATACCTAGCCATAACAGGTCCTTGTCGCAAGTCTCGCGGCAAAAAATTAGGATTGATTCGGACGCCCGAGCAAGCCATGCAATATGTAATATACTCCTGTACACTTGGTCGTTTTGGTTTATTACCGCAAGGACACATGCGGCCAATACCTTGAGCCCGACGTTTGAGGATGGTAGCAGCGGAGACGCGCGTGGAGCGTCCGATGTCCTGGTTAACATAAAGCCGGGTTCCTTTTATGACGGGCTGGGTGCAGCTGTGGAGGACGTCTTCGGTCATCTGGAAGGGTCTGAAACAAAACTCAGAGAAGAGCACGTCGCGACAGGCATGGCAACAGTCGTTTGCAGGAGTATCAACTGTCCATATTTCGCACATGCAAAGGTTTTGAAGGCCATTTGGTAAAGGCCATTGTCGTATAAACGGACTCGACCGGGCATTCGTGGGGCCTGCTGTTCCTTGACGTAACCAGTATAATTCTACTTCGTCATAGATGCAACTGCGACAAAGCTGGCTACGGATGCCGCTTGCAAGATTAACATTGGAATAACTATTGATGAGTGCACGCTTGTCTGGAAACAAAGGATGCCCTTCATGCTGTCGGCAATTACCGCAAGTCCGAGTTCGATCTTCACCGGCGTGAACACCATCATTGACGTAAGAATTTGGTGTTGGTATATTCACGGCCGCCAATCCCGGGCAGACTTGCTGAGTATCGGCATCGCACTGAACAAGTCCTTCTGGAGCGGGAGCTCCAAGACAATGTAAGAAATCAGAGCAATGCCAATCGTCCGTGTCACCAGGTACAATATCCTGTTGCACAGCTCCAGGCGGCGTAGAGCTAGGCTCCTGGGATGTTGTTGTACCTGCACTCGATGTCTCCTCAATAATAGTTGGCAATGGCGAATTGTTCATTTTGGGGTTAGTGATTGGATATTCCTTTGGGGTTCAGCTTGAAAATCACTATATTCTAAATGGAGATGCTTTCTGTGTTCAGCATGCGTAATATGTATTGAGAAGTGACAAAAGGTAATTTAAATTCAGAGAAAGATGTCCCTTTGTGAAAGAGCTGTCAAAGGGATTTCTGACAATGCCTTTGTGCAGGATGGATGGCAACACTAATCGAGGTTCTAATGATCGAGTAACAAACACGGATTTATCGAGGAAGCTGGAACAAAGACTCCTCCGTACAATGACAGGCCTATATTTATCTCTTACAGTGAATCTAGCATCAGCACCGGACTAAACGTTCATTCATCAACAACTTCTACTATGTCGCCGAATTCTTCAAGAAGCCATGGCTCTAGATCTTTGAAAGCATCGGGAACTATCTTCTCCTCTGGTGAGACTGGGCAGGCAGTCTCGTCAACAGCTTTTTCCAAGTGCTCCGAGAGTTCTTTGGTAGTTGATGATTGCTGGTATTTCTTCAACTGTGCAAGGGTAAGGCCACTCTTTCCGGGGGCTTGCTTGCCGGTCTTGTTATCGTCGATAAAGTTCACCGCCGCATCTGGAAATGTGCGTTTGATTCTCGTAGTACTTATGAGTCTGTCGGGGTGAGAGCCTTGTCTCTCCGCTGGCGACTCATGGGATTGATAGTGGCCTTCAGCATAAGCAGTCCTTGGCAAAACATTGTTTGTGAATCCCTTGGCGTCTGCGATTTTATCGCCTTTCAAATGCCGCGCCTCTTCCGAGCTTTCTTTGTTTGCGCAGTGGAGAAAACCCTTCACACCTTTCATTGAATCAAACTCGCCTTCATTGTTGCCTTGCAGGCTATGCGAATCAGCTAGGCCAACCAGTACGTCTCCGAGTAGTGAGTCATCATCATAGAACGTTTCCGACTCTGGAGAGATACCTAAGGCAATCGCCTCGCAATCTACAAGATCATGGTACTCTGTTTGGGTATTGCAGTCGGATAGCACACTGGGTTGTTGTGGAGGATCAAGAAAATCAAGAGCATCGTCAAACTGGATGTTGCCGTAGTCGCTTGAATCAAGGAGTGGTTCTGTGACTAAAGGTTCCGAGGATGAGACTTTGCCTGCATCACCCTGGTGATAGTAGTGCCTTGGCTTCATATGCGAAATCGATTGAGTTGCAGAAGATAGATTGCTACCCTTCGTACTCTTCTGAATCTCGCTTTGTGCCCCCAGGTCATCTAGAGCTCGGTCCATTTTGTTCCTCCTTTCTTGCTGAGTAAGATCCAACTCTTCAATTTCGATCGAAGCTTTTCTTTTAGGTGCTGCAAGCTGGAGCATAGTTTGAGTTGTTTTGACTTTTGGAGTCGGGAGTTTCTGTTGCGACTGCATTTGGGGCTCGCCTAGCTGAGAGAGCTTGGCCATAAGCTTCTTCTTTGGCGGCTTGTCCATTCCGTTTTTACAACACAAGTGCTTGCACGCTTCGCGGTCTTTGCAGGGGTGGTTACAAGCCCATCTACCATTTGCAAGCTGCACTGGATCCTGAGCAGTGCCCTTAACGACAGCTTCGGGCAGCGCTTTAAGGCTTAGGATCTTTCCAACATCCTGTTTATTGTTCGAACTAGCGTTGGAGTGGTTGCGCTCAACTTTCTCTGCGAGCGGATCGGGATATGCATCGATATTGTCGAATGTGAGGTCTCCACAAGCAGCTTGCACGAGTGTATCATCGTCGAGTCCGTCATCACCGAAATCATCACCGGTATTAGACGCTTTCCAACTTTCTTTCGCATTCTCCGTGCGTCGCTTTGACATATTGGACTGATTTGGGGCCGATGAATCTAAGCCAGAAGATTTCAAGATTGGATGCATGGATGAGGGTATCTGAGGTCTCAAAGTGACGCTGCGCATACTGCCAGCTTCAAAAGATCAGATAACAGCACTGTGGAAACGAACACGTACACACCTATACCATCACACATGACATGACAGTTGATGAATTGGTCGTAACTGGTTAGGAGAACCGGAACGGAAAGACTTTGGCCAGTACCAAGTTTAGAACCACTAGAATAGGGTAAGTATCATATAGGCTGAGCGGAGCCTCATACAAACCTGATGCGGGCAAAGTGTATCTTGCGTCCATCTGATGCTTCCACCAAAAGGCAAACGTAGATGAGCTTGTTGTTGAAGCGCAGTGGTGGGCGCTCATTCATGAAGCCAATGTCTGCCTTGATCTGCATTTTGACTCCTTCCAAAGTTTTAACAATCTTTGCAACCGTTAGCAGGTCCATCAACAACTACAAGGACTTGTCTTACCGTGGAAGGCTGTTCTTGAAGCGAAACACGAAGCTTTGGAAAGCACTTGATCTTCTCAAGAATCTGCAGGCCATAAGGTGGGTTTCTTCCAACCACAGCTTCGATCCTATGTGGTTCGCAACCCTCGAGATCTTCTATGGATTTGATACCCGCATTGACAAGCTTTCTTACAGCAACCACGCCTAGAGTCTCAATCTGCTTCATTTGGAGCGGGCTGTCGTCCCAAGCCTTTGCGCCAAAACTTCGCTCGAGCATCAAAGCACTGTGAATACTAACAGCGTCGCCCAGCACGATTTGGCAGTCAATAATGCATCGAATGAGACTGCCTATGTTTCTGAACACCATCATCATTTCTGTTGCGTACTGTGATCTGTGTTTGGCCATGTCGCCGTCCCATGAGATATCAGCAGACCCCAGGACAGATTGGATCATGAGCGAAATCTTCTGCGCTGGGAGATCCAAATTCACGGGAATAGTCCAGCGGATTGATGGTGATTTGTTCAACATTTTGTAGAATGTCTTCTCGCCCTGGCGGAAACGTATGTTAGAGTATTCCTTAGCTTGTGCAATAGCCGAGAGCTGAGTTTCTGTTAGTTGGTCACATAAGACGGGTCAGGGCTATGAGTGACTCACAATCTCAGAGGGTGAGGACTTTGCCTCGAGTCCCGTGAACAACTTCATTGTCTCAAAATGAATGTAGTACCGTGACATAGCATGTCCAAACTCGGTGCATGTGAAACGCTCTTCGCTAGAGACTAGATTGCTCTGTTGCAGGAGGTTGACATCGTGAAAACAGATATCATCCACTTGCTCTTCAATACTCTGCCCGGTTCTGGACCCCTCAAGTTTGTAATACGCGGGGTTCTGCTGGAGTCGAACAAAGAGAAAGGTACCTTTGAGCCATCTTCTTGCCGAGGGCAAATCATAAATTGTTCCAAGGCCTATTTCAGCATTCATGTGATCGATCAAGTTAAGGTGAAGCTTGCTTTCTATAAGTTCTTCACCAGTAACCATCTTTTCGTATCTTCGGACCTTTGTTTGGCGCGTCATGATGACAGCTACAGCAGTGTCGTCAAACTGCGGGCGGCCCGCGCGACCAAGCATCTGCATCATCTCTAAATCGGAGTATTCCTGATGTCCTGCTGGCCCCCAAGCCATTGTGTTCTTGACGATTACAAGATGGCAAGGCAGATTGACTCCAACAGCGAGTGTAGAGGTACAACAAATGACACTGATCTCGCCGGCGATGAAGGATCTCTCAATTTGCATCCGATCTTCTATGTCGAGACCAGCATGATGGAAGGCGACACCTGAAGCGACTGTATCCCTAAGGTCTTTATTCAAAAGGCGGATGTGTTTTGATGGTGCTGTCCAGAAGCGATCACTGTCCATCCTTGAAGACCACCAGCTTGCGATCAGCTTCGCCGTTTGAAGCGTGGAGTTTCTGGTAGCGCAAAACACCATTATCGGTTTACCTTCAGAGTAAGTAGCTATGACATCGGTTATCTTGCTATCAAGCACTTTCTCAAATCCAAATTCGTTGTTGGCATTGGACATGTAGCCGCAAACATGCTTTCGCAGTTTCACTGGTCGGAATTCTTCGCCAAAACTCTCGTTCGCAGCCGGGGTGTTTGGGTCTATTGGGCTTTTGCCAAGCCAAGTTGCGATGTCATTGAAGTTAGGTACTGTGGCTGACAGTGCCACAAAGCGAACATTTGTTCCAATAGACTTCATGCGAGACACGACTGCCTCAAGGGTAGCGCCACGGTCCTCTTTGAGTATGTGGACTTCATCAATGAGAAAAACTCTGATGAGTCTCATCAGCTTTTCGTGATCTCTCCACTTTCTAGTCACACTATCCCATTTCTCAGGCGTCGTAATGATTATGTTGGCGGATTGGACATGTCGGAGGTCCGATATATCGCTATCGCCAGTGAGCTCGGCACACTTTAGGCCAATCTTGTTGAACTTTGTTTCCCAGTCACGTTGTCTTTCTGAGCACAAAGCCTTGGTAGGAGCCTGATAGACAATCTTGTATTGACCAGTTGAATTGGTAGCAAATGCTCGGCATATGCCAAGCTCGAGGATCACTGTTTTACCACTTCCTGTTGGAGATGCAAGAACAAAGTTGTTATCAGAACGGAAGACCGTATCGAAACACTTGGACTGTACTGCATTGAACGTTGGGTAAGGGAATATTGTCCGAAGCCGATCTGGCAAAGTTGCGACCGGGACGAGACGGATGCCCTGGCACACGGGAGGAGCATGCGGTGCAGTCACGAGAGCTTCTGGTAATTCGCTGATATCTTGTCCCCGATGACAAGGAGATTCTTGGGCTCCATCCGGATTCAGGGACGGCAGTTCTCCAAGGACATGTTCTTGACATTTGGGAGACACAATTTGTTCATGATATTGCTGATATCCGTGTGCTTCAAGCCCTATGGTGTGCCGTCGGGTATCCCTGGACGTCTGGGTCCCTGAGCCGCATTTCGCAGTGGAGGCGCTGGCATGCTCTATGCGGCGCTGGCTTACTTTGAATGCTGGGCTGGAGGACTGGCCAATTTGAGGGTCGGAACTCGAATCTTGGAATTGTGCAGAATTGTAGGCAAATCGACCTCGCATACAATTAGCACGGTCAATATGTGTAGGCAATGTATGCTTACCCTGATCTCGATTTATATAGTTACCACGGCCACCATACGAGGGTTGTGATGGAGCGGGCGCAAACGACAATCTTCCATTACCGTGCGTGACTTGCGGCAGCCGATCTGGATACGACTGCTGAAGCAGTCTCTCATCTAAAAAATATTAGTCCTCTAGTTCTAGACATCCACAATAATACGAGTACCGAAAGAATCGAGCTGAGATCCTTGGCCGTTGGCATGGTCGTCTTCAACGGTGTCGTACATGGGGTCATCATATCGGGTCATACGATAGCGATCTCGGGGAGCAGTCAGACGGGCCGGCTGCTTGATTTGGGGTTGAAGGATGTTGTAATGCGATACACGTCGCGGGCTACCCGGCTGTTCTTGGTGATAGAAGCGCTCACCCATTCTGACTGCAGAGATCACTGATAGATCCGTTTGGAACGAAGCAATAGAGGTGAAGGTATGCGTTGAAGTTGCCGGGAGTTGTTGGAATAGTGTGTCAGGTGAGAAAAGTGGTTGTGAAAGTAGAAGGCACCATGGAGGAAGCTGCGACTACCGGAACTAGACAGCATACATAAAACATCTCGACTCCCGCGAGCTGACCAAAGTCACTTGTTGTATACTGTGCTGCTGCGATGAAACCATGTTCTCGCAATGCTGCCTATATGTTGTTGTACAGATTGGCCGTGTCGCATTTGGTCAGGCGTGAGTAAAATATGAGGCCGTACTAAACAGGCAGCGGTCTGTGTAAGTCATCTCGCCAATTGAAGTCACTAAACATCACGAATACTCCTATCTTTGTGTCATACAGAGCCTTTTTGTTCCGTCTCATACATGTCTATAAAATCTATGTTACTCAGTCTTCAAGCTTCTCGTTTGTGGGAGTGTCGTTCTATCGTCGGCGATCCAGGTGACGGCTTGTGAGGCCTGTCAAAACTTGGCGGACTGGGTGGTACATTGTCGTACCCACGGTCTTCGTAAGGCCGCTCAACCGTAGTCTTCTGGAAATCGGCAATCTTCACTGACGATTGCTGCATCCCCCGCTCTGGTTTTGTGTAAAGATAGGTCGCAAATAAGACGATACATGTTCCTAGGAAAAACTGCAATTCGTCAGTATCGATCAACCAGCATTCCGCGACCAACTTACTGATTGCGTCACCTTGAAGTCGAAAAAGTAAACGCTAGCAATGCAGCTGAGAAGGATGGAGATGGAGGTCGCAAAATTCTTGGCAATGTTGTCGGCATAGTTTATGACCAGTGCGACAATTACACCACCAGCTGCCTGGAACCCGATGGCAGTCCACACCACCCAGTTGTAGCCAACGAAGAACCCAGTCTTTGCTATGATCTCTCCATCCTTCCAAATCACACCTAAGAATAGTGACGGAAACAGCGACCAGAAGGAAAGTTGGCAGTTGCGCACCCACAATGTTGTAGTTTTGCCACTTGTCGAGTCCTTCAGAATCTTTTCAAACAACACTCCTGCTAGGCCGGACAGTGCGCAGGAGATCAGAACAGCGAAGAGCCCCACCCGTCTATCCATATGCGGTACTTGCGACGCGCGATCTTCGTGAATGCCCTCGTAAGATCCAGATCGCTTCGCCATTCGTGCTGCGACGTTGTTGCCAAGACCGTGAAGCTGTTCAAGGGTCTTTGTCCAGGGTGTGGATCCTGTTGCTGGTGCGTCTGGTTGCGATAATGCTTGGGGTACTTGTATAATGGATACACCGACAATGAGCAGCAGCAGAGAGAGCCACTTTCGTGCCGAAAGTGTTCTTCCTAATAACAGGACGCTGAAGATGGCTGTCGTCAGAATCTTGAGCTGATAAGTGACCTGGAACGTAGCTGCATCCAAGTTGCTGACAGCCAAGTATTGAAGATTATTTTGTATAGTGTATATGACGGCGGGCACGGCAAGCTTCCAGCTTTCATTGGTGAATATAGCGGTCGTCAAGGTGCGCGAGAGCGTTGCGATAGTGGTATTCGACGGAAGCAATTTTGACATCTCGTACATTGCCTATTGAATTGTCAGCGCATGACCCAACGCCTGATTTCTCTAGAGGCATTCGTACCATGGTCAAGCTAATGGCCAGCTTGATCACTTCATTCAAGAAGACGCTTGTGCTTGTGTGGTATCTTTGTCCTCCCGCCAAAGGCATGATTCTCGAGTAATGCATGATCTGGTTCGCGTCAGTCATGGCATGGGCATAATTCCATACAACACCAATTTCCATGCCTCTGTTCAGTCCGGCTAAGGTTGTTGTTCGGATTGTGGGATGGTCATACCAGAATGAGGGCCGAGTTCTGGACTGTCAACTGCGCAGCCGTTAGCTTACCTTTGACATGTACAGTTAAGCCGCATGTCTAGTTACCGTGACCAGAGAGAGGTGCTTCATCGACACCCCGCCCAGCGTTCCGGATGCAGTTCTCACCACCATGGTGTCTTCCCAGGTGCGCGGTCTCTTCCTGAAATTCTGAGGGCAGCACAGTACATGAGTAGTGAGCGTGGGTTATAGTAGTATGCGAAAGAGCGACAAAAGGAAAGTAAGTTCCTAGGACCTGGAACTGGCGCTGGTCGAAAGCATCTGGACTGCCTCCAGCCGCATATTTCCGCGCCGAGTCTCCTAACTCCACGCGCTATTGCAGGCGATACGACAGGGGCTGCCCTAGCGCCGATCGTTGCTTGGCGGTCTTGCATCTGAGTGGAGGCTGCATCCATACCGTTAGCTTGCCCTTCTCTGTTGACATGGCGAACGACGCGAATTTGTTAGGAAGAACATCACGGCTGCTATCATCGGGTAATAGCCTCTCTTTCTTGTTGTGCAGCGCTCCTCTCCGCATCCTCGGACCGACATACATCCCAATACGAAGAACACGATATGCTGACGTTTCTTTTTCTGGACTACAATACCAAAATGATTGGATCATTACGACATGTGCAAGAAGAATATTCATGATTAGGGACTCCGTGATATGATATGCTTTGCTATTCTAGTCATGTAATTAATGTGTGCCGCTTGACTCAATTGTCCTTTAGACGTAATTGCGATATATAGTATACCCTGAACAGTATGTGAGTTGAGGCTTCCCCTAGATACCTGCCACTTGTAGAATGCAGACCCAAAAACAACACGTTTACTTAATCCCCCAAAGCCAAAGAAAGTACAAAGCGCTCTACTGTATGTGCCGGCGAAAGGTCCGGTGCCTAGTTCTTAAAGAGGAAGGTCAACGGCCAGGTAACGCTAAAAATACAACCAAGTGATGAGATTAGACCTCTTCATACATGGGTGTAGACTGGAAAATACTGCTTGAAAGACGCATTTGAGAGGATAAAACATTATTGGAGTAAGCTGCAAGGTGAAGTTCTGATCGCAGCCTACTCCCTAACTTCGGTGGGTGCCTAGAATTCTTATGGAACTCCAACATGTCGATAAACCCGTTAGAATTCCAATATAGAACTTTATCATTAAAGGGTCAGAGGATGAAACGTGTTTTGTCATCAATCTCGTAAGCGAGTGTCAATTACCCTCATAAATGCCAAGGACGGCATGGTTGCAGTTGGGTAGCACACACACTTCACTCTCCACGAATGTATTCACCACTCAACACCTCCCGCAAAGAGATACGATTACTGCATATCCACCCCGCTGCTTGGAACGATGGCATCGAATGTTATATGGAAACCGTATCCTTGAAAGACGACCCCAAGTTTCAAGCCATCTCATACGTATGGGGCGACACAACGAATAAACTATCCATCACGGTCAACGGACAAGAGTTGGCGGTAACTCAGAACGTAGTCACTGGCCTCCAAAGACTCCGCGCTACAGGAGAGACCCTGGCCCTCTGGCTCGATGCAGTGTGCATCAATCAGTCGGATATTCAGGAGCGGTCCGAGCAAGTACAGTGCATGAGGGAGATATACAGTTCCGCCGACGAAGTTTTCATCTGGCTAGGTTACGGTCGCGACTCGCATTCCCCCTCGGAGCAGCCAGACATTGTCCGATGGACTGGTGACAACAGAGATTTGGAAATCGTCGACTCGTATTTCAAGCAAGGAACATTACAGAATGGCTCAAATGACGAGGGCAACGAAACCGAAGATGTAGTCGGCCTCTTCGTCTACATGAAACTTCGAGCTATGGACAAACACGTGCATGAAATACCCTTTTTTGATGTTCAAGGAGGTAAACTACAAGCCGGACACACATGGCTAGCCATCATTCAGGCTATGCACACTCTGAGCAGTCATCCTTGGTGGACACGGATTTGGGTCGTCCAAGAAACAATACTCGCTCGGAAAGGCACCGTCTTGTACGGCAAAATTACTGTACCCTGGACTCTGGTTGCGGAATCCACCCGCGCTGCTGCACGCCACATTCATTGTTGTGGTGATCTGCACCAGGCACGAGGGGGTCGCGAACTGCGCGCCATTGTCGAATTGAGAAAGGCCAGGTATGACGATTTGGAGTGGCTAAGGGCTGCAAGAGCACAAAACAAAAAATTAAGCCTATACCAGGTCATGAGTCGGACATACTCGCGCAACGCAACAGATGTCCGCGACGAAGTGTTTGGGGTACTGGGATTGGTCACTGACTGGCTTGGTCAGCCGCCTTTGATTCCTGACTACGATTTGTCTCCGAGCGAAGTCTTTATGCGCGTAGTCACCAAGCATATCGAGAGCACTCTTTCCTTGCATATACTGATGGGCACAACTCGGACTGGTATACCTGATGTACCATCGTGGGTCACGCAAAGGGGTCGTGCTTCGCAGAGTTCTAGCTCAGCAACTGGCTATAGAATCAACCGCGCAGTGCTATTTTCCGCAGCGGGTGGCCGCCCAGCCAGCGTCAGACGAGCGGATAATGTCTTGATTGCAGACGCTTTTGAGCCACCCCTCATCATTTCACAAGTGGGCTCAACTTTGCCAGGAAACCATGATTGGCACAAACTAATATTTTGCATCACATCGTGGCGCCACATGGCGCGACCGGAAACTCCAACGGACCACACTCTTGGCTCAAAAAACCCGCAATACGAGGCATTCTGGCGTACAATTACCAACGATTCATGGCAACCACAACGCATGAATTCAGTTGACATACTTTCTGCCCAACTCGACTTCAGTGGGGAGGTGTTCACTGCATACCGGCGATTTGGCGACACCGATGTCAGCCGTATAGCAGAGGGCTTCTGGGACTGGGCTCAATCCCAAGCAAAAGGCGACTTGAAGAAAAGCGAAGAACATACTAGCAGTATGGGCGAGATCAAAGCGTTTTACCATTCTCTTTTGGGCGCAACACTGGACCGGCGATTTTTCCTTGCTAGTAATGGCTGCATGGGAATGGGTCCGCCTGAGATGCAGCCCGGCGATAGTATTATTATCTTTCTGGGAAGCACAGTACCATTTTGTATTCGGGCAATTCAAGATGCGCCGGATGGTCACTACACGATTGTTGGTGACGCATATGTGCATGGCTTAATGGACGGGGAAGGTATTCCGAACGGCTCTGAAGAGAAAATTGTTCAAATACATATCCACTGAACGGACCTGCTACGAATCAAGTATTTAGAAGCTTTGTAATTTATAAAAAGATGGTACGCACGGTTCGACACAAAAGGGCGCCAAGGGCCTTGAGGACCAAATGCGATGTCCTGCTGTGTTGTCCAGACTTAGTACATGGATGTTTCAGACCAAATGTTCCATACATAATACATCAATATTATTGAGTTGCAGCATGAGGACTCAGTAAAGTATTTCTAGACTGATCTAGGGTCTAGGCGGGTGCGAGGCCAAGATGTCAAGCACTTCTTAGCGTTGGCTTGCTGAACTATGACGCAATTGGAAACTTCCCACCTCACGTCACTCAAGAAATTCATTCTAACTTTTTTTTGCGTCTCCGCCTATATCCATCTACATATGAAAAATTTAAAAAATATTACGATCAAATTTTAGTAAAAAATGAAAAATAGACAGACAACATATGTTCCTCCAAACGTGGTGAAGAAGGAAAGCACAAAGGCGTCAACCGAACCCTGCAGACGCGTTCATATGCCATCCGCGCCCCGCGGACACCTAGCGTTTTCCCAAACTGCGAGAGATTGGTCTTTTCATCAGCCTAGCAATTTCGATCATCTTTCGATCCCGTAGCGTCGGCAACTGGCAAGCGCCGACGCGAATGCGACGTTGGAGCGCCTCTACCACTCACACGTTAACATGACATCACCACTTTCGCTCTCGACTATTGCGCGACCGACGCGTTGCCAAAATACGAGTGCCAACACGGACTTGGACAAGCAACTTGGCGCTGTAATTGATGTTCTGTCTGTGTTGTTCTTATACCTTCTCTCCGGATCCCCCTGAAATCGGTCAAACTTTTGCGGATTGTTTCCCGAATTCTATGTTAGCCATCGAGGTTGACATTTGACACTTGACATTTGACCATTGTGTAGTGGGGATCCATTCCTGCTGTCCTTATGCTACGAGCGTTTAATTAATTATCCGTTTCTGGGCTACGAGAACCGTCGTAATGGCTTCAAACGATGGCCTCCCAACTCCATCACATATTCCCGGTGGTTGGGTAGAGACGCCTGCAGGTACTATTCGACATGAATCATACATTGGGTCACGACAGCAAAACGAGAGTGACTCGGCCACTCCAGGCGCCACCGAATCAAGGAATACCCAGAGTACCTTCATTTCCAACGCCTTGCACACCACCAGCCAGAGCTTCTACGGGAAAGACAATCCAGAACCATCATCAGAATCCAGTGACTCAACTGTAGTGCCATCGCCTGGTCTGGCAGCGCAGAATGCAACACATGCGAATTCAAGTCAAGGAGGGCTCAATGGGAACACAGATTCGCAGCATCCTAGCTCCACCAATGGCTATTTACAGACAGCAGCCTCAGGACCACCCATGGAAGAGCAAGTCGTACTCGAAGACGACTCATCCGACTCCGAACACGAAGGTTCATCCGAAAAGCATTCACAAAAAGACAAGCGACCAGGTCTACAATCAAGAAACTCCAAACCAATGACCGAAGATGACCTTTTCCGCGTATTATCTCGGCGAAAAACAAGCCAGAGCAACGGGCTCAGCAAAACGAATACGGGCGCGACTGGCCACAGCGCCGAAGAAGAAGACGAAATCAACAAACTAATGTCAAAGATGTTCGGGCGTACACGACAAGAAGCATCGGAAGAAGAGAAGACGAGGCACCAGGGCGTTATTTTCAAACACTTGACAGTAAAGGGTATGGGCATCGGCGCTGCACTCCAACCAAGCGTCGGCTCCCTGTTCCTCGACCCCGTACGCTTCGTCAAGAACCTCTTCACCAAAGGCCCAAGGAAAGCTGCAGGCAAGCCTCCCGTACGAACGCTTCTCGACGACTTTTCCGGCTGCATACGACCTGGTGAAATGATACTTGTTCTGGGGTACGTTTCTCCCCTTATCATAAGACCAGCATGCATGTGCTAATAGATACAGACGCCCCGGCGCCGGCTGCTCAACCTTCCTCAAGATAATCGGCAACCAACGCTACGGCTTCGAAGAGATCACGGGAGATGTAACGTACGGCGGCACAGACGCGGACGAGATGAGCAAGAAGTACCGCAGCGAGGTGCTGTACAACCCCGAAGACGATCTGCATTATGCGACGCTGAAGGTCAAGGATACGCTGAAGTTTGCGTTGAAGACTCGGACACCGGGGAAGGAATCGAGGAAAGAGGGGGAAAGTAGGAAGGATTATGTGAATGAGTTTTTGAGGGTGGTGACGAAGTTGTTTTGGATTGAGCATACGCTTGGGACGAAGGTGGGCAATGAGGTACGTATTCATCGCACGAAAGCTGATGAGACTTTTGACTGACTTTCTATGTTTGTTGCTGTAGCTCATACGCGGTGTATCCGGCGGCGAAAAAAAACGCGTCTCCATTGCCGAAGCCATGGTGACAAAAGCATCCGTTCAATGCTGGGACAACAGCACCCGCGGCCTCGACGCCAGCACCGCCCTCGAGTACGTTCAGAGTCTGCGTTCTCTGACAAACATGGCGCAAGTCTCTACTGCTGTCGCCCTCTATCAAGCGGGCGAGTCCCTCTACCAACTTTTCGATAAAGTACTGCTCATCCACGAAGGCCGATGCTGCTACTTTGGCCCAACGGAAAAAGCAGAATCCTACTTCAAGAATCTTGGTTTCGAAAAGCCAGAACGATGGACCACGAGCGATTTCCTGACCTCCGTCACTGACGACCACGAGCGCCAGATCAAGCAGGGCTGGGAAGACCGCATCCCGCGTACAGGCGCGGCCTTTGGGGAAGCCTTCGCTGCCAGCGAGCAAGCCTCCGACAATCTCGCTGAGATCCAAGAATTTGAAAGAGAAACCACGCGCCAGGCGGAAGAAAGGCGCAAAGCGCAGACCAAAGCGACCAAGAAGAAGAACTTTACCATTTCATTTCCTGCGCAGGTCATGGCGTGTACGAAGCGCCAGTTCCTCGTCATGATTGGGGATCCGCAGTCTCTGGTTGGTAAATGGGGTGGTATCCTCTTCCAAGCCTTGATCGTCGGGTCGCTGTTTTATAACCTGCCCAACACAGCTGCGGGTGTTTTCCCACGCGGTGGTGTCATTTTCTTCATGCTACTCTTCAATGCGCTGCTCGCTCTGGCGGAACTCACGGCAGCGTTTGAATCTCGTCCGATTCTGCTGAAGCACAAGAGTTTTTCGTTTTACCGACCTGCGGCGTATGCAATTGCGCAGACGGTCATTGATGTGCCGCTCGTACTCATCCAAGTGGTGATTTTCGATATCGTCGTGTATTTCATGGCCAATCTTTCGCGGACGGCTTCGCAGTTTTTTATCTCACTGCTTTTCCTCTGGATCATCACCATGACGATGTATGCGTTCTTCCGTGCTATCGGCGCGTTGGTGGGGTCTCTGGATGTCGCGACGCGGATTACGGGTGTTGCGATCCAGGCACTGGTCGTGTATACGGGATACTTGATTCCGCCTGCGAAGATGCATCCGTGGTTCTCATGGCTGCGCTGGATCAATCCTATTCAGTATGGGTTTGAAGGGTTGCTGGCAAACGAGTTCTACAACTTGGACATCCAGTGTGTGCCTCCGTTTATCGCGCCACAGGTTCCGGGTGCTGAGGAGCAGTATCAAGCCTGTGCTATTCAGGGCAATAGACCCGGGTCTCTCACTGTGGCTGGCTCGGATTACATTGAGGCGGCGTTTGGGTACTCTCGATCTCATCTGTGGCGCAACTTTGGATTCATCTGCGCGTTCTTCATTTTCTTTGTGGCGCTCACGGCTTTGGGTATGGAGATGCAGAAGCCGAACAAAGGCGGCGGTGCAGTCACCATCTACAAGCGTGGCCAGGTTCCAAAGACGATTGAAAAGGAGATGGAGACTAAGACATTGCCCAAGGATGAGGAAGCTGGAAATGGCGAGCCGGTCACGGAAAAACACTCTACTAACGACAATGGCGAATCTGATGCGACAGCTGGAGGCGTCGCAAAGAACGAGACTATCTTCACATTCCAGGACATCACTTACACGATTCCGTATGAGAAGGGTGAACGGACACTGTTAAAGGGAGTCCAAGGCTATGTCAAGCCCGGCAAGCTTACAGCGCTGATGGGAGCCTCTGGCGCGGGAAAAACGACCTTGCTGAACACGCTTGCCCAACGAATCAACTTTGGCGTTGTACGCGGAGATTTCCTGGTGGATGGTAAACCGCTTCCCGCCTCTTTCCAACGCTCAACTGGCTTCGCAGAGCAGATGGATGTGCACGAGTCAACGGCGACAGTACGCGAGGCACTGCGCTTCTCTGCCAAACTGCGGCAACCAAAGGAGGTGCCGATTGAGGAGAAGTACGAGTATGTGGAGAAGATTATTGATCTGCTTGAGATGCGCGACATTGCTGGTGCGGCTATTGGTGTTACTGGATCGGGATTGAATCAAGAGCAGAGGAAACGGTTGACGATTGGTGTGGAACTTGCGAGCAAACCCGAGCTACTCATGTTTCTTGATGAACCCACGTCCGGCCTTGACTCTGGCGCTGCATTCAACATTGTTCGATTCTTGCGCAAGCTCGCTGATGCAGGACAAGCCATTCTCTGCACGATCCACCAGCCCAGCGCTGTGCTCTTTGAGCACTTTGATCAGCTTCTGCTTCTCAAGTCTGGCGGTCGCACAGTTTACTTTGGTGAGCTGGGCCACGACTCGCAGAATCTCATCAAGTACCTTGAAAGCAACGGCGCGGACAAGTGTCCACCTCATACAAACCCAGCTGAGTACATGCTCGAAGCCATTGGTGCAGGAAATCCCGACTACAAGGGACAAGACTGGGGCGATGTGTGGGAGCGGTCCCGCGAGAATGAGAGTCTGACCAAGGAAATCCAAGACATCACTGCTAACAGGCGAAATGCATCGAAGAATGAAGAAGCACGCGACGACCGGGAGTACGCGATGCCATACACACAGCAATGGCTTACCGTTGTCAAGCGCAACTTTGTGGCCATCTGGCGAGATCCGCCCTATGTGCAAGGAATGGTGATGCTACACATCATCACCGGACTCTTCAACGGCTTCACATTCTGGGACCTCGGTCAGAGCCAAATCGACATGCAGTCACGGCTATTTTCGGTGTTCATGACGCTGACGATTGCACCGCCGCTAATTCAGCAGTTGCAGCCTCGGTTCATCAACATTCGGGGCATCTACAATGCACGAGAGGGCAGCGCTAAGATTTACTCTTGGACGGCCATGGTGTGGGGTACGATACTGAGCGAGTTGCCGTATCGTATTGTTTCGGGAACGATTTACTGGTGCTGTTGGTACTTTCCGCCTGGGTTCCCGCGGGACACGTACACGGCTGCGAGCGTGTGGCTATTTGTGATGCTGTTTGAGGTATTTTACCTGGGATTCGGACAAGCGATTGCGTCGTTTTCGCCAAACGAACTGCTGGCATCGCTGCTTGTGCCGCTGTTCTTCACCTTTATTGTCTCTTTCTGCGGCGTTGTTGTTCCGTATGCGGGACTGCCGACGTTCTGGCAGAGCTGGATGTACTGGTTGACACCGTTCAAGTACCTCTTGGAAGGATTCCTGGCGCTGCTGGTACAGGGTCAGGAGATTCGATGCGCCACCAACGAGCTTGCTATTTTCCCGCCGCCGCCTGGGCAGGATTGCCAGAGCTATGCTGGGCAGTTTGCGCAGCAATCGGGCGGCTACGTGGAGGTGCAGCCTAACGGGGATTGTGGCTTCTGTCAGTATGCAACGGGAGAAGCGTTTGCTGCGTCATTTAATGTGTTTCCGCGGTATATTTGGAGAGATTTTGGTAAGTGAGGATTGGCTTTTTTTGATTGTGATGCATGCTAACATTGGGCACACAGGCATTATGTGGGCATACATCTTCTTCAACTTTGCAGTCGTGTTTGTGTGTACTTGGCTGTATCTTGGGGGACTGCGGCAGATAAAGGATAAATTTAGCGCATCGGCACGCAAGCAGAAGAAGGAAGCACGACGGGAGAAGGCGAGGACGGAAAAGGGAGATGCGGCATGAGGGTGAAGGGGTAGCAGCGGCGTATGGTTGAGAGAGTCGTGTGTCGTGTGTCGTGTGTGGTTGTTGTTTGAGTGGGACCTCGGGAAAAGTCGTAGCGCACCCGCGGCCGGAACGTGCAAGGCTGGGCCTGCTAGGCGTTGCTGGGCATGAGCGCTGGGTATGCATTTTCCCCGCAAAACACTTTGTGGGCTTCTAGAGCAGCCCACGGCTCACTGTCCTCCATCACGCGCCGTACCTGTTAGTCATGATAACCAGGCCAATACTGCAAAATCCATGATCCCTACTGCGCACGTCATGCATGCTGGCCGCTGTCAGTTGTCTGCCAGCTGGCTTTGGGCTTGCCGAGGGCTATTTTTTTCTTCGCATCCAAAGTCAAAAAAAGAAAAGTAAAATGAGATTTGCGGGATTATCAGCAGCCTGTGAAAGGGCTACTCGGCACTTGACACGACACGAGCAAGTGGAAAGGCGGATGGGCCTTGTCCAAATGCCTCAGCTTTTCCGAAGGGGGCGACCAGCGCCCCCATCCGTCCGAGAGCGGTGATTTGTTGCAATGGGGACAATCGTTGCTGGCAGCCCAAACGGCCTTCCATCATCGTGCAGGGGGTTGGTGCATCCAGCGTCGCCCGCAAACCGCACACGAGCTGATATCGGAACAGACATGAGACGAAGGGGTTTTGGTTTGGGCCTGCTTGCACCGCCTCGCATGTGCAAACCATGTCCAGGCACTGTACTGTACACCGCCACTACTACCGACCGCGGTGCCATGTGCTATTTCACTCTACTCGACTCGACTCTATACTATACATACTAGTAGTAGTAGTAGTAGTAGTAGTAGTAGTAATAGTAGTACTAGTAGTACTATGGTACTTGTAATGCATCCATCACTAGCACTGGCACGACGACAACTGCCGGATAGCCTCCGACGGCTGTGAGCAGAGAGGCAGCAGCTGTGGCTGTATCCATGGCGAACCGTGGTTCTCCCCGATTTGAAGACGCCAGACGCCAAAAAAGTCCATGTAATCATCGCAAGAATGCGGGAGCCATGACGACAGGCAGTGCCGCCTTTCCGCTTTGGGGCGGGGTGTGAATGTGGGGTAAATGCATCTCAGCCCGGCCAGGGCCAATGCCAGCCGCTGTATTTGCTCTACTGCGTCTGCCTGCTCGTCTGCCCGCCCCGTTGCCGTCACGAGGGGCTTGCTGGTACGGCGACGGTGTCGTCTGCCACAGCCATGACACAACCGTGACCGCACACGACTGTTTGTTCCGTCCCATCCAGCTCGACCAGAGTAGCAAGCAGCGCAACACGAGCATCCCCCATGCCGCTGCTCAGCCCCAGCCGCTTCAGCCATCCAGCTGGAGCCCGTCGTTCCACTTGCCGAGTGCCTTTTCCGAGCATTTCCACCTCGCCAGCCCTGCTCCGCGTTATTTTCGTCCCTCGTGAGCCGACGGGCGCTGCCAGCATCCAAGCACCAGCCCCCAGCCAATCACCGTCCCTTGCGCTAGCCCGTCCCCGGCCCTCGACTGCCAGACGCAGCACCAGCAGCGTCGTCGTCAGAACATCTTCGTCAACTATTAAAAGGACTCAATTCCCCATTATCCAGACTGCAATCCAACCCACTTTGACACAAGACTTTGCCCGTCATCAGGTGTCCAAACAACAGCTTTCCCATTTCCATTCCTCCCCCGTCTCCCCGATTCTCCCCATTCTAAACTTCAACATGGTTTCCCAATCCGTAAACAAGACCAACCTCCACCCTTCTGGTGTTCTGTGAGTTTGGCCCCTTTGTTTTTTACATCAATTGGTTTTCGACCAAGAATTATCATGGCTGACTGTTTTTTTCTTCTTTCAGCCCAAGCAAAGGACACACCGAGATTGAAGAGTCGCTCCACGACAAGGCACACATTGACTATGACCGCGTAGCCATTGTAAGTTTTTTTTTCCACCACCAAATATATTTCCACAGCATTCCAGTACTAATCGCATCCCATCAGATTGCCAACCCTTCAGTCGCTGCTCTCTACGAAGATGCCCTCGTATACGAGACCGGTTCCGCAATCACAGCATCAGGCGCTCTCTCGGCATACTCAGGAGCCAAGACTGGCCGCTCACCCTCGGATAAGCGCATCGTCGAGGAAGACTCGTCGAAAAACGATGTCTGGTGGGGCCCTGTCAACAAGCCAATGAAGACTGACGTAAGTCCTTTTCTCCGCACCCCATGTCTGGTCATTACCTTTGCCCAAAAATCGCGCGAATACGTAAAAATGCAAGCATTGGCTTGTGAAGATCAACGTCAAAACGTCATGCACGCTAGGCGCATATCCGAGGAACTTCGCATCCTTGCACGTGGCGCATGTCTGGGGTTCTCGGCTTGCCCCACATTCTCCCGATCGATGCACTCTCCTTTGGGAATACCATCACGTGCTCTTCTCCATACATGATCATGCATTGCATACTGACTCGGCTACCAGGTCTGGCGAATCAACCGTGAGCGTGCTATCGACTACCTCAACACCCGCAACCGCATCTACGTCGTCGACGGTTTTGCCGGCTGGGATGAGCGCTACAGGATACGCGTCCGCGTCGTCTGCGCTCGTGCCTACCATGCTCTCTTCATGCGCAACATGTTGATCCGCCCTTCACGGGAAGAGCTTGAGCACTTCAAGCCCGACTACACCATCTACAATGCCGGTGCTTTCCCTGCCAACAGGTATACCAGCGGCATGACCTCCTCGACCTCTGTTGCCCTCAACTTTGCGGACAAGGAGATGGTTATCCTCGGTACCGAGTACGCCGGAGAAATGAAGAAGGGCATCTTCACTGTCCTCTACTACGAGATGCCCGTCAAGCACAATGTTCTCACTCTCCATTCCTCTGCCAACGAGGGTCAGGATGGTGACGTTACTGTTTTCTTCGGTCTGTCCGGAACTGGAAAGACCACTCTCTCTGCCGACCCTAAGCGTGCCTTGATCGGTGATGACGAGCACTGCTGGTCTGACACTGGTATCTTCAACATTGAGGGTGGCTGCTACGCCAAGTGCATTGGTCTCTCTGCCGAGAAGGAGCCCGATATTTTCGGTGCCATCCGCTTCGGCTCCATTCTCGAGAACGTTGTCTTTGACCCCGTCACCCGTGTTGTAGACTACGACGACGACACCCTGACCGAGAACACCCGCTGCGCCTACCCCATCGAGTACATTGAGAACACCAAGATTCCCTGCATCTCCAACCAGCACCCCAAGAACATTGTCCTCCTTACCTGCGACGCCCGCGGTGTCCTTCCTCCCATCTCCAAGCTGAACCCCGAGCAAACAATGTACCACTTCATCTCCGGTTACACCTCCAAGATGGCCGGTACCGAACAAGGTATCACCGAGCCCCAGGCCACCTTCTCCACCTGCTTCGCCCAACCCTTCCTTGCCCTACATCCCATGCGCTACGCCAAGATGCTCGCCGAGAAGATCCAACAACACAACGCCAACGCCTGGCTCCTCAACACCGGCTGGGTCGGTGCCGGTGCCACCACCGGCGGCAAGCGCTGCAGTCTCCGCTTCACCCGCGCCATCCTCGACGCCATCCACAACGGCGAACTTGCCAACGCCGAATACGAAAACTACGAGGTCTTCAACCTCCAGGTCCCCAAGAAGTGCACTGGTGTCCCCGACGACCTACTCAACCCCCGCAACAGCTGGAACGGCACTGCCAGTCTCCAAGATGAGGTTGAGAAGCTCGGAAGGCTCTTCATGGAGAACTTTAAGAAGTATGAGGATGAAGCTACCAAGGAGGTTATTGAGAGTGGTCCACATGTATGCTGCTGCCCCAAGCACTAAGCTAAGTTCGGGCTTTCTGCTTTTTTGATTCTTTCTTGATTTTCTTACGACTTTTTTTACAGATTGTCTAGCGAATCCCCCTTTTTTTGGTTGTTGTTGTTTTCCTTTAGGACGATAGATGTCCCTTTTTTTTTCTTCTGTTTTCTCATTTGGTTTTTGGATATAGGGATGATTTGATGGAAGGGGGGGGGGAAAAATACCACCATAGAGGCGGATGTGCGAGAGATGAAAGATGAACGATGGATTTGCTATGAGCATTTTCTTTTTTTTAAATCTTTTTAGTGGGGGTAATTGGATGGGGGGATGTGGAGAAATGGAAAATTCATTATGATTATGGTTCATTCGTATGACTTTTTTTTTTGCGTGATTTGGAAGTGACGAATGGCGTGACTATAAAAGTTTTTCGCATTTGTATCAAAACATAAGGAATACAAATTGTTAAGTGTGTAAAATCGAACATGGTATCTTTTTTTTTATTTAAGAAAACAACAGTCTACTTTCTCCTATCGCTCCTCAATCACGCATTGTAATCTTCACTAGTATGTTTATTTCCAGTAAACTGATTTGTCCCCTATAATCCCATACTGATCTATCCCCATACATGTCCGCATCTGTCCCCCGCTCATCTCAAAACAACCCACACCCCCTCAATCACAATTCATTCGGCGCCCCCTTGACCAATTTAAACCCACCAGGCTGCAAATACTGAAATACCTGCTTGGGATCATACTTGCGCGATATCCGTACCAATCTCTCTTTATTCTCTTTTCCATAACTTGCAATCGGGTCCTGGAATTCTGACGCGTAGTTCAAATACACAAAGTCGTTGTCTAGATTTCTTCTCTGAGCCTCGGCCTTGATGAGCTGGATTGTATTCGCAATGACGGCGTGGAATTTTGGTTCGTCGCCGGGTTTGGTCCAGGCGGCGTTGAAGTTTAGGATGAAGTAGGGACCGTGGAAGGGATCGATGCCGAGGGCGTTTCCGCCGTTCTTTTGCATGGCTTTGATTGCTCTTTCGGTGATGGGCTGGATGGCCATGATGAGTAGGATCTTTTCAACATCGGCGATGGTGGCTTCTTGGGTGTAGAATGTTTCAATTATGAATTCGAGGAGTTGTCTATCCATTTTCAGACTGATTCCCCACCATGTTTGGTAGGCGCCTGGTCCGGGAGCTCCTTCGTTGAGAAGATTAGCCATGCCTGACATTTGGCGAAGACCAGTGGTGTCTTGGATGGCGGGGATGTTGTTCCAGCTAGAAAAGACTGAGGCATTGGCAATTGGTTTGGCGTAGTGCAGGTTTGCGAAGGCGACTTTGCCGATGCCCGGGGCGCTGGCGAACGTCTGGTGACATTAGCACCATACGTCAAGGCAGTGGTAAGCATGTACACTTACAACAATCTGTGCAGCATCTTCATCCTTTACTGATCCCGTTACGGTGAATTCGTGAATCGCGTCGAGAACAGCAGGAAAAGAGTTTTCCAAGTAGACGCGCTGACCTCCCCACATGTCGCTCAGCGGGAAAGTATCTAGTTTGAAATTTGTCACAATTCCAAAGTTGTTACCTCCACCTCTTAACGCCCAATATAGATCAGGGTAGGACGACGCGCTGACATCAATGGGAATGCCCGAGGCAGTAACCAGCTCGAAACTTGCTACATTGTCACATGCCCACCCACGCTTGCTGGCGAAATGGGAAATACCGCCTCCGAGAAGGAGACCAGGTACACCTACAGGTGCCATCTTAACTAACCGTTAGCAAGAAAACAACGCAGAAAATAACTGTATAAACTTACTCGACCTCCTGCAACACTAAGCCCATCTTTCTCAATCGCAGTATACACATCTATCCAGCGAAGCCCGGGCCCAATATCCGCACTCTGCTTATCCGCCGCTACTGCTACTTTCCTAAAATTTTCCATGGAAATCGTAATACCATCTTCAATACTAGAAGCTCCAGCCCACGCTGCATGGCCACCGCCCTTCACCGCAAAGGGACACTGGTACAATCTTGAGATGAGAACTACAGTAGACACATCTAGCGTCGACTTGGGCTTAAACACGCATGAGGGACGAAGTGCGCCTTGTTGAGCAGACCAATATGAGCTTGTGAAGTTGTTGTATGCAGTTGCGTTTTCAGGTAAAACTTGGTCGGGGCTGAGAAGTATGGATAAGGCTGTACACTTGGAGGTTTCTTAGCGTTTGGTAAATTTCTTTCAAAGTATGAGGATAACTTACCGCATGTGAACATTGCGCGGCTGAAGATCGCGAGGTGAGTATAGAATCAGACTCTGGGATTTCCGAAACATCAACGCCAAGTTTTTCGAGAGCTGCAGTGACGTTGAAATCTTGGGGCTCGAAGATGGTGTTACTGTCTTGTGCGGTTGCCCTTGCGGCAAAGGCTCCCAAGGGGAGGAGGCTCCTGACTCTCATGTTGGACGTGAGTTGAGAAGATTACAAAGGGATTAGCAAATCCTCTTGTTCATTCCAAAGGCAGGCGGTGAATTGGAGGACAAAAGGTTTCAACGCTGGGTGCTCCTGGCATAAAGTGTTGACCTGCGAGGCGAATACACTCCATATGCAGGTCCCTCAGGACAAATGAGATTCGGCTGCATGTGCGATTGATTGGTGGATCGACGCTGCTGTATGAGGAAGGTGGATAGATGCTGCATGTGGCGTGGTCGCAGGATGGGTCTAGAAGAAGTCAAGTGCACAACCCCGGTGCGTGCCGTTCCTGGCCTGTTCTAGCGGGGTTGAGTGACGCCTCGGAGGACTGAACACAATCGCTGGTTGTAATACAACGTTAGCTGACATGTTAGGCAAGGGATGGAACTAGGTCTATTGGTTAGAAGAATACAACCTACGAAATGGGAATACGAAAGGGATGACAGTGATGAACGATATTAACTTGTGGCAAAATCCCAGGTGTGTGTGTGTGTGCAAAGAACAAAATCCATTCATCTTCGAGGCATATCACGAGATCTCAAATACTAGTAAAATTCTGCCTATGCAGCTAGGGAAGTCTGGAGGACCACTGTGATAGATTGGAAAATGCATTCGCAGCTAGTTTCAGCAGTCATTTACTACAACATATTAGTTAATCACCCACAACTAACAATACAACGCGCAAATCAATCCCACACCATAGCGCGAGCCACAATTATACCGTGCCACAAAGCAGCATTTACCACCGCGTTAATCGCCTCCTCCAGCGCTTCCGCGGATATTACTCCAATGAAAGTTAGCACCCGAACCACACCCCCAGTCCAACCTGATACCAACAGCTTCCCCATATCCCCATATCCCTAGACTCAAGATACAAAACTACATCCTATACCGAACCCTTCTTGCCATTCCACCAACACTGGCCCCATCAAACAAGGTCAGCCCATCGCCATGGCATCCAGCGAACTGCACGACGTCGTCTGGACCAAGACGAAGCCACCAGATGCGCCCAGTAGATCCCGCCTCGACGGCGTTAACATCGCCATGCTCACCCTTGCTTCCTTCATCTTCGCCACTCGCACTGTTCTTCGGATCGGTGGGAAAAAGGCAACGGAGGCGCAGGATATCCTTAGTTATATGGCGTACGTGTGCTACGTGCTCATGGTAGTCATGTATCTGCAGGAAAACGATCCTTTGTATCGTGCTGAGAGTATGCTGAGAGGGGAGAGACCGGCGTATCAGGGAATTTGTGAGTGTTTTGTTATGTCTCTTTTCACTTAGTTGGATGGGGTGCGACTGACGTGTGGGCTTGGCTGTAGTACATGATGCGGGGATGGTGTATAGGTGGATGACGGCTGGGCAACTCTTGTTTTATGCAAGTCTTACCTTGGCGAAACTCTCGCTGTTAGCGTTTTACCAGCATCTAGTGAGTAAGGCGGGTCCCAGGTATGTTATCATCTGGTGGGCTGTTTTAGGATTTTGCGTCTTGGTGAGTATTATGACCGGATCACTCTCACTAGAAGTTCATTCATAACGACGCAGTCTTTTATCGGGAGCTCGTTGACTACGATCCTCTTGTGCGACGATCAAAGGGCAAAGTATAACCAAGGCATGTGTGCCAAGCCGCACGAACAGAGGCGCGCCCAGTTCAGCTTGTGGTTTGCGTATGCGGTGGATGTAGCAACTGATCTTGCAGGTACCGACCTCTCCTTTCTCTGGCATTCTTTGCTAAACTGATGCTCCAAAGTCATGTTTCTTCCATTCCGAATAACTTGGAACCTTCGTCTTCCAGGAATTCAGAAGGCTGGTATTTTTGTACTTTTTGGCAGCGGCTGGATATGCATTGTAAGTGAGCAAAAGTCGAGTTTGTGGAGCACAGTCCAACTAACTTTGTAATCCAATATTAGCTGTTCGCAACTCTCCGTGTTGTCCAAGTCAGTACAAACAACGGCATCCCAAAAATACCCGATCCGAAGTGGCTACAAATGTGGACCATTATTGAGACGTCAATGGGTGAGCACTGATATCCACTTGGTTCAATGGGATCGGTGATCTGACAGAACACGTATAGCTGTGATAATTGGATGTGGTCCCGCTTTCAATGCGCTTTGCCCCCGATATCGTGCCCAGAACGCACGAAGACGCTCAATTAATTTAGAAGATATCAAAGAGCCTGATTTAGCAACTAGGTCCAATGGAGAAACTAGTCAAATATAATGGTCCAGCACTGTTACTGCAGCTGTAGCTCGATATTTTGAGTAGCCTCAAGAGGGGTTTTCGTGCCCGAAGAAATGCATTCCAATTAGCTGTAAGAACCTCTACTCTTATTAACTGCAGCCGTACTAAGATATTAGGAATCTCTGACTTCGACTAGCATCAAACTACGTGACGAATACCGGAATCTCGACTAGATCGCCTCCTTCTGCTATGGCTAATGAGGACTGCATGTGGAGCCTGTAGCACTACAGGCGAACCAACCCCAAACTTATCACATCATGAGAAATACCAGGATCGTAAGAAAACTCATCGTCAAGGATATTCATAAAATGCTCAAAGGAGGCTTGGGGCTTGACCATCGCGTTACTTTCTTAACCCAACCATGCCTCAAATCAAGGCACCAGCGTTCATCACAACCTCTTCCTTCCGGCGCCGAGCCTCGAGCTTCTTTTCCCTTTGTTCATAATAGGCCTCTCTCGCCAGTCTATGTTCTTCTTTCTTAACTTCGTATTCTGCCTTTCGTCGCTCGTATTCCCGCTGTTGCTTCTTCTCAGTCTTGATATCGTGTTTGATCTTCTTATGCTCAGTCGAGGAAATGTGCCATGGCTTGGCCAGTACGTTTTGCTTGAAAGCAGCGGTTTCTGCCCATGCGCGTGCCTCTTCGTCTGTTGTTGTGACGAGTGAAACTCGTTTCAATTCCAGCTGCTTTATGCCTCTAAACTCTGATATGGTGCATTTCGCTTTAAGGACGGATCCAATGTCCAAGGGTTGCTTGTCTACCGTGACGTCAAAGACGCCAAGCCGACTGACGACTTCAACATTTTCAATTTCCGTGGGTGAGGAAGTGTCGACGGGATTCTTCTCTGCTGGGATCTCCCGCACAATCTTCAGCTCGATAATGGCTCCGCTTCCGTCATCAATGGTGAGGACTGTATATTTGAGGTTGATATCATCGATGGCTACAACAACGCCGACTATGCGAACATATCGAATAGGATGATTATGGTAGAAGTAGATGCGCTGTCCTGCGGATATTTCAGCGACAGTTGGGTGTTATAAGATAGTGGCGGCTATCACCTTCAAAGTCCTTCTCAGACCGGAGAGCATGCACATCGGCAACAGTGAGCTTCACCCATGTATTGAAGGTGGGAGATGCACCAAAGCAATAAGCGGGATACAGTCGATAGAGGCGCGTCGGCCGGAGCGTTGACATGTCATGTTGTGGTGACGATGCCCAAGGTGGGATGGAAGCGAGGCTCACGCGACGCGCACAGAGGCACGCCCCGTTTACGCTATCATGTGATTCTCTCGAGTCGAGGGGCTAAACTTGTTTAGTAACCCCACCTTACCGGATGATCCGCGCACATGGGCTTCACCATACCTAGCCATGCATGCGCCTCACTATGCCACACCATCCGACACTGCCGCTCCCAAGGCCGAGGCTTGCGCAGACTTGCAGGGAGCAATCCAGGCTTTTTCGTATCGCAAAAGAGTCAGCTTTGGGCCCTGGGTACCCTCTTCCTGCCACGCAGTTTACTCCTTGTAGATGTTGGGCGGCAAGCATGATTCAGGATCCACCCGACCACGACAGAACCAGCGCACCTCAACACCGCCGTTTCGTCGTCCACCGCAAAAAAAGCAATGAACTCGGCCCACTGAATATTGTGCTAGACCCGCGATGCAGTCAGGGCTGCCGATGATGCGCGTCCCCACCAGGCGCCGGCATGATGCTGTCTTCCGCGACCAGTTAGCTCCATATGCAGCAAGCTTCGGAGCTATCCCAGCTCTTTGTAGAGCTTCCAAGGCCATAGTCCGCCCAGTTCATAAGCAAGGTAGCAGCCCTGGGTTGCGCGCCCGACTGACTGTTGGCTCCCAATCCTCTTCTCTTCTCGAGTCCCGGCTTTTTCGAGTCGCAATACTAACCCGACCATTTTACAGCAAATCGCATAGTCGCTTCGTTGTTGTGAGGACTCGTTAATTCCGTCTCATCCTCTTGTCAGCCTCTGCCCTCACTAGTTAGCACAATGCGATTCCTTACGCCATGGAGCCTGTTCTTGTCGTCGCTGACGGTCTGTACTGCGGAGCCGATCGCAAAACCAGAAGCTGTACCGCAGCAGTACACGAATAATGCGCCTTTCTCTGGCGCGGTGTATATTGTGAATCCAGAGGGACAGCAAGTTGTCGCACAAGATCAGAATTGGTGTCCGTCGTCCGCCTCAGTAAGCTGTAGTAATGTCAACCACCCTAGTTGGTAAGTAGTAGAAGAAGCATGTGCAAAAGTGGTCCCTTTTGCTGATCAGGACCAGGTGTTGCCCGTCAAATTACCAATGCGCCGTTCCCGCCAACTCCAACGGATTGATTGGCTGCTGTCCAAACGGAAACCAGTGTGGAGGAGCCGTCAACGTCGCGCAAATCACTACTGTGACGGTATACCCTCAGCAGCAAACAGTCTACGCTGTGCCACCACAGACCACGGCGTACCACCAACCAAACCCTGCGCAAGGCGGCTTCTGTGCCACCATCACTATGAACGGGCCGGATCTACCACGAGCTGAACAGGGCTCATGTGGCACAATCTTGATCGTTGCCGGAGCACCAAGCTTGAAGGTGCTGAGCGCGGGTGCGGGCATCGTTGCATTCTTCATGCACTTTGCGCTAGGGAGAATGTTCAACGGAGCATAATCAAATAGACAGTAACCGCGATTACGATTTTACGAATTACGAATACATGTACTTCGATCATAGGTTACCCATCTTTGCATCTTCCTCATCATCCTTTGGTACCTTGATCAAAAGAGGTACCGAAACAGCATTCAGATGCCGGAAAGCCTATCAAAAAGTTGTCAGCAAGTCTAATTCATGTTAATAAACTTCTTCAATCAAAAAAACTCACATTCGCAATCGCATTCTCCGGCAACTTCCCATTCCACTTATCCTCAAGCTTCTCAATCTTGCCCTCGCTATCCAAATAAATCACAACCTCACTCTGAATAATCTGCTCCTTGCCAATCCCCTTGACCACATATCTCGTCTTGAGATCCATCAGAATAGGGTTCCCCGCATCTTTGACCTGGTGCTCCAACCGCTCGATCTCCGAAAACGCGGCTTTGAGTCCGTACCACTGTGCGGCGTACTTGCCGCGGCCCTGGGCAATGGTAAGAGGATCCACAAAGGTGGCGTCGTCGCGCCACAGCGACAGTTTGCGTAACGAAGGGCGGCCCGCGAAGAGGTCTAGCACCGAGCGTACGACTGTTTGCTGCGAGTCGCTAAGGGTGACGCCAGGTGCGGTTTGCACGTCCTTGGTCTCAATGTTGATGTTTGAAGCTGAAGTCGCCATAGTTACTCTGCTGGGTCTGAGAATGCGAGTGCACGCGGGTGTAGTAAATGTTCTGAGTGTTTGGCTAGGAGCTGGGCGGATGTAGCTTAGCATTGTGAGAAGGCAAGTGAGATTTGCCGGGGTAGGAGATAAGAATTAAATACTATATGTCCCGTACCCAAGAGACTTTTTTTCGGGATTGCTCCGACCACGTGTGTTTGTGAAACGCGTCATATCGGAGCATTGAGCACGATGGGTTGCTTGGTAGGTGTGCGTTCTTTGGTTGCGCAGTGCGTCTTCATCGGTGCTGGTGGTGGGATGCATTCGTGTGGAAATAGTCATGACGCCATCGGTCTTCCCAGGTGAGATTGAGCCAGACGATCTCGAGAACGCGGGGGATTTTGTGAGCGGGAGCCTACTGCCGATGCGGGATTATACATTTAGATTTTACTGCTATTGGGGCTTTGAAACTACAACTGGCGCTTTGACATTGTGTATATGTTGGAGCTACTACGATCGTATTGATCGATTTCCTTCGGCGCTTTCCTGTTGCAATTTGCTCACGTCATGGGAAGATCCGATTGCATGCATTACACTGGTAAATTTGAACATTCTAACATACAACAATCACTTATTGCACATGGCCTGCAGTAGCGACTTCCAATATCCGATCCTCCAGGCCAGGTACATGAATACATTCGACACCATTTTCCTCCAGCTTCTTCCTTCCCTGATTCTCACCAACGAACTTTTCTGGCTCCTTGACGCCTAGGTAGACCCTCTTGATTTTTTGCTCCCCATTTGCTCCCTTGGTTCGAATGATCCGGTCTGCGCACGGCAAATTGCCACTTAGTCGAAGGTTGCAAGGCTCCATAGTAGTGTATATGGAGGTATTTGGAGGAAGGGCTTCGCCAACCCGTTCTTCTGGCAAATTATGTTCTTTGGCAAACTTCAAAAGACAGCATTGCTCTGCATGCGTATTGCCCTCGCATTCTAGAGTGTAGCCCCTTGATAATATCGTGCCAGTATCTGCATCGACCAATAAGGCGCCCACTCGAAAGTTTGAAGGCTTTGGCGGTGATTCCTGCGCTTGATCAAGGGCAAGGCGCATGTACTGGAGATGGTCGTTTGGATCTGGAGCAGGCAAAGGAGGCGTCGGGCCATCCCAGTCGAGTAACGTTGACATTTCTGGCGAGGGAAGGTGAGTGAAATAATGCATGTTCTGGTCAACAGGTGATAGAGAGAACAGTGGGGCTAGCTAACTCCGCTAAGTCCGGGCTCACTGTCGCGTCGCGTCCCTCGATTTACCAACCTAGCACTGCTTCACTTCCCATACCAACACAACAACAATCAAACAAGATGGCGAGGAAACAACGCAAAAATACAGAGGCCGAAGATCCCATGGAAGAAGACTTTACCAACGACCATGACAGCGAAGGCGAAGAGCATGATCTTGGTGACGAAGGCCCACCTACTATTGACCCATATGAGGTTCTGGGCCTTGAGTCTCAAGCAACAGCGGATGATGTGAAAAAGGCATATCGTAAAATGGCACTCAAGTGTCATCCAGGTGCGCTTCCTCATTAGATATCTGCTTCCTCCCCTACTGACAATTGCAGACAAGGCTGCGCCCGATGAGAAAGAAGCCGCCAACAAGGCCTTTCAAGAGATCGCATTCGCATACGCAGTACTTTCCGACGACCGAAGGCGTAAACGTTATGATCTCACCGGCAGTACAGCAGAGAGCCTGGAAGACGACGACGACTTTAACTGGCTTGACTTCTTCCGCGAGCAGTTTAGGAATATCATCAACGAAGAATCTATCAATAAGATTTCTGATGAATACAAAGGTAGCGAAGAGGAGCGCAAGGACTTGATCAACGCATTCAAGAAGACCAAGGGCAACCTGAACAAAGTATACGACATTGTCATGCTATCAGATATCTTGGTGGACGACGAGCGGTTCAGGAAGATCATAGACGAAGAGATTGCCAATGGCACGGTCAGCTCATATCCTGCATATGAGAAAGAGACGGACGAGACGCGCGAAAAAGCCAAGGATGCAGAGAGGAAGAGGCGCGAAGCCTTTGACAAGCAGCAGGCTCAGGAACAAGAAGAGAAGGCGGAGCCTACCAAGGGAAAAGCAAAGGCAACGGCAAAGCCAAAACCCAAGAGCAAGAAGAGTGGCACAGATGACATGGCAGGACTGGCGGCGCTGATCCAACAACGACAAAAGGCACGAGCAGGCAACTTCTTTGATTCTCTTGAGGCCAAGTATGCACCCAAATCACGAGGCTCCAAGCGATCCACACCCATGGAGGAACCGCCTGAGGAACTATTCGAAGCCAACCGAAAGAAGCAGAAAACGAACAGCCGGCCGAAAAAGAAGGCCAAACAAGAGAGTGAAGATGAGGTGATGGAGTCTGGGGAAGAGGATATTGGCGATTCTGAGGAAGAGAAAACACCGCCTCCAAAGAAGACGAGAGCGAAGCGGAAGGTGAATGCGCGTGGGCGGGCTTAGCTTTTGTGTCTCGGCTCAAACTCTACTTTGCGAGAACCTATCACAGTGATGGGTGCAAGGCATTTAGAATGAGATACATCATCCATACTCTATTGCAAGGAAGGAACTTTGGAAACTCCCCTTCTTCACGACTTTTATAGCAGTGACTCTGCCCCATACAGAGTTTAACAAGGCAACTAGAAAAGACTTCGCACATCGCAATTGCCTGTGCCATGCTTAGCTGAACTTGACTTTCTACTTTAGCATCACAGTTCCTACCTTGCCTCTCTCATCCCATGGGTACAGGATATCTGTTAACTGGCTTTCTAATTCCGCCCGCGCTTCACGTTCACAGTTTACCATCACATCTTCTTCCCTCTCATTCACATTACCTTAGCGTACCCCGATAGTCACTACAGTAATAAAGGCTGCGCCACTACTAATGAAACAAACGAAAGTCACAAAAAGCGAGCAGTGAAAGGACCCTTTCCAGGTCTTGTGGGGACTTGTGAATCCAACTCCAAGCTCATTCACCTTACAACAGCCTATCAGTAATTAACAAGCTCACTTTCTCTGTCACTCCGCACGAATACTCTCTTCACCATGGTGAATAAAAGAAATATCAAAGCCGAGGTGAGTTTGCTCTCAGTATCACTGAGACACAGATTGACAGAACCTTACTAGATGAGCTTTTCTGATCAACAACCAAACACCAACCGCTATAGATTCATAGCACCAATGGCCCATATGACTCCATCGCCAGACACTTCTACGAATGAAACAAACGACACCAACAGCAGCGTAAGTACACCACATCCGAACAACTAGTCGCAATCACAAGGCAACTCTGAAGCCCTGCCTTGCAAACGACAAGCTAGAAACAAACTAACAGTAACATAGCCCACCCAGCAGCCCACCAACCGGCACTTCAACGGCTCCATCAGCCTGGTTATGAACGAGTCTCTCAACCAGACCACCAACTCACCAACTCGCCAGCCCTCACTCGATTTCTCTTCTCCTTTCTTCCCACCAGACCCACCAGTCGCACCAGTCGCACCAACTCACCAGTCCTCGCCCGACTTCTCTTCTCCTTTCATCCCACCACTCGCATCAACACCAACACCCACACCCGCACCTGCACCAACACCAATACCGACACCCGCACCGCCACCTCCACCGCCCACAACCACCAACACCCTAAACACGAACCTCCAATCCAACATCCTCACCTACGTCCTGCAATCAAACCCCCTCCTCATCCCCACCACCCTATCCCGCAACGCCCGTCTCACCAGCACACGCATCAACGACATCGCGCACGCCATGTGGAACGTAGCCTTCACGCACAACGACCCACTTCAGCGCGCATGCCAGTACGCCGCCATGTTTTCGCCGCTGAAGCTGGCCGCGCTGGCGAAGCTGAATTTCCTGCCGAGTTGGTGGTTTTTTCGCGATTTGGCGCTAAAAGGGCTGCAGGAGAGGGGCTGGGAGGTGGATGATGCGGAGATGGAGGAGACGTGGGAGGAGGCTGTTAGGTGGTGTGTTGAGGTTAATGGGAGGAAGGGGGGCAAGTAGGGGTGGGAGAAGTTTGTTGAAAGTGTTGGGGTTGAACGCGTGGATCTGGGGATTAGGATTGGTGTAGAAAGCGTGAGTTTCGGTGGCTTTGTAGAGACGGGCTTTGTAGGAGTTATGGGTTTTTGAGTCGATTACAAAGAGTGTGATACGTGAGCATTAAGCCCGATCAGAACACCAGTAAGATGCAAGTCCCATGGTGACGAAATCTTGTTCATAAACACCGTATCCATACAAAAGCATTAAAACTAGGAATAGTCGTAAGTAGAATCAAAAGTGTTTATTTCATTCAGGTATTCGAAATCTTCCAAGACTAAACATACTGCCTCTAGCAAGATTATTATGGAAGCTGGCCCGCAGCTCGAGTTTTGGGGGTCCTTCGGTTTGCTGGTGAACCGATACCGTCTGCAAGATCTGGCCGTCTGGCGTAGTATTATGCGGCGATATGTCGTCTTGAATGACAATTTTTGGAGTCCGGGGGGCGCCGCCCCAGCCCGCTGGAGCGGGGCCTGTGACGTGTGAGGTCATGATTCCCATTTCCGTAGGCACGAGATCCGATACGCTCAGGCTGCGGCGGTAATCGCGGCCTTTTCTGGGGTACTCGAAGGATGTACTTTGCTCATATGGTGCGTCTGCGAAGCCGAGAAGTTGCAGTATGTGGTATACTAGTGGTCGGTAGGTTGCGATGCTGCTTGCGACGATTCCTATACCAGGTTCCACTGTGCTCCATATGGCGACATCAGTTGTAGCATCTAGAAAGCGCAGTTAGCAAATGAAAGGCCACTGTTGTATATGACGAAAAGCGGTAATGCATACAGAGAAAATCAGTGCCGTCATAGAGTGTGTGTATGTATCCCATGCGGACGACGGTGCCTGTACTCCCACTATTGGCTCGTTAGCACGTGGTAAGCTGTCAATACGGACAACATACATAGCAGCAAACGCGAGGATACATGCAACCACGATCTTCGTCTTCGTTTTCATGTTCAGGCCCCAGACCATCCAGAAAGGAAGTAATCCCAATATCCAATCGGCCGTGGCGTTGATAGCAGCGAGAGCGTAACTGATACCTAGAGTTGGGCCTTTTGGTATACATTTTTCTGAAGCAGGATGTATCTCCCAAAATGCCGAGACTGAACATCATCAACACAAATGACATACAAGTCTTGAGTCAAGACTTACCAGGAGAACACTGGAGCATGACCAAAAACAAGTAAATCAAGCAACAGAGGACAGTGCCTCCCATCAGTATCCTTATACACCAGATGTGGTTTCGCTTGACAGCGACTCGGAGATAGAAGTATCCAATGGAGAACTTGAGAAGGCCATTGGTCACTACATACATGACTTCACACAAGTACCAAAACTATCTTGAGTCAGTAGGTGGGGTTGAGACAGAAGGCAAAGGACTGACTAGTAGTGCGGTCTTTGCATTGTGATCGCTTAGACGCCATCGATGCTGACCAGTCCCATGTACCGCTGCAACGATCTGGAAGCAGAGGTAAATAGTGAATACTAGCTGTAGAGTTCGGTTAATGTCGCAGCATTGTCAGGCGGGCAGTGTACGTACCTGTGTTGCAACCATGTACGAGTCATCTTTTCCCCATATTGTTCTCAGACATAGGCGTACATAGACTCGCAAGCAGACAGTGACCCATGTCAAGACGAAGAAAAGGATTGCTACGGCGAGGACCTCTTGCTTCCGGTTATCGGATGTCATGGTGGTGTAGCTCTTCGTTCGATTATCGTCAGTTGTCGAGCTTTGTGGATCACGCGTCGTGTCATGATTCGCTAGAAAAGGTCCATGTTAGGAGGAAGAGGTATTTTCCAAGAGGGTCCTGAGGGTACAAGACGGGGACGTGAGGAAGAGTAGCAGGGTTATTAGACAGACACTAAAGCCTCGGTTTCTTTACCGCGTGACCCAGCCAAGCGGTACATTGCTTGGACTAGGATGGCAAAGGCGCTGTGGACCTCGGAGGCCTAGTAACGGAGATCTCGTTCATCACTGACTCGTGGGTGGCATGGACTGAGCAATACTTGTTTCCCGAGTCATTATAGTGACCTTGATCAGCGCCTCATTAGCCGTATACACAGGCAGATGGGCAATGATGAACAGCTCATATGAAAGAAGCGCATTGGTATACAGACGTGGGGTACAGGGATTAGGCGTTGACGCAAGGTGCCAGAAAACGACTGCCGAAAGGTGATTGTTTCATAAGAGGGAACTTTGTATAGTAACCTTTTCCTATCCACACTGTCGGAATGCTGACTGTGGGTGTTGTGAAACAGGCTAGGAAGAGGTACCACAGCAGCAAGGCGGGCTTGGTACAATTGAGAGGCTCCGAGGCGAGTATGGAAAATCTCAAATGTTGGGCTTCCTAGGTGATAGCGCAGTTAGAACAAGCTTGGTGTTGGGGTACATAAGGTTAGTCTGTTTCGGCAGACTTGAGCAAGGCGCCAATCAATCTACACAGGGATGACAGCGTGGAGACGTGGGTTGCTCATCACCGCCCTGAACAGGGCGACATGCCGTCGCGGCCACAAAGCATGAGCTACGTTGGGAGGCTCCGTGCCGCGTGAGTGGTGTTGTCAAGCAATTTAGCGTTCCGGTAGTCATGAATGCCGGAGCCAATGCAGCAGGCCGGGTTCTTGCGGATGATTACTAGTCAGCTGCAAAGCAAACCTTACGTACCCTACTCTCAGCTGGCTGGGGTAATCTCCGAACTCTCCTCCTGACTTTATGAACCCAGCAGAATAACTAGCAGCCTCTCCCAAGCTTCATGTCAAACGTCTTGCTAGCAGGTCTCGGAGCTTGTCGCACCTCGCATCATGTGAATACAATTGACGTCACCAACCCTGACGAGAGCCACGGGCAAATGTCGGCCTCGCACAGTTACGCTCTGCTTGCTCTGCACTACTATCTTTGCTTGCTGTTACCGGATACTCATCTCCAAGCAGATATGAATCACAATCAAGATGGCAGCAGGCAGCGATGCGGATATTGGCCATCAGCAACAGCTTGTCGGGTGCCTGCACCTTGATGGCAAGCCGTTTGCTGGCTTGTCTATTGTTTCTGCTTGCTGTCTCAAGCACAGTCGTCCAATGGCGAATAAATCGGACCTCTGATTTCTGCATTTTAACTTTCGTTTCCTATCCAGTCATCATATTCGCAATCTTTACTTACCAGTATAGCACATATCGTTTCCACCATGGCCACCCAACACCAGAACATCTGTCCGTTACCAGGAGATCTCCGTTTCTATCTTCTCCGCGGAAATACCATGGTGCCACTCATACCAGCCGATCAGCTACCATTCCAGCTCAAGGGGATTCCGCGGCAACTTACGCATCGTCAAATGTCAGACCAGGGCTGGAAGCTATTCAAGGAGACAAAAGACGCGCTCTCTATGCTTTCAGTCCAAGCACCCATTTCCAATGATGGGCCCTCGCACTGCTCTCCGGATGGGAAACCTCAATATCTCGCGCCCGACCACAATGTCCGGACTGAATCGCAGAACACAAACACAGCTCTCAGTCACCCAGGCCGGTTGTCGCCGCAATCACCAGCACTTGATACATATGAGAACCTCGGCACACCGTCCACCACCGGGGTCGAACGCCAGTCGTCGCTAGCCGACGCCGTGGCGTCTGTGTACCATAGGGAAGCCCAGCGATCTGGGTACAACAACGCTAACCCCGGCCCAGAACCCTCGAAAAAAGTATATTGTACACACTGGATTGCAACCGGCGAATGCAGATGGATGCACACAGGGTGCAAATACAAGCACGAAATGCCTGGGACCGAAAAGCTTCGCGAACTAGGTTTCACCCGTGGCACCCCCAGGTGGTGGAGGGAACGAAATGCAGTGTCTCCTGCCAAGCCACTAACTTGGATGCAGCGCAAAGTAGGCGGAGGAGCAAGCAGCGACGGTCTAGAGCCGCCTGCTGAAAACATGCCTCCTCCCGCTCGTTCATTCCCAGAACCGCTACCATTCCGCACTCGCAGACTCCAAGACCGATATGCATCCAGTGGCGAGATACACAAGATCGGTGGCGTTTCCAAGCGACCGGAGCACTCAACTGCCAAATCGACTATAGTAGTACTGCCCCCAACCCCCAACCTCATAGACCTAGACGACACGCCCGTCATCTCCCCACCTAGCCCCTCGCAATCCCAAACCTCGACCGCTGAATCAAGCGAGACTCGCTCCCCTCTTTCCTGCGCCTCCTACTTCACTCCTCCCACTTCTCCCGGACTACCCCGCAAATCCCCGCTTACCAAGCCTCTACGTCGAAAAATAGGGCTTGTGTCGTCGTCATCGTCGTCGTCGTCTTCTTCCCCCAGTTCTTCTTCGCCGTCGTCATCGTCTCAGGAAGATGGTTCGGATACTGAGACTGAAACTGATACTGATGACGTTCCTGCTGCCCCTGTTACTGCTACTACGCATCGACAGCGCCGTTCTAAGCGCGATGCTAGTGCTCTGAATGCTATGTCAGCTGCCAGACGTGTGACGGGGAATGAACCAAAGCTTGGTCTTGCTAGTTCAAAGTATGCGGTTAAGATGTCTGGGGTTCAGCGACAGGTGCGTGGGGAGGTTGGTGGGCGGAAGGGATGAGAGAGGTGTGCGAGGAGAGTTGAAATGTTTATTAGAAGTGGATTGGCTGGAGGAGTTGTAGTGTGAGTAAGTAGATGGGGTAAAAGAAAAAAGGGAGTATAGATTTTGCATTTACAAGGTTCGACTAGGTTCTTTTTCTCTCGTTAGATAGATTGGGGGGGGGGGTATATATGAAATTGTATTCAATGCATGATACAATTATTTCTTATTCTCTGCTCACATATATCTTTTTGCTTTTGAACAAAATTGATTTCCACTTCAACTCCATATGTACCTTTGCTAAACAGCCTTCAAAGAAGATTGACCTAATAAAATTTGCTTCATACAAACATACATGCATGCATACATACGCCTTTGTCCTCTCCGCCCTCCTTCCAAACTGAGAAAATCACAACGACGACGACGATGATGATGAGGAGGAGGAGGACGAAATGCCGCTTGCTTCATATATACCAAGAATAGAATAATAATATAAAATAAAAGGCCCACAAAGATAGATTGGAAAATAAATAAGGAAAAATAGGGGACCACGGGAGTACCATATATAACCCCATTGGTGGACGAAAAGGGAAAAGGAAAAAAAAGCGCCATCGGGGGATTGCCCGGTGGAATATACGGGCGGGGAAGATCGTAGCGCGGATATCGCGTCTAAACTGACCAGACCAGGACCAAGATGGAGAGACCAGGAAAGAAACCCTAGCAAGAACGATGGGCTCAGCGAAAAAAAAAAGAAAAACAAAGATTATGCCCATACATTTTTGAACGTATCCAAGTCATAAATTCTTTCTTTCTTTCTTCTTTCTTTACGCGCCCCATTTCTGAACTGCTTCGCTCAACTCTTTTGTTAATCCCCGGCGTACAGCCAATAGCTCTTCTTTCGCGTTTTCGGCTTCCTTTTCGCTTCGCTCAATGCGTCCTCTTAACCCGTCTACTTCGCCTCTTAGCTCTTTTCGAAACTCTTTACTCGCGTTCTCTACCGCTACTAATCTTTGCACTTCCAGGCGCATCTTTTCGCCAGAAGACTCGACGCCTTCTAAGCGCTCTTTCATGGCGTTCATTTCGCGCTTCATGCCCTCTACTTCGCGTTTTAGGGCGTCGGATTCGATTTGCATGCTACGATATGCGTGGGATTCCCTAGCCATGCGCTGCTGAAGGTCGGATTTTTCTGATTCCAGGCCATTTAATGAAGCTTTGAGGCCGGCGTTTTCGTCTTTGAGGTGATTAATTCGGTCGGTTAAGGCGCGGTTGACGCGCTCCGGAGCGGGACTGCGTGGGCTGAGAATAGATCCTGAGGATGCTATTGAGGTAGATTCCTGGAGTTTTGAGGGGACAACGATTTGCTCGCTGAGAGTGCGCCGGGGGTGCTTTTTCGGTCGGATGGCAGATGGAGGGATATTTGGGTAGTCTTCGTCGCGTTCGCGTTTAATCTTAATGTTTAGGCTGTCTGTTGCTGCGCGTTTCATTGGAGGATGTTGATATTCATCAGATACGGGACGAGTGGTTGAAACAGTAGAGGACCGCTTCGGCCGGACAGTAATTGGATCCTTTTCGAATGGTGTTGAAGGTTCTGATTTTCTCGATGGTGGTAGTAATGGACGCTCGCCTTCATTCTGAACCCACAGACAGGCGTCGCGAAAATTCCTGGTAAACATTGTAGGATCTGATCGTGTGCGGGATAGCTCTTTCACGTGGCCTGCTGCCAAAAAATAGTAAAGAATGAGGGCAGATACGCGGTGGATTGCTTTTGAACCACCGGTATCGTCACCGACGTCACAAAATGGGGCATGAAAGGCAACGGTGCTGGTGCTATTTACCGACAACAGCTCACTGCTGCCATCTTCGAGTTCGGTAATGCGATAGAAGCTGACCTCTGCTTCGTCCTCGTGGACGTGGGCTGTGACACGGTCAATGGGTTCATCGTCGTCGCCGGCGGGACCTGGGGCGTAGCCGCCAATGACGAGTAGCTGCTTGTGAGTAGAGCGGCCGAGAGAGCGCCAGATAGCTCTGCTGATAGTAAAGCTTTCGTCAAACTCGATCCATTGCAACCTGGCAGCACGCGGCAAAGCGCGAAAGGGCGCGGCAAAGTGATGACGGGCCCAGGCCTGGACATTGTCGTTTGTAAGGGGAGATCTTGTCTCATTGAAGTCGGCCATGGTGGCGGATGATTGGCGAGGTGTCACCCGGTGTTGTGCTGGAGGTCAATGGGCCGCTGTGTAGTAATTGGCAGAGGTGGAAAGTGCACGCGCGGAGATTGCGGAGGGGTGACAAGGAACTGACAAGCGATCTGTTGTTGATCGCGACTGGAGATTGTACAACGAGCACCTGTTGCCGCCATGGAGGCCCGGGAGACAGCGGGATCACGGCGACATGAGTGCGCAGGCAATATGGGTGCGTTTGTGTGTGTGCGTGTGTGCGAGAAGAGTGTAGTAGTAGAAGGGTTGTTGACGCTGCGGCGACAAGTCAGGCGGGATTCCTTCCGGCGCCCGTTATTTGCGGGGCTGGTACGTATTAGTGGCTGGCCGACTGAAAGGGGAAGGTGCGCCAGACCAGTGCTGCACCATGTCGCTACGGCCGGCCCACTGCAGCCATGTTCATATGGATGCACATGTTGGAACACTCTCGCCATGGCTACCTGGATGTGCCCTGTGAAGCCTCGCTGTATCTTAATTATAAGCGGCCAATAGCGCTACCGCGTATGCGAAGACGTAATACACGTGTGGTCAGCAACAGGCGTCTTGTCTTGGGAACTTCCCATACCCATACCCATACCCACCACCACCTGTTCCCCATATCAGCCGAGGCCTAGTTCCCTCAACCACAAACAGAGTTTACTAGATACTACACTTAGATATAGCCATGTGCTCGCCCTCGCCCCCGTCACCGCCAATCCTCTGCTGGAAACCACCTGTTGGAAATTACCTGTCGTTCCAGCCCTCGCTGTCTTTGTTTTTTTGTCGCGGCTATTCCTTATCTAATCGGCATCCGCCATACTTGCACCCGAAGGCCCATGTACTGCGCCGGCAATATATGGCTGGTCGCCATGTAGCGACTATTCGGACCAGGGTTGGTATCTCTGACTCTTCTTCTTGCGGGGAAAATGCGAAATATGTACCGGCACAGCGTATGTTTGGCGCTGTGGTCCTTTTATCTATTTACGATATCACTACTTTACCTGATACCTAGGTACGCCGATTCAACGCGTCTACGTCATCGGCCTATATTTTTTTTTGCGATCAACGCGCCACACGCGGCTGTTTCCCTAGACTAAAACACCCAATCTGGCCGAATCTCACTTCCTGTCTCTAACAACCCTTGCGTCCCCTTCAGCTGTCATTCCACTAACAAGACCCTCACTACCACTGCTGCGTGCGCCTGCCAACACCAACCATGCCCCGCCGCGCTCCCTCAACCAACACCCCCACTTCCGACACCACTACCACCACAGCGTCCCCAGCAAAGGTCCGGTGGCCAGCTACATTCACAGATGGCTTGCCACTTCCAAAAATAGTCGTCTTCGACCTCGATTACACTCTCTGGCCCTTTTGGGTAGACACGCATGTTACCGCCCCGCTTAAGCCTACCGAAGGCGGCTTAAAGGCAAAGGACCGATATGGCGAGGGCTTCGGCTTCTACACTGACGTTGGGGGTATCCTAGAAGCAGTACGACTGCTCCATATCCCCTATCTGACCACAACAACAACTAACCAAGTTGCCATAGCTCAAAGCTAAGAATATCCTCATCGGCGCTGCTTCTCGCACCTGCGCCCCGGATCTCGGTCGCGAGATGCTTAAGCTGCTCAAGATACCCAGCCCTTCCGGCTCTTCATCCCGCGCAATCGACTACTTTGACCACCTGCAAATATACCCAGGCAACAAGACTACGCATTTTGAGCGCATACACCGGGACAGCGGTCTCGAGTATGAAGACATGCTCTTCTTTGACGACGAGGCTAGGAACAAAAATGTAGAGGTCCTAGGCGTCACGATGCAGCTTATTAGGGATGGTGTGACAATAGAGGAGATCGACAACGGAGTTCGGAGTTGGAGGAAGAGGAATGGCAAGACAAAGCCATTGGGGCAATGATTGGCTGCTAAAGACACGTGCGCTGACTCGACGCAGGGACAGCATAGAGTGAATACGATACCCGTTTATTCAACTTTCCGGGACCATAGTTTCCGGTTGTTCGTAACTGACATTAAATTCATGACTAGACGTTACCCAACTCCACGAGCCACCTGTCAACGCACACACAAACTTACAACGGCACTGCCGCGCCGTCTCCCCGCATATCGCTACCTCCGCTCCAAACCTGCACGCCATCATCCTCGTGCCGCCTGATTATCTGGCCTCGGCCAAACATGCCCCGCTTGTAACCACTCAGCTGCTCCACATTGTGTCCCAGTGCCTTGAGCTCCTTGACCACCTTTGCATCAATGCCCTCTTCCAGGTAAATGGTCGCGTCCGTCATAGTTCCGTCTGCGCTCGGCATGCCGGCTCCAATGCAGAAACGCGGTGAGTCGAGCGCAGCCTGTGGGTTGAGCTTGAACACCTCCTGATTCAGCAGCACCTGCACGTGACCCTGCGGTTGCATGAAGCCGCCCATGACACCGTACACAGAGTGCAAGCCCCCGTCGTTAATATACGTGGTCAGACCGGGGATAATGGTATGATACGGTCGCTTCCTCGGCGCCAGAACATTGGGATGATCCTTGTCCAGGCTAAAGTTTGCGCCGCGGTTCTGGAGCGTGAAGCCACAGCCCTTGGGGATGATGCCGGTGCCGAAGCCGCCATAATTGCTGTTGATGAAGGAAATGGCGTTGCCGTCTTGATCCGAGCAGCAAAAGTACACCGTGTCGCTTTGCAGATGTGCCGGCGATCCGTGGACTGGCGCTGAAATGGCCTTCTTCGGGTTAAACAGCTTTGCGCGCTCTGCCAGGTACTTTTCTGAAATGAGCTCTGCTGAAGGTACCTTGACCACGTTGGGGTCAGTAACAAACCAGTGCGCGTCGCAAAAGGCGATTCGGAGCGCTTCAATTAGAGCATGCAGGTGGCTTGTGCTGTTGTGGTCTTTGACGCTCCATTTAGGAATCTTGCCTTGCTTCTCCAGCTCTTGGATGATGCCTAGCGCCATCAGAGCTACGATGCCCTGGCCGTTTGGTGGATGCTCCCACAGCTCGATACCGCCGTTAGTATTCTCTCCTACTCCTTGACCCGTGTACTTCAGCGAAATGGGGTCGACAGGCTCAGACCCGGTTTCGGCGTGATGTTTGAGGTCGTCCAGAGTGAGGTAACCACCAAGATCTTGCACTACCTTTACAAGCTGTTCCGCGACTTCTCCTTCATAGAAGCCCTTCTTTCCGTGCTTGGCGAGGAGCTTGAATGTATTCGCTATGGTTGTGTTCTTCATGATTTCACCTGCTCTCGGTGCCCTGCAGCCATCTTTGGCAGATGGGTCTTTTTTCAGCATTTCATGGCCGTTGGGTGAAGCACGTCGAATGTCAGCTTCGCTAGCTGCCCACTATCACAGTCTCAGTAGGCATCTCTTGAAAGCATTTGGGTTTACTCACAAAGGTTGCAGAGAGCTCAGACACTGGGAAGCCCTTCTCTGCAAGCTCAATAGCAGGCGCAAGGACATCCTCCATGCTGACCTTTCCACTACCAAAGCGCTCAACGCAGTCAACCCATCCTGCTGCTGCACCGGGAACTGTGGCCGCAAGCACGTGATCCATTGGTATCTGACCATGCTGGCCATCCGCGAGATTGAGGTCTTTCCTGACCTTCTCAAGTGTGACGTTCTCGCCCGAGCGGCCAGATCCATTCAGCGCCGATACCTTCTTCGTCTTTGCATCGTAGTACAAGCAAAACATGTCACCACCAATACCGGTGGAGCCTGGCTCCGTGACATTGATAGCTGCCGCCACAGCTACAGCTGCATCCTGGTACAGTTGTGAGTTATTTGCACATGGTAATGGGTAATAGATTACGTCATACAGCTGCGTTTCCGCCTTTCCTCAGAATCTCAATGCCAGCTGCCGAGGCGAGTGGCTGGGTGCTGGATACGATGCCTTTTGTGCTGTGTAGCACGGAGCGCCGGCTGGGGAAGTGGACAAACTGGGGTTCAGGATGAGGATACACATTTGGATTGCCTGCAACAGTAGCTTCTTCTGCGAGCCGCTGCTTCTTAGCTTGAGGTTCAGGCTCCGGGTCATGGTTGGCCTTGGTCCTCTTGCTTCGTCGTGGAGTAGGAGGCATTATGTCTGGAGGTATCCGGAGCTCTGAGGGCAGCTTCTGAAGCTTTTTTTGCTATGAATACTAGGAAAGTTTATGAATGTAGTACTTGACATAGCTCTTTTATGTACGACGGTTATCCCCGGAGATGGTCGATGCCGCTTGCAGTGCCGATCTCGCTCGATAAGTACCTCGGGACAGGGTGCAGCGGCCTCCGATAAGTGTCCATGACGTTTCTAGCCAGGCGCGAACGATATGCATGCGGAAGGTGGTTAAAGCGGTGTGACCCTTGCGAGCGTGAGAGACTGCGTCACGTGCAAAGCGTTCCGAACCGATCGGAATGCGCGCGTTGGAGACTTTGAGAATTCCGTCACAATTGAAATTCTGCGCATGTCTACGACTATGCTTGCAGCGCCCTGGATATGTCGGAACTGCCTTTCACGAATAGGCAGGCCACTTCTTAGGCGCAATGTTCGTCTGCAAAGCTCGGGTGAGTAGTATGAATATACGTTCTATGGTATGTTGCTAATACTACTACAAAAGCTGCATCACCTGAATCCATACCACCAGCCCTCCTTGCTCGAGCCCAGGCAATTACTTCCGAGCACAAAGTGCTCACAGAAAAGCTGTCCAATGGCTTCGATACGCGTGCGGCGAAGAAGTTGGGCGAGTACAGTCCCATTGTGAATGCGCTGGGAGAATGGAACAAGGCCAATGAGGTAGGCATAGAGCAGGCACATGTTACGAGTAGTATGGATACTGATCTGGACTAAGTCTGTAGCAGAGCTTACCTCGATGATACAAGATTCATCCACCGATCCAGAATTACGATCACTTGCTTCAGATGACCTTGCGGAAACACGAACCCAACTCGCCAATGCTTCACAAAACCTCATTACTTCACTAGTACCTGTACATCCTTTTGCGCATCTACCATGTTTGTTGGAAATAAGACCTGGTGCAGGCGGATCAGAAGCTGCCATTTTCGCCGGCGACCTATTTCGCATGTACCAGGCCTATTGTAATCGCAACGGCTTCAGGACCAACATCCTAAAATACGAAAACGTAAACGGCACGACAGAAGCCGGGATACCACTTTCAGAAGCTATCATCGAAGTAGAAGATGAAAACGCATACGGTGTTTTCAGATGCGAAGCTGGTGTCCACCGTGTGCAACGCGTGCCCGCTACCGAAACCAAAGGCCGGACACACACGAGCGCCGCATCCGTCCACGTGCTCCCCAGTCTACAAGAAAACTCGGCCGAAGAACAAGATTTCGACGACCCAGAAAGCGACTACTACATCGACCCAAAGGAAGTCAAAGTCGAAGTCATGCGCGCCAGTGGTGCAGGAGGCCAACACGTCAACAAGACCGAATCTGCAGTCCGTCTAACCCACACACCCACAAACACCGTAGTCGCAATGCAAGACTCGCGGTCGCAGCATAAGAACAAAGAAAAAGCCTGGACTCTGCTGCGCTCCCGCATCGCCCAATCCCGCCGCGAAAAACGCGAGGAGGAAATGGCGATTATGCGTCGTAGCGTCATTGGCGTGGCGAAAATGGGCCGCGGTGATAAAGTACGCACGTATAATTGGGGACAACAGCGTGTCACGGATCATAGGAGCGGGACGACGGTGCATGATTTGGATGATGTGATGCAGGGGGGTCAGACGCTGAGTGCGGTTATGGAGAGTGTAAGGGCGTGGCTTATGGAGAGGGATGTTGAGGCTTTGATTGCGGATGAGGCGGCGGGGAAGTGAGTTTATTGGTGACTGTCGGTATGAGCAGTGTGTGAGAGTGTGGATTAGAGAGTGCTGCTGGCTGTGAGGGAGAGTGAATGGAAACTAAGTTAGATATACTTGTATCTAAACTTGCAGCGTAAAATTCCATCGCTCTCAAAAAGAAAGAGCCTAAGTGCTCGAATAGCGTTAGACACAATTATTGCATACTTTTTGGGGGCGTTCTTGTGATTATAACACACCGGCAACAAGCAACCTCCTCATCTTACCAGTACTGCGGGTTAGCACATACGACGGAACATACAGTGGACACCTTACGAAGTAACAAACACTAGATTACTCAGTTTTCTATACTAAAAACTATCCTTCCTACACTATACCATTTAATAGCTATACCTAGCCTCTCTTTATATCAGTCTCTTATATATATCTTTATGCCCTTTCTACTATAGAGCTATAAGCTATTGAATATTCTTGAAGATTCTTTTTTTAAGAAAAAACTACTTTATAAATACTTCTTAAAAGGGTAAAAGTACAAGCGAAAATAAAGTAAGAAAAGATGACTCTCTTTTAGTAGTGAATGGAAAATATCAAATCAATTTAGATTAGTATGTTCTGAGTTTGATTGTAAAATTATCTATAATATACTTTAGTTGTGATTCTTGTATATTTCGTTGTATATGTGCCAATTCCGTAGTATATCCTCGAATTTTACCCGATTTGTAGTACTAGTATGCTACTACTGTTGTGTCCTCGCAACTGTTAATCTCATACAACCTAAACCCTCAGTTATACCCCAAACCCCGCCCCCCACATTCACTCATATCAGTCACGCGATGAAAATCACAGCACCATAACATGTAATCCCTCGATTAATTCACCCTACCCCTTTCACCTAATTACATGATCGAGGCTAATCGCCCTTTTCTTTTTCTTCCCTTGATTCATTAAATCCCCGCAGTCCTACTTTCACTGTTATCCAACCCTCTGTCTCCATCTTTGGGTCATAACCTCCCCCCACCCATGAAAGCACTTTTTTAAGAGCACTCTTCCTCGCAATCTTCCTCGCACTTTCTAGGAGGACTCTTTAAGAGCGCTCTAGCGAGCGAGTACTCTAACGAACCCTACTTATACTCCCTCCTCATCCCCATCTTCAACACCATCTTCTCTGCACTCGCCTTCTTGCGCTGCGTCGGCCACGGTTTATCCGCCATGATGGCACGTAGATTGTGGTTTGTGAAGGCGCGCTTGACGGGGTCGATGCAGCGGCGGCGTTTGGCTAGGAGAGGGGGTCTGGGGACGGGGATGATGTTGCGGTTGGTGATGATGCTGGTGCTGGGGGGTTTGGTGGTGAGAGGACGGGGAGTAGCGGTGGTGGTGGTGGTTGGAGAGCTGGGGCCAGTGTTGTTGGGAAGATGAAGATGAGTGTTGTAGTGCTGGGTATGAAGTTTGCCAGTGACATTGCTGTCGTCGTGGATCTTGGGATGCTCTACGGCACGTACATCGGGAGACGAGACATGAGTATGGCGGTGGCTTGTTTGGTAAGCAGAACTGGCGCGGTTGTTTCCTCTACCGCTGACAGGGCGATGTTTATTGACACCAGCACCAGTGTGTGCGTTGAGATATTGACGATCTCTAGCACCAGGGTTGATGCGGTGATGCTTTTCGGGCTCATGCTCAGTGCGAGGCGCCATTTGAGTGTTTGCTTAGGCAGGGGTTGAACCAATACCACGTGGAAGGAATGCACTGAAAGTTGATATTTGTTGGGGGGATGAAAGGGGTTAGACTGGCAACAGGAGGGTTTATATACATGCCAGCAACGGCGTGTTAAGTGAAAGTGAAAGGGACGATATGGCATCTTGTGACGTCAGTTCAGTTCACGCTCACCGTGACAGGATATCCTTTTGGTAGTAGCATCCAGCGGTGACTATGAGCATCCAATGAGCAGTCGCAAATCATAATATTAGCGGTATATTATCTGTTTGTCAGATGTTGGTGGTGGCTAAGACTAATACACTGGTAACAAACATACCTGAGAAGGCAAGGCCGATTAGGGGTAAACAGGAATGAACCTAGGTGAACAGAAAGTGGTGGAATGCATAAAGGAAGTTTGTGGAGACTTGATAGCATGTTAAAATGACATGTTCATTGAACGCTTAATAGGAACACTGCTTTGGTATTTCATATACGAAAAGGAGCATAACAGAGAATGCTGTTGCCTAAAACTAGGTCGCTGACCCAACCCGCGTAGTACAAGAGAACAAAAGATGAAGAAATCCAGCCTATGTGTGCGCCACACTAGCGCCTTGAACGTCCAGCCATGAGAAAGCAAACAAACGGGCTATATGGGAAGACAGGTCAAACCCAGCATGATCATCTAAATATCATCCATGTTGCCTGCAGCTCCATCTTCATCACCAGACTCGTAGCTGCCGACTGAGCTCATCTCGTCTTCGTCGCCATCATCCTTGTCAGAGTCTTCGGCAGTATCTTTGCTGGCGTACTTTTGGACGTACTCTATTTTTTTTAGTTACTGGTCTGCATTCACTAGTACTTTACTGCTGTACATACCTTTGACCTTGGCGTCGTAGCTCTTGGGTTCTCTCATAAGAAGAGCAGCAGCTTCTCCATTCAGAGGATCGGTTGGGTTAGGATAGCGGAGGAGTTGGGGAAGAAAGACTTCAAAGATGTTAATCATGTCGTACATTGGCGACCAGGTTTGATTGATGACGTCCAGACAGACAGAGCCGGAGCTATTTATGTCAGAAGATGATTCGAGGCGATAATACAAGGAAAAGACATACAGCTCATCGATATTGGGGTGGAATATCCTGTTGACGAAGCCGATACTGGGGCTCTTGTAGGGATATTGGTCTGGCAGTTCGACGTGTATCTTCCAGAGACCACCCTCAAATGGAGCTATTGGTGATTAGTACGCGGTAGGCAAAACAGGAAAACTCCGACGTACTTTCTGACGGACCCTTGAATCTGACATAGAACTCTTGCCTAGGACATGTCAGCAGTTGGGCGCATTTGGGATGCGACGGTAAGATGAACTGACACTAGGAAATGTTAGCGGAGAGTGTTCATGGGGTGAAAGGACGATGGCTCACTGTTATCATTGACTAGAGTTACTTCATAATCACTCATGAGCCTGGGCGCTGTCAGCTGGCATTCTTGTGTCACCATCACTGTGGCGCGAATTGCTGCAATGGATGCTAGGTTGTTAGACATACATCCTATTTACTTGTTAGTATCATATTGCACAAAGGGAGTCTATGCGACTTACTTCATGACCTGTGTTTACGGGCAGGGTGCTCAATTAGCTCTTGTCCGTCCAACAGTCATTGACAGGGGGTTTAGGTCCCACATACATCCGTCTCGATACGTCTCTTTGGCGAACTCATTTTGGCGCAGGACGTGTATAAGCGAGTATATCGGGTCTTGTTCTCGCAGTGATTGTATTCAGAGCCGAGTCGTAGGAAGGTCGCAGCGTGGTCGCGCAGGGCGGAGTGGCGGCGGAGCTGTTGTGGAATGGGCGGCGGGGCTATCGATAGCGGAAGAGGGGCGCCGTGGCTGGGAGAGGGCAGGTGGTGTGTTGGTCAAATGGAGGTTTCGATTTGGTCGTCTGCGGTATGAATTGCGTGTATGGGTTTTGGAACCGTGGTTATCGAGCGCAACGTGCTGGGAGTCAGGGACAAACAGGCGCGAGGCACGAAGATGAGGGAGTCGTCACGAGATCACGAGCGATGATGATAGTGCGGCGGCGTGTCACGCTTGCGCACGTCTCACCTGGGCCAGCCATCGGCCAGACATCGCACGCCGCCGAGTAATCGATCGAATACTTTCAAACACACCTATTGTGCAGTCTTCTTTATGACTGAGATGCGCGACGATTCGCTATCTGACGACATTCATCTGACGTCTGCGTAGTGTACACTAACCAGGTACCCGAACATGTCGACCCAACCCTTACCTTATGACGAGCGACTGGACACTTCTCACAGCCAAAGTCATTATGCGCATAAGGAGCTGCATCACAGAGTGCATGCTCTTTCTACTCATGATACATACTCGAATTCATCAGAGCCATGCATGTACTCAGACACGGTCCATTGATCCAGCTATGCATCATTCAGCCAGTCCAGGGACCCCTTGGATAACCGGCCATTACTCGATTGCATGACTCGATGTGCAAAGCATTACCGACCTTGTAGGCAGAGAGAGAACAAAGGCTGCAAGGCCTCAGCCACAAGTCTGCTCGACTCGTCCATCTTCTCTTGTTCGGACACCGTTTCTGGCAGTCCAAGGCGGGCATGGCCCAATCAGTGTGGAGCAATGCCGCAGCTTCCCCGAGGTTGCGCCCACCAATTCACCGCTTGTCCGACGATGACAACGACGACCCCACCAAAGACATGTGCTGCAAAACAGAAGAGGAGGGAAAATATCAAGAAACCAATTGCTGGAGATGGCTGAGAGCCTATATATTTGGCATTCAATTCGGGGAATTACAGTGATTACATACCTATCTGGCCACAAAGGAACCAACCACACCCCTGTCTGTCTCGGCCAACGATGATCCTCGGTTCATTCTAAACAACGTCTGCTCAGAACTTCGCTGAAGATATCATCACAATGTCCCAAAGCATAAGAGAACGCTCGCCGCACTAAATCATGGCTGACCACCCTGCCTCCTTATTCTCTCCGCTGCTGCGACACATTTTTTTCCCTCTAGAAAACACCACCCGCCCATCTGCAGCCTTGCCGGTGCCTCCATAATGTCGCGTGCGCTATCCAAGACACTACGAGTGTCTTCACGACTTACACCACGACCTTCCTCACCCTTAACAATACCGCGCATCATACTGTCCGCCACACAAGCACGATGGAGTTCGCATTCCCCGCTGGGCACACCACCCACAAACGCACGCAAACCCGTCACTCTCAACACCCTGCAGGCACTCTACCGCAAGGGCGAGCCCATCACCATGGTCACAGCTCATGACTTCCCCAGCGCACATGTCGCCGACCACGCCGGCATGGACATGATACTCGTTGGCGACAGCCTCGCCATGGTCGCCCTCGGTATGGAAGACACAAGTGAAGTCCTAATGGAAGAAATGCTTCTGCATTGTAAATCTGTCGCGCGCGCCACAAAAGCCGCTTTTACTGTACGTTCTTGTCCCTCTTTATCCCCCAAACCAAAAAACATATATCCTCCTCCCATATACAACTAACTAACATGCGATTGCTCAGGTCGGCGACCTTCCAATGGGCACCTACGAGATCTCCCCCACCCAAGCCCTCCAATCCGCAATCACCATGATCAAAACCGGCCGCGTCAAATCCGTAAAACTAGAAGGCGGCGCCGAAATGGCCCCTACCATCGCTAAAATAACCTCCGCTGGCATCCCCGTCCTCGCCCACATCGGCCTAACCCCCCAACGCCAAAACGCCCTCGGTGGCTTCCGCGTCCAGGGCAAAACCACTGCCTCAGCACTCAACCTACTCGCAGATGCACTCGCCGTCCAAGACGCTGGCGCCTTCGCAGTCGTGCTCGAAGCCGTACCCGCGCAAGTTGCAGACCTCGTCACGCGACAGCTGCGCATCCCGACCATTGGAATTGGAGCCGGTAACAAGTGTTCAGGCCAAGTCCTTGTGCAAGTTGACATGCTAGGTAACTTTCCCCCAGGCCGCTTCCTGCCCAAGTTCGTGAAGCAGTATGGCAATGTGTGGGGCGAGGCGCTGGGGGCCCTAGAGAGGTACAAGGACGAGGTCAAGACTAGGGTGTATCCAGAGGAGAAACATACGTATCCCATGTCGCAGGAAGCATTTGAAGAGTTTGAAAAGGTGGTGGAGGATGAGAGGGAGAAGGTGGATTTGTTGTGATTAAGGGTTTGCAATTATGCCCTTTCTTTTCGCTTTTTTTTTGCAGTATACAGGGGGAGGAAACGACAAGGAACAATGGTGATATACAAGTCCACTTTTTTTTTCTTCAAATTTCGTTACATAAACCGATACAGGATATTTTACTCTTTTCTTGTATCCTTCACTCAAGATCATGTCTCTGTGTGTTTTTGCGAAGTGATCGTAAAATACATGATGAGAAAAGAAAGAAAAAAAGACTTTTTGGGTAAAGGAGGGGGTATACAGATTATAATACAATGGTGATGACAGAAAGAAACCCCCCGAAAGAAAGAAGAGAGGCGTGACCGTTACTTCATGAGGAAGAGACCAAGCTCAGAGAAGCTTCCCTTTTCTCTTCCCTTCCCCTTCTTAAAAGTCAAGTCGAGGTTCCCTTCTGGGGCGGTCACCGAATCCACCGCCGCCTCCCCTCCTGTCACCTCCAAAGCCACCTCCGCCTCGCCTGTCGCCTCCGAATCCTCCACGGTCTCCTCCACGGTCTCCTCCACCTCTTCGGTCACCGCCAAAGCCGCCGCTTCTCCTGTCACCTCCAAAGCTACCTCCGCCTCGCCTGTCACCTCCGAATCCTCCACGGTCTCCTCCACGGTCTCCTCCAAAACCTCCACTCCTTCGGTCACCACCAAAACCTCCTCCGCTTCGTCGGTCGCCAAAGCCACCTCCAGGCCTGCCTCCAAATCCGCCGCTACGGCCACCGCCACTGCCGCCGCCGGATCGCCTCTGGCTAGCCATGACAAAAGCCGGTGGTGGAGGCGGAGTCTCCATTCCCCATCCAAACTCTGCCAAACGTTGGGCACCCTCAATCAGGCTTCGCTTATCACCGAACCACTGGAAGCTTCCGAACAGACCACGGAATGCTGCATCAAGATGGTCAGGGTAGACCTTCTTGTGCGCCTCAACACAGTCAGATAGAATCTTGCCAACGTTCTCCGGGACCTCAGCAGGCTGGCTCATGTCAATGGTGGCAGTCTCGAGTTCGTGCGTTGCGTCGACAAGAGGCAGGTCACGGAGACGGCGTCGGGCTTCTTGCTTCTCAAAAGGAGTCAGGATGAGCCATCCCTCGCCCTCCTTTCCAGCACGGCCGGTACGACCCAGACGATGAATGTACGACTCGCGTTCGCGAGGGAGACCCACTTGAATAACGTGCGTGACTTCTGGGAAATCCATACCACGTGCGGTTACGTCAGAAGAGAAGAGAATGCCAGATTTAGCGAAGCGGAAGTCGTCAGCGGCCCTTGTTCGCTGCCCTTGAGAGAGCTTGGAGTGGATTTCAAACCCACGGAGGCCAGACAGAGGGCTGTTGCGCTTGAAGCCGCCGCTGAGCTTGTAGAATACTGATGACGCGAGCGTGACTTCGGCGGTACTGTTGAAGTAGATAATGGCCTTGAATGGGCGACCACCACTGGCCTGAGCCTTCTGGTGCTGCTGGAGAACCAGTTCGTAGAGAGCGGGAATGTTGTTCTCAAAGCCAGTCACCATGACCATCTTTTGAGGAATGCGCGCGTGTGTGGGCTCCTCATCTTCACTGACACACTTGGCAAAATGGAAGCCGGGACGCATCGTCTGGCGAACCAGGTTAACGACATCGCGGGGAATCGTAGCAGAGAACATGAGATTTTGGCGCTCGACCTCTGCGGGGTCGGGAAGAAGCGTCTTGATGTCATCAATCTCCTTTTGGAAACCATCGTCCATCAGGCGATCTGCCTCATCCAAGACCAGCGCATTCAGATTTGGTGCAGCAATACGAGAGTACTCGTCAGACAGGATGTCGTATAGTCGTCCTGGCGTCGCAATCATGAGGTGACATCCTTCACGCTGCGTCTTCAGAAGCATGGACCTTTTCTGTGTACCTCCGACCGCAACCTGGACAACAATGCCAGTGCCAGAGACTACCTTTCTAGCCTCTACTGCAATTTGTTCGGCAAGCTCGCGGGTAGGGGAAATGACAATAGCCCTGATATCGTCGGGTTTGGCGCGCTTGTAGCCTCTGGGTTTCTCGCCGAGCTTGGGGTCGTTTTGGATGATTCGCTGGATCACGGGAATGAGAAAACCGAGTGTTTTACCGGTACCAGTCTTTGCCTGCGCAATGCTGTGGTGTGTTAGTATAAAATTCCCAATGAACAAAGCAAAGAGTCTTACATGTCCACCCCGCTCAACGCCTCGTTGATCGTCCTGGTCTGTACGTCCGTCATGGTTGTGAGTTTCATCTGTTTCGTAATGGTGTTGACGACATTGGGATGGACAAGCCCTCGAGTGGCGAGATCCTCAAACTGTGTGACGGGTTCATTCTGTTGTTCACTCTGTTCCACCTCTTGTGCCGCAATCTGTTGCCACTTTGCGCTGTGATGGAAGCCGGCAATGGCACCGTTCGTGAGGCGCGACGACTGCAGCGGTATCCTCAGAAGACCAGAAGTCTGAGTAAGAGGGGTGCGAAGTGTCCTGGTTGAAATTGCCGCCAAACTCCTCGAGAGGGTCGCTGGGCATCTTTTTACTGCGCCGAACATGATGTGGGAGAGGGGACGGCACGCAGTCCGAAGGAATGAAAGGGGTATCTAGAAAGTATGCGACAAAAAAGAATGCGAGTATTTTTTTTTGTGCACCTCAATGAAGAAAGTAGGTTGGCACAAGAGAGAAGTGTGCGGCGGTCGAGTTGCCAGAAACTTTGCCATTCACTTTTTCGATGGGGTACGTGCACAATCCACATACTAGTAGAAAGCCCGCCGCCCACGCCGATAAGATAAGGCCCTTCCTCTCCACCAAAATCCCCTCCTTCAGGGTCCAACGCAGCAAAACAACGTTGCAGAATAATCCAAAAGTAAACATGAGTATTACCATTCATAAAGCCATGTGTCTATGCAACCGTGAAAATGCTCAAACGCCGCCCCCAATGCCAATAAGAAAAAAATCACTTCTACTTCTCCTCCTCTACCTCCCCACGTCGCTGACCTTCCGCTGCTTTCATAGTTCGGAGACCCTCGGCGAGGCCTTGTTGCACCCCTCCCGTCACACCAGTTATCCACCACATGGTCAAATCGTTAAAGGTCTGGATAACCATACCGTCGTTCATCTGACATACAACCTGCGAGAACCTGAGTGCCTTTTGGCCAAATTCATCGGCAGTCGCGACACTCGTGTTGACGATTCGCTGCGTGATTCGGTGCTTCCTCTCAAATTGATACGCATGCGAAAGGAACAGCCGAATGTATGGCAGCAGAAACTGCAGGAAGAGAAAGGTCTGCAGGACAAACGCTGCCGTGATACGGTGTATGATAGTAGGATTCTGCGGTGGCCTTTGTGCAGCGTCGGAGCTCTGTGGCGTGGCACGTACGAGCGCGCCTGTGTTTGAATCACTGACTGATTCTACAAGATCCTGGGGAAGAGCGGCCTGTAGACTCAGCTTTTCCTCTGGCGTGAGGTTCTCTGGGAGTCCTCGAAGCAGATAGGTGATGCCATGTACGTATAGTTGTCGAATGAGTGTTGCAGACGCCTCGTCCAAGGCATTAGAAGATGCGTTTGACTCTCGAGATGCCTGTTGCAGTAGACTTATGCCTGGATATAGTGTAAGCAAGACCATTTCTCCAAGACACCGTCTACCACGAACCTAGGCTAGCATATCTCCATCTGACACCAGAATGCGTTTCTTGAGCACCAGGGACTACCAGGGGCATGGCCCTTGAAGAAGCCTGGCCCTCAGACACATCGTCTGCAAAATCGGCTTCTGCCTCCCCCAAAGCAGCAGAAAGTTTGTGTGGTGAAACAGTTTCGCTTGGAGGCATGGTCGAGTACCCCGGTGGCGGCGTCACAGGCTGTGGTAATTCTGTCACGGTATCGGATTTATTGTAGTAGGTTCGACTCCGTACATCGCCAAGAGACTGGCGGAGCGAAGGTATCGTGGGTAGGCGACTCGACACCACGGTGGGAAGTACGTTGTAAAGCATACTAGGCCGAAAGCTGCTGTCTTTGATCTGGGCAGGAGAGACCGAGTCGAAAGTAGTCGCAGATGGTTCTGTTGATTCGGTCAGGAGCATTTTGTCGTACCACCGCCCCGCTAGCAGACGCTCCCTACACTATCAGAACGCGATGCTTCACCCACGATTGACGGCGGATGAGCGAGAACAACAGACAAGCAAAAGGATGCGCGAGGACGATTGTGAGGAATTGCAGAGGTCATTCTGAGTTTTCGCGGCTGCACAGCGGCCGTCCTTGTTTCGCTGAGACTGCATTATGCCAAATCTGTCAAAATCTAAATCCCAAGGCTGGCGACACGGCTTGCATGTGAAAGTGTTGAGCGCGCGCCGCCGTCGAAGCAGCGCCACCTTCCAGGGGTCTTCCACGTCTGATAGCCGAGCCCTCCGACCACCAATGAGCTGGATCGGGCGAGAACGTGTGTGCAACGTTCGATCATCCTTCTCTTTTGCACTCTCGTCACATGTCTGGGCCTTCGATCTCGTAAAGTTTAGCTGAACCTTTTGGTTCTTCTTGTTGTTTTGTCTTCCCCCCTATTTCCCATGTACCACTTGACAGCATCCGTCATCAACTGTAGAAGCGCGGCATCACATGTGCATTTTCACCCGATCTTTTCCGCTTCCTTATCTTCGGACCCCTTCACGTGCTGAGATCTTTGCATTCTCGTACAGGATGGTCTTGGCATATGTCATATCCAGGGTCTAATTGTAGCATCAAGTAGTATGTAGCGGTGTCTATGCACGCGACCAAAGTTATGTATCTGGCTTCTCAAATAGCCCTCTCCGTATGCGCAACTAAGCAGAGTGCACGGAGACATATTCTGGGGCTTCCACGAAGTTAATCGTGGTGAAGACGTTGCATATTCCCACTTTGTGTCACGCGTATGTCGATCACGCGCCCGGTGATGTGGTAGCCGTGTGCAGCTTTCCATCACAACCTCAGAAGCGAATATGTGAGCGTGTCTCTCTTCAAGTCGTCGTTGGTGTGGGATCAATATCATAGCTGCCTTCTTTATCTATGTAGGTTAGGTGTGATAAGAGTGTCATGTCGTTGTTTCCCATGTTATTGTCGGTGGGCTCGGCCGCGTTGGAGCTGGAAGGATGAAAGTGGACAGATCTTGGATGTGTTTATGTTCTTGATGATCGTTCGAGACAAATCGCCTCAATGCAACCGCAACTCTGTTAGTACTGTATAAGCTATGGTCATGTTCCTTTTTCGTATTGTTCTGGTCACGCACTGACATAGTGCGATTGACCTCGCGGATGAGTTCCTGGACATGTCCGCAATACTTGCATACAACGTCTGCAAAGCCATAAGGAATATGTCCATGACTGGTATATAATTTCACGTCTCCGCTTGACCGGCGGGTCCTACTCAAGAGTCGCATTTATCGGAGATGATGACATGGTCAGCACGGACTGTGCAGTGCATGAGGAAATTTCGACCATTGCGAATCAAGTAGAAAGGAAAGTTGACACCGAAATCGAGGAGACGACAAGAATTAAAGAGTACTCGATCAATGCTTGTGGCATGGGGCCTGGCGGACACCTGAGGCTGAGTGATGACATCAGTGTATTCAGTCTTAAAAAGAAATGCCTTCAAAGGGGTAATTTGCTGGGTGCATGCGTTAGAGGCATATGTTTTATGAGCTGTAATTGGGGACATATCCATGGATACGCATCAATTAGCCGTTCATTTCCAATGGCGAGGGCAGAATAAGTAACATTGAAACCTCCATAGGCTGGGCTAACGCCTGGGGTTATATAACAGTAGCGTTTCCTTTTTCCGCGTGGTTTGTCGGATAGATCAGATCACCAGCTGAGCCATGGGACGACGGTGACCACGACGGCAACCGGGTAGTGGAGATCCAGTTCACAGCCTCGGAAGCCACGAACGATGAGGGCGAGCAGCCGTTAGTGTATCGAACACGGGAGGAGATACTGGCCATGAAGGCAGATGCTGGCTAAACAAAGGGCCGACGCCAAGAGGGGTTGTCAAAAAGGCCCCTAACACATGTTTGATGAAGACTCGGGCTACGGGAAAGGGGTGTCGTGGTTTGATTAGCAGGAAGAAGCCCTGTAGAGACGCGTGCCAATAGCATCGTCGAGAGCAGGTGTTTGAAGGGACAGACAGGATGGGGGTGGCGGAAGGCTAGTGTGTTCGCAGCAGCATGTCGTGCATGGACGATGTTGACAACAAGGGTTCGGTTGTTTGGTTGCCAGGCAGATTATTTGCGTGGTTCGCGCGACATCTGGGGGCTAGTGCCGGATGCGGCCTAGCGCCCAGCGAGCATCCATCATCATACCAGCCTCCACAACAAACTCTCTCTTTCCTTGGTCAAAGAACGCAGACCCTGGCCTGCAGACGCGCTTCTCCCTCGCTCAATCTGCTCCTGTACAGCTCCCTCCTGGTCTCTCGCTCACTCTACCATACCGACATGGCCGCTACGCGCTGCTGAAAACCCTACTAACGTGCCTGTTTCGTCGCGTCGTGAGCTGCCACCACCATCACACGCTCACCTGCCCCTCCCGTCAGCCTATCCTGTACCACTACTCACCCACACTAACCCACTGCTGTTAATAGCGAGCTACGCATGGCAGCAGTGGCTGTTCCTCCCTCGCCGCAGGTTCTTACAGTCATGTCGAGCCGTCGCGTCCCTCTCGCCAATATTCAAAATGCAACAAACTCCCCAATGCGCGCCCCAGCTATCGGAGGAAAGCGCCAACGCTCCTACGCCAGCGAGCAGCGTGATGGAACCTATGGCCAGCCACCGCCCAAGAAGCAGATGGTAGAGGTCGACGATGCCGAGGCTCGTCGTCACGGCCTTGTGCGTCGTAGTGGGGCCCAACCAACTGCCTTGACCCGGAAGCTCGAAGCTGCACGAGAGACAAAGGCCCCTACCAAGCAGGCCGCACAGCGAGCCGCCCAGGACTTAGAGACCATTCGGCAATGGCAGCGCCATTACCGCAAGCTCTTTCCGCAGTTTGCCTTTTACTTTGACAGCGTCTCGGATCCGCAAAAAGACAAGCTTATGAGCAGAGCCCGCATTCTCGGCTCGGTACGCGTACCCCCCCTACTGTCACGTTCCCACTGTTAATACTATACAGCGCGAGGTTAAATTCTTCTCTCGAGAAGTCACTCATGTCATCACTACACGCCCTGTTCCTGTCGACATTGACGGCAGCTCCTCCGCCCACAAAGGGACCGTCAACCCCGCCCAACTTGAAAACAAGAAGTCTGTGTTCGATGCTGCCCTTGAAAAGTCGGACCGGGGTGATATCCTGTACAAGGCTAAGAGCCTGGGGATGAAGATATGGTCGGTTGACAAGGTGCAGCGAATGATTGACACCATGTTCAACAAGGAGACGGGTGAAGATGTATCCAGCCACCCCACGCGTCAGAGCACAACCACACAGCACAAAGGCCGTCCTGCAGATCTACAAAGGTTACTGCAAAATGAAAAGTTGGATCGCGACTACGTCATGGCTTCGCAAGACATGATCCCACTTCGTGGATACTATGTCTACGTCCATGACATGGATGAGGTCACGCGACCAGTTATGATTCGAGAATACCAAAAGGTCGAGAAAGAGAAAGGCAAGTGGCCGCAGTTCCGCGCCTCCGGTAACGGCAAGTGCCCGTTTGTGGAGGATCCTCATTTTGGCCGCAGACAACAGGAAGAGCAGGAAGCGCGTCGTAGACAATCAGCAGCAGCCCCACGCACGCGTGCAGTCTCTGCTATGGAAGAGAAGAATGCCCTTGTTGAGAACAACAACCTCGCCCGCCGTCCTAGTGCCCCCGCTGTCATCACCAAAGAAGAGACTGATGATGCAAAACCACTTGACCCACCAAAGGCCCTCCCCCCCAAGCGCTGTAACACAGCCGATGGCCAACCACCCATGTTTGGCAGCGCCCAGGCTAGCATCCGAGCAATGCCCCGTTGCATTGCTGGTGAGCCTGTCGCATCTGGATTGCAACAGTCGAATGTCACGTCTGCCATCCGTTCCCAAATGATTTCCTCCACCGCTGCTGCTCCTCGTGCCGGCAACAGCAAGGAAGTCAACCAGCTGAAACGAAAGGTCCTTGAGAAGAACAGCATGCCCTCGGCGAATACGAATAGTGGTCATTCGTCTGTAACCAATGATGTCAGGACCGCGCTTAGCCAGGAACACTCTCAACCCATGCGAGCAGCCAAGCGCAAAGCCCAAGAAACCTTGGGCCGAATGCATGACGATGGAGACGAAGAGAGACAAGCTCGTAAAGCCGCGGCTCTCCGCAGACGCAAGAATGTCGAGAAGGAGTTGAAGCCAGGTTACTGTGAGAACTGCAGGGAGAAGTTCAATGACTTCGATGAGGTACGACTAATGATCACAACCCTTTGAGCAAGTTACTAACAGCATACAGCACATCGTGTCCCGCAAGCACCGCAAATTCGCGGCAAACATTGACAACTGGGTTGAGCTCGACCAGCTACTCGCCCAACTTGACCGTCGGTGAGCCTTGTGGCTCATGCAGAATACGCGGTCACCCCTTGCATCTATCACGGCGTAATGGATGATTCCACTAATACCCACGAAAAGGACTCTTTTCCCCCTTTCCAATTCTCGCCTTGAGGCTCGCAGTTTTCGCCTGCGAGCAAATACCCCTTCTTCATAGCATTTCTGGCGTAGCTTTTACCCTCCCATTTTGGCGACCTAGCACAACCTGCTCATTTCCTTGCTCAGTATAGACCACGATCTCCGATCCCTGGTCGCTAACGATACACGCGTTCCTTTGTATATACCTATTGCATCATGGCCCTGTAGTCCTTTTTGCTGGTCATTGCGATTGCAAACCGGTTGGTTGGCGGTGTGCGCACGTGCGCGTGTGCTTGAAAATAGGCGTTGGTACCCATGGTGGTTTGAAGGACATTGTCATACTAAGAGAGGATTTGATGACGGATGAACGGGCTGATTATCACAATACCGGAGCTTATGTTTTTGTCACTATTGTTTCAGATATGTAGAGTACTAGATATCAATATGAAAGTGATACCGTATGTTGTTGCCTCTGCTGGTTCATTGTAAGGGATGCAGTCTGGGTGGTGGAGCGCTGATTGGCTAGGTTGACGTGCATGCCTTCCACCTGACCATCACTCTTGCCTTCACCTACGCTCTCTTAGCCGTGTGTCAATCAGCGCATCACTCGGGTTCCCTCGCTACAACTTTGCTTTTCCTCATCGACAACCTTCATTTCTTGGTTTCTGGAGGCCTTGTCGCCCTCTCACCGAGGCAAACCTTCACCCGATTTACATCATGTCCGAGTCACCCAAAGAAAAGATACCAGAAGAAGATGACACAACAGAAGCGCCACTAAGCATGGCAGCTTCTGTCGTCCTAAGCAGCCTTCCGAAAGACGCATCCAAAGCGCTCGAAACGGCCGGGAACCTCAATGTTCAGAAAGGTACAGCCTAGCTCATTACAGTCCCCCACTTGTTTGACATGTGCTACTGTCCGAATCTATCCTACCACATAACGTTTTTTTTTCAGCAATTTGATACGCCTTGGGCTAAATCATTCATCTACAGTAACTATCCGCCTCCAACCCATAGGCTCAGCCCCGCATCTCACTCAACGTATCTTCAAACTCAGCACCAATCAGAATTTTGCAACCATAGTCCGTTTTCTGCGCAAGAGACTGGGCGTGAAAGAGCATGAGAGCGTATTTTGTTATGTGGGAAATGTGTTTAGTCCTGGGTTGGATGAGGGCGTAGGCAACCTATGGAGCTGTTTCAAGCAAGGAGAGGAGTTAGTTGTGGGGTACGCTCTTTCACCGGCTTTTGGGTAGCTGGAGAACAAGAAGGAACGATGGACAGGAAAGATGAGAGGTTGGTGTTTTGGAGAGACATGCAATGTCTTGACAATATGTTGATGACTGCTGTTTATCAGACTGGATCAGTGGCGAAAGTCATTGACTCGAAGACTAGTAGAGCCCGAGTGAAGTATCTAAAACTTTTTTGTCTCTGGAAACAACACTCAAATAAAATCAGGAACATGGCTTGAATTAGTTAATATTCACAATAGACGACGAAAAGGCTTGAAACTTCGCCGGCCCGACTAGCGTATGTTGACGGCAGAGTGATAGGCCATTGGCGTGGCTGAACGGAGTTCCCCACCTCAACACCACTGCTAAGCCACTGCCAATAGACCACGGAATCTAGACGGCTGAGACGGCCGAGAAAGCATGGGTTGAACTGCCGTTTTTCTTTTTAATACCGCGATGGCGCCGCGCTAGCTGAGGCTTGACATTGTTCATTCCTTACCCCACTGGAAGGTCTGGTCGTAGATGTACACAAGTCGCTACGCAGGACGAGCATTGCCACCCACATAGTCTCAATCAACGGCAGGACCTTGGATATATGATACTACAACATGCCATCTAAAGGAGTCAAATGCTTTGCATACATTGCGGTCGATGGAGTCGAGATTGAATACACCGTTCCAAAACGAAGCGCCAGGCGAAGTGAACAACGCGAGTTTCTCTTTGACCACCTAGAAATCGAGTCATCCAACCTCCCCCGTTTTAAATTCACTGGAAACTTTGAATTCATTGTCCGCCGCGACGGTCGGGAACTGACGAAGCAATGGGTCGCAGTAAACAGCATGACAGGCAAAGTCGAAGACGGCACAATGGTCAACATGGAGCAAACACCGGCCCTATTCCCAGAAGACGTCGTGATAACCTACGGCTTCTACGACGCCGGACCGGGACTCGCAGAACTACCAAAACAACACCAATGCTATGTAACTGTAACACCCAACTATGAAAACTGGATGCGCGACAAGATCCCCCAGGACTCTGATCTTGCCAACCGCCCCTTCCACAAGATGGTCCTACCCTCAGCCCACGATATTGGCATGAACAACATGTCATCCAGCTTGTCTCTGATCAAAAACGCTGGCACAGGCCTCATTCGCGAAGTCCTCGGCCGCTCCCTCCCGCGCGCCTTATCTATCCTCAACAAAGTCAGCGACGGAGCCATCAACCACATCGCGCCCAACATCATCCGCGCGCTCGCCATAACCCAGAAGGACACCCTCGACTCTATCCTGAAAATCGGCGCCCGATACTTTGAATTCCGCCCCGCAAAATGCCACCGCCAGCTCCACTCTCTCAGCTCCCTAGACGACACTTTATACTTCCAGCACGGCGCTATACCAGGGATGCCCTACCGCGTCCTCCTCGACCACATCACCCGCTTCCTCGCCTCGCACCCCGACGAAATAATAATCATCCACAACCGCTGGGACGGCGTCCCAGACGCCTGCCCGCGACCCAACCCTCAGGAACTCCACGCAATCCTATCCCCCCTTTTATCCGACAAAAACCTCCAAATAGGCTCTCAAGACGATATGCAAAACTCCTCCATTCACGACCTGCGCGAACAGCACAAACGCCTAATCATTCTCTCCGACTTGCCCCAATACTCAAACTACGACGACGACGCAAATGCAACACTAACTGGCGATTCCATGCTCGATCGCTTACATAACATGTGCGAAAACCCGGATACAGAGAATAGAGCGCCCGTCACGCTGCTGCAATGTCAGGCTACAGCTACCAACATCAGAGATGTAATCGTCGCGACGGTCCTGGATAGCGATGTTAGTACCAGTCCCATTCTCGCTACGAAACCCGTGTGCGATGCCAAGATTCTGCCCTTGTTGAAGGGGGATGTGGGGAGGAAATTGGTGCGCGAGAGGGAAGGGGTTGTTGTTTTTTTGAATGATTTTTTTGATGGGGCCACGGCGGATGTGGCGGTTGGGGCTTGTGTGGAGAGGTTGGGGTGAAAAAAAGGGGAGGAAAGGGGGGTGTGAAGAAGTTTAGTTTTGTAGGGGAAGATGGGAAGGCTGTGTGGTGTGTATTTATATAAGACGTGGAAGAGGGGTAGTGATGTGATTTGGTATAAGAATCTATGTGTAAGTATGCCGAGAGGAGATGGGAGACGAAAAGACGGATAAGATGAGAAAACGATAATTCAGAAACATGACACTTCCCTCCCCTTACTATGTAATCTAGGCGTATGACGCGTTCAACGTCGTACGTATAACATTTCCCATTTCCCTTTGCATAGTTCCCGTATGAAAATGCAGCGACAAAAACGTTCCCAGAGGAGAGAGACACATACATCGGAGCCACTTTCCTCCTAGCATCCCCACCCTCTTCATCTACCTGCACCTCATCCATCTCATCCCCATCATCATGCCAAATAATGAAAAGTAGCAACACCAAAAACACCTCCCGGCCGAACCACGAAAAAGTCTCATGTCTTGAAGTCCTTGGGCAGTCAATAATCATCCATCAATTGAGGCGGTACGCAGAAGTCTATCGCTGGTTGAAGAACCAACTTGTCCTCTTGCCCTTGCTTGAATCGCTGCCGTTATCGCCGTCCTGCTTCTGGAGATTGCCAATGACTGGGAGCACAGGGCCGTCCGCAACGGCACCACCGCCGCCACGAAGGGGCTTGGCGATGCGAGAGCCGACGCCGCCAAAGCCAGCGTAGGAAGCGCCGTTGGCGGGCGAGCCGAGACCGCGTGTTGAACCTGCCTTTGCGGCTTCGAGACGCTCCTTGACAGCCGTGAGTTGGGCTTCGAAGCTGTAACAGGTTAGCACGTGCTTTCGGCAAAAAGCCTTTGCCCAACATACCGATGGTTCGCTGCAGTAAGCTTCTCTTGTGAATCTTGGAGAAGGTTCTCGAGCGACTGTATCCGCTCGTTGCGGGCAATGAGTTTACGCTCTGCAATGGCAACTTCCTTCTTCAAGGAGCTGTTCTGCTCAACGAGCTGGCGCTGAACAACGGTGAGCTGTTCAAGGTTGCGCTCGAGGAACATCATCTTCTTCTGCTGTGCGCGGTTGTTCGATGTACGGAGCACATTGTTATATTGCTCGCGTGTCTCGTCCAACGAAATCTCGAGCTCAACAACCTAACTAGGTATTAGCATCCTGTCTCCTACCAAGATATCAATAAACTTACCCGTTCGCAGCGGTTCTGCAGATCACGCATGAGACTCTTCTTCATGTTATCAAATTCGGCAATTTGCTGCTGCACAGTCTTGCCGTTGATGCCGTTGGCAACGCCGTTGGCAATAGCGCCGCTCTTGATGCGCGACTGGAGACTCTCGTTCTCAGCCCGGAGCTTCTTGGCCTCTTCAACGAGACGCGCAGTGTCCTGCTTGAGGGTTTCAACAAGCTCGAGATTACCCTCTTGGCGAGCCGAGTAAGCATCAGCAAGTCGCGCCTTGACCTCCTCCTTGTCTTGCTCAGAGAGATTACCCTCGAGGAGCTCCTCGTACTGAGCTTGCAGAGTGTCGCAGCGTGCCTCGAGTGCTTCGCGGCGCTTAGCGTGTGCAGTGTCCTCCTCACTTCGTGCAGTTAGGGAAAGCTCTGCTTGTCGCACAATGCCTTGAGTCTCGACAATCTTTTCGCGCAACTCTTGGATGGCATCCGGTGCGATTGCCTCGCCTGCTGAGCTCATCTCGTGAAGCTGGTCGAGCTGCTCGATGATCTTGCGTATGGTACGCTCGTTGTCGCTAAAGACCTCACCACCAAGATCGAAGCCAGCCATCATCTGCGCCATGGCTTCGGCCTTCTTCCTCTTCTTCTCATCCATGGCAGCAGATGTCTCCTTGGCGTTCATCTTTGCGTCTAGGAGCTGTTGCTTGACATCGTCAAGCTCAGCAGTGAGCTCAGCATTGGCCTCCTTGAGTCCATCCATGGTGATCTGCGCCTCCTTGCCCTCGAATTGGATCTTCTCAACTTGCATCTTCATCTCGTTGAGTTCGAGGGTGATTCGCTCATTGTCCTTGTTGGTCTTGGCGTCGCGGTCCTTGTAGTACTGCAGCTCATCTTTGACAGTCTTGAGCTGATCCTCAACCTTTGCGAGCTGCGACTCCCTCTCGGCGACCTGGTCTTGCAACTCATTCTCTCTTCGCAGGAAGTCGTCCTTTTCGTCCTTGTCCAGCGGTATGCTCGGTGTTCCTGCGCGGTCCAGATCTAATCTAGAGTCCGGACGTGGTGTTTCCGCATTTCTTGTCGATTCCACTCTTGATGGCGTCGCCGGCCGTGCCAACGAGGACGACTTCTTGTGAGAAACTGTGCTAGTCTCGAGCGGTGGTATCCACTTGTCTTTTGGTACCGTCTCTCCTCCACGCCATTGTGTTACTTCGCTCTCTAGTTGGCCAATGTAGTTTTCAAAGGTAGTGACCTGGCCTTGGACCTTCTTGAGCATCGCCTTGAGCTCAGCCGGACTCAGCTCGGCATTGACCTTTGCCTTGTTCTTGATTGTCTTTGCTCGCATACCGAATCGGAGCGTGCCCAATGTTTCGACGTCATTGTAACTACTTGGAGAGCAGTTGATGATCAACGTGGTTCGCGAGTTACCACCTAGCGATTCCTGAAGAATACGGGTGAGTTTAGAGTCTCGATAGGGAATGTGCTGCGTCTTGCTGTCGGTCAAGCAGTTGATGACCATACCAAGGGCACTCAAACTCTTGTTGATCTTCTTGGCTTCTTCCAACGTTTGTCCACTTGCGCCCGTCTTGCCAACCTTTTCGGAACCTGCCAAATCGACCAGGAAGAGCTGACCGCTCTTCAGCGAGCCCGTCTCGACATTCTTTTGGTTGACTGTGATGACGAAAATAGAGTGCGATCGCGACGACTCCTGGTTCATGTTCGTTGCTGAGACGGCTCGTGCGGAGCCACCCCTCCTCAGAACCTCGTAGACCTCCTCTTCGCTCGAGACATATACTTCAAGCAGACCCTTGACGTACACACCTCTACTCTTTTCCTCGTGTACTGGCAGATTGTCGTTTTGGGGAACGAGCAAATCTCGGATGCGCTCCATGTAGATTTCCATGTAGCTGACGCGGACGGTATATTCAATATTGCTCGGCGAGGCGAGGATATTGGCAAAAATCTGCTGGACGATACGCGGGATAACTCCCTTGCCTACTTCATCGTCCATGTCGCTTCCCATCATGGTGTAGGACTTTCCTGCTCCCGTCTGTCCATAGGCAAAGACAGTACCGTTGTATCCGTTGAGAATATCGTCGACAGTGGGGCGAATGGAGTAGTTGAAGACATCCTCCTGCCGCGACTTCATGTCGAAGACGCGGTCGAAGGTGAAGGCCCCGGCGGCCTCTTTCGACTGTGCACATGGCAGTCAGCAAGGTGCGGTTGAGAGGGCCAGTATGGGGCCAGAAAGTTATTTGGAGGGAGGGGGAGGCGCACTTGGATTGTACATGTGTCTTCGGAGTTGAACTCAACAATGGGCTCTCCACCGCTCGCTATCTCGACCTTGTTCTGGGGGCGGAAGCGGGCCACAACTGCAGCGTGCCACTGTCAGTAAATGCACACACTCGATACATGGACCACGGGGCAGTATGTTGTGTTGTTTGGCGGGAGCGTGGCGCACCTTTGATGCTGTTGGAGCCCCTGCGGTAGATTTGTTAGCCATGCGTGACCCCTCCTCGCCCGAGTCGGTGAAGGTGCTACTCACGACATGATTGCTGTTGGACTATGGCACAGCGGCCCAGCGGCCTCGGTCGATCAACTCCTCTCGGGCTCTGTGGCAGGCGAGAGTGTGTGTGCAAAGCCGACGTGCACTTTTCGGGTGGCACCGTCACGTCTCGCAGTGACTCGGCGCGTAGAGGTGGGTAATTACAGCCCCCGCTATGGTTAAGGGGAGCCGATGAAACGGCAACAAGCTGATCCTGTTGGGCGGAGCAAGGGATCCCGACTAGCGGCGCTCGAGGCACGGGTGCGAGAGAGCGTGTGTGAGTGGGTGGCGGGATATGGCGGTGTTGATGTTTATTGTTGCTTTGGGCGCTGTTGAGCTTGCAGGCCAGGCGTGGGTGGGCGTGGGCGTGTGGGCGTGTGGTGCTGCTGCGGCCAAGGGCCTGCAATTCCCGTAGCGGGACTGCCTTTCCTCCCCGCAGCCAACGGCTCTGACGCAGGTCCCGCTGTCTCTCGACTGGTCATAGCACACGTCTCGGGCCACACAGCCTGGGCCGAGTGTAGTACCCAAGTAGCACATACATATGTAAGAAGCGTATCCAAGTCCCTGCTGACAGGCTTCCAATTCCCTCTCGCTTCCAGCCTTGCTGCACCCTTGGGCCGCCTGGCTGTGCCCAGGACGCTTATGTCACCAGGCCCTGCATTAGCAACCCACCAAAAGACCCGCCATAGCTGCAACACACAGTCGTCATCGAGAACGAAACAAAAGGGAGTGCTCGTATATTCGACTACCTAGCCAAACTTGCCCAAATCACCCAGAAAATCAGACCAGACGCCGTGCTCGAACACCTGTCCGGCAAAAGCCCACAGACTGCCAGGCTAACACAAGTGATATCGTCCTTGCACCTCATAACTCCATACGATGCCATATCATGTTCGTGAACTTCATGTCCCCCATTGCTACCCCTAGTCTTCCCAGCTCTTCTCTACAGTTTCGCGTACGCGCTTGGTGTACTCCTTGCGGTTCTCCTTGTACAGATTGGATGCTTCGACGTTGGCCGGCGACGACGTATTGGGGTCATTGAGCAGACTGTGTGTCTCTTGTCAGTACTCATACTCCAATGTCTCGAGGGTGCTGTAGTGTAGACTTGCCTCTGGATGCTCGTCAGGATAGCTGCAACATCGTACGTGGGTGACCATCGATTCTGCAGAATGTCAAGACACAGCTCTCCGGTTCCGTATACGTTGGGATGGAACATCTGGCTGATGAACTTGACGCCCGGCGGCTTGTTGGGGTACGCTTCTTCAAAGTGCATGACCAGGCGGAACGTTCCATCTTCAAAGGGCGTGTCGGCGGGACCTATTATGACTGCGTTCCTGTACACTTGTCAGTCCAAGGAGTCCCACGGGCATGGCATCGTCGTCATCATCATGTCGTGTGCTCCATGCTTGCGGAGAGCCCTACCAGGTCATTACATTATCAGCAACCGGGGATGCAGATACACCGGCCGGAGGATCAGTCTGCATGCGCTATCCCACTTTGTCAGCTCAAGTTACCATGCATGGTCGGCAGTCGTGTAAGTTGCCTGCGCCTCTCCCGAGGGGGGGCAATCACTACGCACCTTGAAGTCGCGCATCAAACGGCGGCGGGCTGCAGTCGACATGATGGCGCAGATGAGCAAGCCGAGTTTGGTCGCAGAAAGAGGGTATGTCTAGCAGAAACAAAAAGGGCGGGGATTAAGAAGGAGTCTGGGGGGTTGGTGTGCGCCGTGTACCTTTGCTATTGGCGTTGCTGTGTTGCACCGATGGTTGCGAGCGGCGGGCAGTTGTCGCTGGCACCTTCCGCTGCTGATCCACCACCTTGTCTTGCCCCCAACCCTACGCCACCTCACGTGTGACGGCCAATCGCCAGACCCACTTAACCTTCATCTTGACGCCGCTGCTCCCCTCGGTCTCCTCGCCGTCCTTTTTGCATGAAAACCAAATTTAATCCTCACCGACACTCAACATTTCTCCAGCAAGGTTTGCGCTGTTTTCGGTTGCTTTATAATTTGCCTTTAACCTTACTCTACCCGTCTGTGCACACCGCTCCTGCATACCTGCATCCTCATACATACACATTACAGTAATACATCATATATTGCCAAACTCCGTCATGAATGCCCTCATAACCCTGAATCTCATCATGCTGAATGCCCAATGCCACGCCATACCTACATTCTCGTCAAAGTCCGTAAAACCATAACGCCCTTATCGCTAATTTGCAAGACCAACGGGAAGCTGTGACCCCAACCAAATAAGAAGAAAAAAGCGGGAAAAATCCCCTTCCGAAATGAGTTATCAAAACAAGTTGTGGACAGAAGAAAAACTGCCCATCCCTGGACACCCATCTCCTCACTCGCCGGCCGCACCTGCAAGGCCATGGTGGGTTGCTGCAGCAGACTTCTCGCGACCCAGGTAATCCACCACAGGGAACCGAGCCCGTCGCTCCAGCTCATCTAGCGGAATGTGCGATCGGATGAAGCGGTCTCGGTCGTTGTATGGCGGCTGGTAGTCCCATGACTCCTTGCGCCCAATCTTCAGCGCACCACAAGCAAGCTGACGCATGCGCTGGCTGAGCAGAACGTCGTTGTGAATCTTGGTAAAGTCCCACTTCTCACGCGCCTCAGCCTCGAACTTGGCTAGCACCTTCCGGTTGTGAGGCTCCGTGGATCTTGCAAGGTCGTGAAGCTCTTGCGGATCTTCGACAAGATTGTAGAGCTGTGGCCCGTCCGCGAGAGAAAAGGTGAACTTCCACTCATGACGGCGGATCATGTACGTGGGAGTAACAGTTCCCTCGCCCATGTACTCGCCAAACACTTCATCTTTACCTGGCTTATCAGACACTAGGTACTCGTATAGACTGGTGCCGTCGAGGGGCAGGCGCTCATCAACCTTGGCTCCAGCCATGTCGACAAATGTTGGCAGCAGATCCATTGTAGACACTGACTCCTTGACTTGCTTGGGTGCAATGTTGGGGCCATTGATGATCATGGGTACTCTGGAACTGTTCTCATACCAGCTCATCTTGTACCACAAACTCCTCTCACCAAGCATGTCGCCATGATCTCCAGAAAAGACAACGATTGTGTCCTTGTCTAGCTTGCAGTTTTTCAGAAGCTTGACGAGTTTGCCAACCTGGTCATCAACGAAGCTGCAGGCGGCAAAATATGCACGCCGGGCGCGGATCTTGGCCTCGTCTGGTACTGGGTTGTCCCACAGGTCAATGGTCTTGAGGAGTCGCTGCGAGTGCGAGTCTTGGTCGGCTTGAGCAATCTCGACCTTGGGCAGAGGAATGTCTACACCCTCGTACCTATCCCAATATTCCTGAATCATGGTATAGGGATCATGTGGATGGGTCAGAGAGATGGTCAAAGCAAATGGCCGACGAGTCTCGGGATCTGATCGGACATAGTCGTAGAGGTATTGTTGGGCCTGAGCGACTGTGTTAGCAAGGATATCTGGCGTTGCTACGTCTTGCAATTTCGTTGCCAATCTAGAATAATCTTACCTTGTGCATGACATCCTCGTCGTAGTCAAGTTGGTTGGAGCGCACACATGGGCCGGCCTGCATGACTGACGACATGTTGTGGTACCACTCTTGACGCTCTTCTGGTTTATCCCAGTTTACGGACCAGCCCAGGTCTCCAGGGTAGATGTCGGAGGTGAGTCGGTGTTCAAATCCATGGAGTTGGTCAGGACCAATAAAGTGCATCTTCCCAGCCAGCGCAGTCTCGTAGCCCTCTCGGCGGAGATAGTGAGCATAGGTGGGGACCTCTGGGCCGAGAATGGAAGCATTGTCGTATCCACCAATCTTTGAGGGGAGCTGACCGCTGCACATGGTAAACCTAGATGGTGCACACAGAGGTGAGTTGCAATAAGCGCTTGCAAAGTTGACCCCGGTCCGAGCGAGTTCGTCTAGGTGTGGTGTCTTGATCACTGACTCTGGGTCATTGAACTTGAGCATTGGAGCAGCCATCTGATCAGCCATGATATACAGAATGTTTGGGCGTTTCCCGTCACCAAGGATGCGACTCTGAGATGCATAGTTTTCGGACTGTTGACGAAGGGTTTGAGCCGAAATGAAGTCGTGGCCGTCTTGTTGACCACCTGATACCCCATTGCCCGTTAGGAAGCCATTGGCGCCGTTCCCCAGATGGACACCATTACCATTGCTGGCAGGTTGAGAAGTGAAGGAAAAGTCGCCGCCAACAGGGGCGTGAGCCTCTTTGAGTGTTTGCTTGGCAGGATGAACAGAGGCAGGTGGGGGTGACTCTTGATCGAGCAAGAGACTGGGGGCCATCTTGTTGTCTCAATTGTATATATAGAAGTGTTGGCCTCTTTCCCCGAGTTGTGTAAGCCAGCGAGCAAGAGGATTTTGTATAATAGAGTGAGGTCAAGTTTGGGTGAGAGAGAGGACCGAAGGTGCTTTATAGAAGGTGAGAGCGACGCGAGGCCCCAGACTAAGCATCAGGAGCACGGATTGTGTGGGGAAGGCGCGGCCCTGACGCAGTCTACAAAGAAAAAAAGCGGGTGGTGACTTGCTCTGGTCACGCAATCCGACGCAATCCACGCGGCCCAATCGGGCTAGCCACCTTCCAGCCATGGCAACCTCACCGTTCGAGCCGTGAGCTATTGCAACCACACCGCTGTATCCTGGCGCCCGAGAGAACCAAACCGCCCTCCTCCCTCTCTCTTCCATGCGGGGCAATGCTTTTCCAGCCAACACGATGCTTTTCTCTGCGTTGAGGATGCAGTTGTCTATGCCACAATGTCCAAAGAGCGCTTAGTCGTCAGGCCCGGTGAGTTCGGCGTCGCCTCTCCATATTACTACATGTCAGGACGTACCGGGATCCCCGCTGTCAAATCAGATCAAAGTGGCATAGTGGTTGCATTTGTGCCCATTGCCCGCGACTATACTCTCCCGCCGGGACTGGCTCACATGGAGCAGCCTCGTGGACTGACGTCGAGGTTGACACGGTGAGCATGCAACACTTCGTATGCAGGGTAACATCATACTAGTCGATCTCGTCCGGTACCATTTCAAGGCCAAGAGTAGTAGGTCGAAGGCTGGACTGTGGGCACACATCTGAGCATCCCCATGAAGATCTGGAAGCGAGTGAGGTAGGTAGAGCTGGGCACGCTAACCTTCATCCTCAGCCTCCCATTCGTTCGTCACCAACCACCCCAGTTTTCCCCCCTGGACGTCTGCTCTATTCCTCCAAGCCCATCCGTTCCAAACGTCTTTCCCATACTTCGGTCGAGTCTTCGGGACGTCGCACTGAGCTGGCTCCACACGAGTGGCACGCGAGCACTGAGGGCTCCTGCAAGCATACGGTCATTCCCGCGCCAGCTAACGGCCGAAGCGCCATGCATACACTGCCAGCCTGCTGTTTCCATTGCTATCGTTGTCTCCTTCCGCCCGCCTAGCCGGAACAAGCACCTTCTATTGCGTTGGCAAATCAAGACTATTTGCTCACGCTTAGCTGCCGATAGCACCCTGCTGCACCAATGATAGCTATGTGCGGCTCTTTGACGACTAGAGATCCAAGAGACAACCCCCGCCAATACGACATGGACACACGATGTGTTGATTGTTGTACAGCGACCCGTAAACTCTCACCTAACTTGAATTATGCTTTTCAGCTTGCACCAGCGAAGTCTTGGCGCCAATTCTTTCTAGTCGCACTGCTACTCAGCATGTACTGCATTGGATGCGATCAACCGTGGATCTTTTCTTTTGTCACCAAATATGCTTGGCATGAGATATGCAGGGATATTTCGGACCGCATATGTCGTATCTAGACGTGGTTGTCTTTCTCACCATAAGTCGGATGCATCAACACAACGTGTGACCTCTCCGGCTAATCGGTGTGGATCGATAAGTCGACTGAACTTTCCAAATCAGTCGGAAACATCGTGGACGTGGCTTTATTGATCTCGTCTATCCGTTATGCCATAAATCTTATTCAATTGCACTAAACCCTAGAGCCTCAGAGTGTCAAGGTCCACAAATTGCAGCATGCGCGTACTACAATCCTACATACAACACCATTCAGTACAAACATCAAGACTTGGAACCTGCATTGCATATACAGTTACAAATCNCCTGCCACAAGCTCTGGGTATGTTTACTGTAAGTAGGCACAAAATCATGCCTCCTTCAACAACACAGCCAACCCCACATACGCTAGTTAACCTTGTTAGTAAACATTATCATCAATAAGTCATACCTGCATCTGCATCAACTCCCGTTTCCGCATACGCTAGACAACTCAAGCCGCCCATGTTTGCCTCTGAGCATCACTTGGCTATGTCAAAGCAACATCAAGCCACGCTCACGACGCCCTCCACCTGGGCGCTCACGCACGAATCGCCGCACACTCCGAAGCGTACTGACCTGCGCGTGATCTGAGTGTCCTACATTCAAGCCAAGAAACCTGGATATCACCAGCAGCTCTTTTGATAACTATCCGTCGGGTCGTCGCGTATGCGCCGACGATCCGTCGATACTGCGATGACCCGGAAGCAGCCCTATCTTGCACACCCCGGAACGCGGATAATCGCCACTTCGCCGTCTCGCTCCACCTACCTCGAAGCGAACAGGCTCGACTTCGCCGTCCCCCATGTCTTCTTGTGCTGCTGCCGCCCGATTGGCTGCCCTTCGCTCTCCTGAGTCACGCACGACACAATCATTTGGGCTGCGTTGCTCCGCATCTTTCAATGTCTTTTTTGACCCAGGCCCCGGCTTTGACCGGTATTGCTGATAAGCAGGGGAAGGAAAGTCGTGTCAGCAGGACAATACACTGGGATCTGAGAAATATTTGTTCATCGATGTGATCGGATATGCTCATGGCCTTGTTATTCGGCCTTTCTACAGAACAACACCGTATCTCACATGGTAAGTAGGAACATGCAACGCTTCTTATCTGGTATGTATTCTCCGATACACAAGGCCATTCATGCATCGCGGGCATCGTGGATTTCAGTCTGATATCGAGTCTTTTCTCCAACTGCCTCAGCTGGTATCTGGATCCACACTAAGCTCCGAATCATCACGTACAAGAAACGCTACTTGTAGTATACCATGCAAGCCATAGTCATGGGAACCTGCAAAAAACCAAAAAAACACTATAGGCACGGCTTGTAATGTAAGCCAAATATTGCACCGGCTCTGCATGCCAGCGTGGCACTACATTGCATAACCATCCTCATACGATCAAATAACAAGACATGGGGCATATCCACGATACCGATGGCTAGGTTTGCGATCATCAAGTATTCTGCCCACCTGTTTCTTTCACTCTACAGAAAAATTACTCAGGTAGTAGTCAACAACAAATCACATTTACATTCCCTCTTTTTCTCCGTCGAGATTTTCAGTTTACAGATCGAGATGTGAATGAAGTGCTCACGACGGACAAAGACATAAAGAACAAGTGATTGACGCCGAGAGGTGGTATCGAAAGAAGGTTCAAGTTTCAAAACAAACATTTCCAATCACAGATAGTAGAGATCAGACTTGCACAATCTCATCATTCAAGCAAAGAACATATTCATACATCTTCCTTCGATTCTTCCTTTCCAATACTAGCAAAGCCCTACTTATACCTCCCTTCCTCTCACCCTTCCCCTCTCTTCCAAGTCTCAGGATTCTCCCCATCCTCTCTTCAAACTCTCAAAGCGCCGAGGCCACCAACTCAAACTTTTTCCGATCCCCGCCACTGAAACAACCGCAAAAAAAGCAGGAGCAGCAGAAGATGGAAAAAAGTGAGTCGAGGCACCTACAAAGGCCACTCCATGAGTACGAAGAAGAAGACAGAAAAGCTAGAAAATATGTCAAAGAGAGGGAAAGGTCAGAAGGGGAATGAGAAGCAAGCCGAGCAAGCCAACAACAAGAGAAGGATCCTCTCGAAAGGACAAAAAAGACGAACAAATCCTAACTCAACAAGAAATGGAGAAAAGGATACAAAAAACGCACGAAAGAACGCCGATATTCCATCCCATACCCATTTGAAAAGCAAAAACCCAAGTCCGAGTTAATGCGGGTCCCTTGTGGAAACCCCCACATCCAAATAACGCCTTGTTAAGTCCCATAATCCTATTCAAACAATATCCGATTTCCCCTTCCTTTGAAGGGGATAAGGAAAGAAAGAAAAAGAGTCGAGGCAGGCTAGTCGATATAATCAACCAACCTAGGTAAATGCCATGGCCGAGAAACTAGCGTCACCCTCGGGACCAGAGTCATCTCCGAATCCTTCCCAAGGGAGTTCGTGCGTCTCATCGTCGTCGTCTTCCTCATCGTGAGCACCGCCGTTCTTGCTTGAGCGACCTCGACCAATCTCTACGCTCTCGTCTTCGTCGACAAAGCTACGGATAGTGACCTTCTTGGCCTTCTTCTCGCTTTGACCAGTCTTCTCTTCCTCGACGCGGATTTGGCCAGTGAGCTCTTCGACATCTTGCTCAGTCAGATCATCGGCCCGTTGGCCTTCGAGCACATCGTGGAGGCGGTAGATTTGCTTGTCTAGATGGTCAATCCGGCGGAGAAGATCCTGGATCGCTTCATTAATTGCAATACGCTTGCGCTGTCCGAGACTGGGATCGTGTTGCTCGAGCAAGGCGCGTTGGACGGCCAACTCAGCGTGCAAGTGAATACGCTCATCGTTCATTCCCTTTACTACAAGTGCAAGGGCCTCTTTTGGCGATTGTGCGGGACGAAGAGTAGCGTCTACATCATCCGCAGTGCGTACAGATGCTGGAACAAGCTTAGGCACGTGGAGAGCATCGGTGGCGGTGGTGTATCCTTCGCGACGGCAGTAGGTGCAGTTGGAGTTGTCGTGCTCCTTGGGGAGTGATCTGTGCACGTTGATAGTTGTCGTGGCCTGCTTTGATGTGCTGAGCTTGATATCTGGAACAATGAAAGCAGATGTCATCTCAGTAGGAGCACTACGGCGCCTTCGACTCGTGTTGCTAACCATTGAAGCGTCAAAAGCAGACTGCTTCGTCTGTGTAGCATCGCCATCCGTATCGAAGTTGGAAAAGTTGCCGGTGTCTTCCTCAAACTGCGTATTGCTGGTGCGTTGTGTAGTATCCTTAAGCGAAGACTTGCGGACGAGAGAAGGGCGACGTTCGCTCTTAGCTGAGGCGACTGACCGCACGGTGTCTTCACGAGTCTGACGCTGAGAGCGGACAGTGTCCTCGCGAGTCACCTCATCTGCCGAAGCAGATTCACGCTTAGCAATTCGATCTTCCTCTAGGCGACGTCGAAGCTGAGCAATTTGATCCTTATCAATGTAGCTCAACTCGGTGAGATCCAAATCTGCAGGAGGCTGGATGGTTGAGGTCTGCCTGGCAGAGTGGGCGTTGCGTGAGATACGAAGGGCTGAACGAGGTGCAAGAGACAAGTCGGTAGTTGACTCGACCTCGCTTTCTACACGTGCATGCTTATCGGTAACAACAGGTGCAGAGAAACTTCGAGTTGAGAACCTGGAATGAGCAGTGAACGACTTTCGTGGGCTTTCTTGCTGAGATTCGCTTGCAAGCCTGCTGTTGCGAACTTCTTGCTGGACACGGTTCTTAATGCGCGTGCGCGTGTCTTCTCGGCGATAGCTGGGTCTCCGTTGCAATTGCTCTTGGGGACCATCGTTTGGCTCTTGAGTCCTTCGAATAGCCCTTTCACGCGACTGAATCTTTCGTTGCAGCTCTGCTTCTCTCCTTGCCCATTGCTCGTATTCCTCATCTTGCTGTGCCTGGAGCTCCTGAAGTTCGATACGGAGATTCTCGTTGTCCAAGCGCATAGCCTCAGTTGTCTGCTCCTGAGTAGTATCTTGGAACTGTCGGATGGTCTCATCACGTCGATCAACCTTGCTACGCAGAGAAGACTCCAAGCGAGCCCAGCGCTGAGCGTCCTCTTCCCGCCTAGCCTTGATCTCTGCGAGTTGAGACCTGAGAGAATCGTGTTCTGACTTCAGACGAGCAAACTCAGCCTGCTCCTGGCGTACTCGTCGCAACTCTGTATCTCTGCGGCTAAGTTGCTGAGTATTCTCATCTTGCTGTGCGCGTACACGAGCCAATTCAGCATGTAGGTTGGCGTCTTCCCTTTCAGTTGCATTCGCGGCCTGGTCAAACTGTCGTCGAAGCTGGGTAGTTTCTTCCCGGTGCTGAGATTGGTCATGATCGAGCTGATCACGCAGTGCCTCGTTCTCTGAGCGGAGTGTCTCAACTTCCTGGCGAAGCTCCTCGTTCTCATTGCTCAGTACACTCTTTTCGTTCTTGAGCTCTTCACATGTCTGGAAAGCAACACCAAGCTGGTTTGCCATGCTCTCCTTCTCGGTGTTCAAACGCTTCTTCTCGATTTCCAGAACAGCAACTTTTCGGTCGGCACGATCGATCCTAGTTCGTAGTGTTTGCACTGCAGCGTCGAGTCCTAAAAACAGTCAATATCACTATGAATCTCCAGACTTCTTGTCACTTACGCGTCTTTTCGATCTTCCAGCTATTCTTTCCAGCATCGGAATCCTGGGCACTGTCACTTCGACGTAGCTTCTCCTGGGCCTGTGCTGTGGCTCGCAGCTCGATCAACTCGAGATCCTGCTCTTCAATCTTCTTCTCTTGTTCCGCACGCTCGTGCTCCATCTCTGCAAGCTTCTCCTGCAGCTGTTGAAGTGCGGAAAAGATGGCCTTTTCCTCATCGGGAATTGGAACTCCCTCGACAGGAAAGTATGAGGGCCGGCGACCACCGTTTGGTGGGGCAGAAAAGCGTGATCGTGAAGTCGTTGTCTTTGAGAAGACTGGGGTACCATCGTCAAAAACACCAGAGACCAGCTCGGTGAGGTTAGGAAGATCTGGAAGGATAAATGACTGGCCAGTCGCGTTTTGTGTGGTATTTTGCCTTGAACGAGGCGTTCCTTTACTCTGCAGGGTATCGGCATTGCCGTCAATCTGAAGCGATGCCTGGCGGCTGCGGTTGCCCCAACGCGAATTCTTGGTAGAGTCAATGGTGACTGTGGGGGGTCGCTGGTCCATAAACGACGACTCATCTTCAGACAACTTGGCGTGCAGCTGTGAAAGAGAGTTGCGCTTGCGGTCCTCTTTAGCCAGAGCTGGTGAGTTGCGCTTGCTCGAAGGGCGAGGTGATATCGTGTCGAGGTCGTTGCGGGAGGCGCGTCGGATTGCCGCGTCGCGTCGAAGGCTGCTTGTGTCTGCCATGTGCGATTTACGCGACCTGTTGGTGAGGGGTGTCATGTCGTAGAGGCTGTTGAACGGCGAACTAATCTTGCTAGGTGTACCGCGGTTGCTGCGGTTACCACCACGTGCTTGCTCGACAGCCATGCTTTCCTCGTCGGAAATGGAGTGGTCGAAGTCGAGGAACTCCTTATTTACCATGGATGTGTCAGGCTGGATCTGCTCGGAGCGGAAGGGCGCCCAAGCACTCTGCTTTTTCGCGGTGGAACGAATGCGGGGGAATTTGGGAAGCGTGTTTGTGTCGTCTACAATGTTGTGCTGTGTCGAGTGGACAATGTCTGGGTTGTCCCAAAATTGGGATGTGTCAGTGCCGCCGAATCCCGATCGCTGGGTGGGATTCGAGTCTGTTGGCAATGGTGATGGTGACTCGATGTTTCTTGGGCTGTGACTTAGGCTGCGAGAAAGTTCGCGGATTGCGCGTGCTTTCCCGTCGCTGGTGGGAGGAGAAGACTGCATGTCCAATGTGTGAAGCTGCGATGGCAGCGTTGGTGTTGCGGATGATCAAGGCGCGTCGTAGAACACGTATATAGGGACAAGAAGAGATGCTTCGTAAAGATTAGTGAAGCTACACGCTGTCGTGTCCAAAAATGCCAGCCCAAGGGAACAAGATGGCTTGGGAGCGCGTGTTGGTGTTGGAAGGTGCAATGCAGTGTCGCAGATGAATGAAGCGGGAGGGCGTGTTTACCAAAACAACGCTAACGCATCCGAGCCCCACCCACGCCCAGTCGGCCTTGATTGGCCCTCCAGCCCCTCTCCCAAAGAAGGCGTGCAACATCGTCATCAGCGTCGCGCGGGCACGTGACAGCGCTGCGAGAAGACAGAATATGGAAAGTGAAGTGGCTTGATTGTTTTTTTCTCATCGCTATGATACGGTCATGCATAATTGTATTGGAATCAATCCCACCGCTAATATCTTGCACAAGTCCGCACTCCCCA